TGAGAACATTGAGATACATTAAGAACATTGAGCTACATTAAGAACATTGGCTACATTGAGAACATTGGGCTACATTGAGAACATTGGGCTACATTAAGAACATTGAGCTACATTGAGAACATTGGGCTACATTGAGAACATTGGGCTACATTAAGAACATTGAGCTACATTAAGAACATTGCGCTACATTAAGAACATTGGGCTACATTAAGAACATTGAGCTACATTGAGAACATTGGGCTACATTGAGAACATTGGGCTACATTAAGAACATTGAGCTACATTGAGAACATTGGGCTACATTGAGAACATTGAGCTACATTAAGAACATTGGGCTACATTAAGAACATTGGGCTACATTAAGAACATTGAGCTACATTAAGAACATTGAGATACATTAAGAACATTGAGCTACATTAAAAACATTGCGCTACATTGAGAACATTGGGCTACATTAAGAACATTGGGCTACATTTAGAACATTGGGGTACATTAAGAACATTGAGCTACATTAAGAACATTGGGCTACATTAAGAACATTGAGCTACATTAAGAACATTGGGCTACATTAAGAACATTGAGCTACATTAAGAACATTGGGCTACATTGAGAACATTGAGCTACATTAAGAACATTGAGCTACATTAAGAACATTGGGCTACATTAAGAACATTGAGCTACATTGAGAACACTGAGAACATTTAGCTGCATTGAGAACATTGAGAACAAGGAGCTACATTGCACACCTTGAGCTACGTTTAAAAAATTGAGCTACATTGAGGACATTTGGCTACATTGAAAACATGGAGAACCATTGAAAACATTGAGCTACATTAAGAACATTGAGCTAAATTAAGAACATTGAGCTACATTAAGAACATTGAGCTACATTAAGAACATTGAGCTACATTAAGAACATTGAGCTACATTAAGAACATTGAGCTACATTAAGAACATTAAGATGCAATGAGTTCTTGGGGCTACAATGACTTTACTGAGATTCCCAAAAACATAAGTTTTATTATTTTTTTAATTGATCTGATGTTTATTATTGTACCTTCTGCTGAAGAAGGCGTCTTGCCGAAACAAATTTATTTGTCTGATCTTTTTTTTTCAAGCCAGCCTAAACATATCTTGTTACACTATTTATTGACCTTTGACGGCTTTAACGCAGTCCTTTATTATTATTATTATATATATATATATATATATATATATATATATATATTAGATAGATAGATAGATAGATAGATAGATAGATAGATAGATAGATAGATAGATAGATAGATAGATAGATAGAGAGATAGATAGATAGATAGATAGATAGATAGATAGATAGATAGATAGAGAGATAGATAGATAGATAGATAGATAGATAGATAGATAGATAGATAGATAGATAGATAGATAGATAGATAGATAGATAGATAGATAGATAGATAGATAGATAGATAGATTATACATGTTTATCAGGCCTGCACAACTCAAAATGTAAGGCGGGGTGTAATACTTTCTGAAAACCTTGTGCTGGTCAAAAGAAAATAGGACAGGGGGGAAAGCTTTTAAGAAAATAGTAAGAATAAAGAATATTTCGTTACTTTTGGGGCCCACAACGTTGGTGCTGGCGGGCCACATGTGGCCCGCGGGCCGTATGTTGTGCAGGCCTGATGTATATAATTACAAGCGAAGTACAATTAGCCCGTTTGAAGATAGCAGAAAGTTGGTTACAAAAAGTTTCACGACTTACATCCTACTCTTAGCTGAACATTTCTGAATGCTTAAATTTATTCCGAGTTCTTTCCATAGTTCCTATTTTACCATACTTTGTTTATACTCATTCCCTTCTTTCCATTAGCTCTCCTCCCTCTGCCACCAATTCTGACTGCCTCCCCTGACCGTGGACAACATGGCAAACTCCATCCAATGCACAGATGTCCTTTAAAAAAAATCAAAGCGTAGTACTATTTAGAGTCAGAGCCAATAGCCCCAGCCTCTCCATCAATACCATCTCAGCCGCACTTAAAGCTTGTAAAGTAGGGGGACAGGGGCGCTTGGGGAGGGAGGGAGGGAGGGAGGGAGGGAGGGAGGGAGGGGGAATAGGATCCTCTCTGCAATAAGCGAAACTAAACAAAGCATCCCCTAGTGCTTCACCCAACTTGACGGCGCCCCAAGTCCTGGGGTGTTGGGGGGATGAGAGAAAAACTAACCAACGTTTTCAGACCCTGGCGGATGTCTGGGATTGTCAAATATTAATTGGCTACTCCTGTCTTACACTCAGTTTTCTGAGGGGGTTGGAGAGTAGAGGAAACGTCCCTGACACGTCACGTGATACAAGATGGCTGATAATTTGAATTGTTCAAAAACGTATGCACAAATCTGTATCAAACCTATCATCCATTGGGAAAGAGCTAACTGCTCACATTTCGATCAATTGATCTACACATGTTCTAAGTTCATATTTGTAGCGAAACTTTTCCCGATCAATTCATTTGTCATCGTGCAAACTCATTTAAAACTGTGCGCTTCACATACATCATCTTGTCTTGTTCATCGTCAGGTCCATAGGATGTATCTTCCGTCGTCTTGTAGGATGTTTTGTCCATCATCTTGTCCATACGATGTCTTGTCTAAAGGATGTCTTGTCCATAGGATGTCTTATCCATAGGATGTCTTGTCCATCGTTTTGTCCAAAGGATTTCTTGTCCACAGGACTTTTTGTCCATAGGATGTCTTGTCCATTGTCTTATCCTTTGGATGTCTTGTCCATGGGATGTTGTGTCCATGGGATGTTGTGTCCATGGGATGTCTTACCCATAGGATGTCTTGTCCATCGTCTTGTCCACAGGCTGTCGCGTACATCATCTTGTCCACAGGATGTCTTGTCCATCATCTGGTCCACAGGCTGTCGCGTACATCATCTTGTCCACAGGATGTCTTGTCCGCAGGATTTCTTGTCTATCAGATGTCTTTTCCATCGTCTTGTCCATAGGATGTATTGTCCATCATCTGGTCCACAGGCTGTCACGTACATCATCTTGTCCATGAGATGTCTTGCCCATAGGATGTCTTGAAATGAGTTTTAAAAATCTATTTTAAGTTGTTGGAGTTCTAGGGAACTCGTATTTCAAGTTTTTGGAGGTCTAGGGAGCTCAGATTTCAAGTTGTTTGCGTTCTGGGGAGCTCAGATTTCAAGTTGTTGGAGTTCTAGGGAACTCGTATTTCAAGTTGTTGGAGTTCTAAGGAACTCGTATTTAAAATTGTTGGAGTTCCAGGGAGCTCTTATTTCAAAATGTTGGATATCTAGGAAGCTCATATTTCGAGGCACCACAGTAGAAGCCATTCATTAAAAGCATGCGGTGACAGGTTGCCCAAAAGTGATAGATTGAATAATGTGATGAACACTGATTGAAAATGAAAGTTGTCTTAGCAGCAGCCTTCGTCCTTTATCTGTGTATTAAAGGTAATCTTTGTGTGTGTATTTAATGTAATCCTTTTGTGTATATTGTATGTAATCTTTGTGTGTGAATTGTACGTAATATGTGTGAGTATTATATATAATTATTTGGAAGTTGAAGATGGCCATATTTATTTTTCCGTTTATATAAAGCACAAGTTGCATACGATTCGTACATTTCTTTTTTTGATCCTAGTATTATGAGAACTAATCTGGAATAGACTCTAAACAGGAAGTGTGACCACCGATTTCTTACCATCATAATGGTTCGCTGTTCACTGATTGATTTCAAGGAAACAAAAAGGGAACGCGTGGGCATATTTCAAGGAACACGTGGACAAATGGCAAGGAACATGTAGGCATATTTCAAGGAACATGTAGTCATATTTCAAGGAACATGTAGTCATTATTTAAAGGAACATGTGGGCATATTTTAAAATTGGCAGGTCATCTGGAGTTTACTGACAAATCAGACTTTGAATTGAAAAAGATGAAAGATCGTCCATTGAGCCTGGCTGATGACTTTGTTAAACTATTTCGAAGAGCGGACGTACACTATGGCATTTAAAGGCCAAATACCCCTTCAATATTGAATCGTCCTCTGATTTGTTCACGGTGTTTCTAAGTGTGATTCTGAAGCTAATTTGCTAGCTAGCAAATGATGGTCTCTCCGCCCGATACAAAAACAAAAAATAGGTCTCTTCCGGAAGTCGGTCAGCATCTCTTTTCAAGCCTCAAATCTGGGAGTGTAAAAATGGCTCTCAGTAGTTCGTTCCATTACTTACGTGAATCTGCTTTTCATTTATTTACACACCTTAATAGCAAGCATCGTTAACTACGCCTCAGGGGCTGAATTACTTTTGTGTTTAGTTTGGGATATTATCCATAGTTTGATCCCTTGGCTACACAGAAAGATTACAAAGCTTCTCAAATGGCATTTGGAAAATACAATTGTCTTTCTTGGTATTAGAGATTGGAATTATTTTAGGGAAATGTGGCCATGAAGTGGCCTAAGGGCTTACTTAGGAAATGTGGCCATTGAAGTGGCCTAAGGGCGCACTTAGGAAATGTGGTCATTGAAGTGGCCTAAGGGCGTACTTAGGAAATGTGGCCATTGAAGTGGCCTAAGGGCCCACAAGCGTGTAGCTAAAACTAGAAGCTATGGTCCACCGCGATCTATAGCAACATCATTGTCAGCCGTCACATACACTTTATACACATATCACTTATACAATTTATACACATATCAATCACACGGTTTATATCCATACCACTCACACAACGTAAACACACATCACTCACACCGTTTATACACGTATCACTCACAAAATGTACATCCATATCGCTCACACAATTTAAACACATATGTGTGGAGCTCGTAATTTATGACGATGAAGGTCGAGGGGTTGGGAAGGTGAAAAAGGGGGGGGGGGTAGACAATCGTAGCAGATTTCATCAGTTACCGCCCGTCTGTCTGTTTGGGCGGGCTGTGTGCATTCCGTTTATTGAGAGTGAGTAACGTTGGCCAGAGTTAGCGCGCTTGTGGCGCTAGAAGCGTTGAGCAAATGTCATCCCCTTCTCATGGTGGCTGACCTCCCCTTGTGAAAGAGCAGTGTAGCGTTGGACTGTGTGTTTTCTCTCACTCAATGTGGTCTTCTCACGGTGTGACACTACCATGTGAGTACAGGCCAAATCTTCCAACTGTTTTACATTTTAGTTCAGCTTTCTTAGTATGCTAAATTTCACTTACTTTCCTGTGTCTTGCATACTGATTTAATAAATTCGGGATAATATTTCCTAACTTAAATTGCACCAGAACATCTTTTCATCAAAGTGACATTGAGCAAAGCAGAACATAGAATTACGAAATAATATAAATACAAATGACCATTTGTTGGTGCAGTCTTTAAGCACCATATTATGGTGCTGGCTGTACGCAACAACCAATGGTGCCGTCTGTAACCACCAAATATTGCTGCCGGCTGTACGCACCAAATAATGCTGCCGGCTGTACGCACCAACTAATGGTGCAGGCTGTGCACACCAACATCCTCGTGCAGGCTGCACACAAAATTATGGTGCAGCTTGTACCTACCATCCTTTCAACTTACCCAACAAAGGACGGGACGCTGCGAATTCTATAATAATTATTCGGGAATATTAAACAATAATGTTCTATAAAACTTTTTTTGATTCAAGGATTTTTTTTTTAAATTTAAAATCATTTAAGTTATGTCTTTAAAATAAATTATGTCAAGAAATAGAAATTGCTTACATCTCTGACTGGCAGTGCCTATACATCTCTCCTGCTGACTGACAGTGTCTACACATCTCTACTGTTGACTGACAGTGTCTACACATCTCTCCTGCTCACTGACAGTAACTACACATCTCTTCTGCTGACTGGCAGAGTCTACACATCTCTACTGCTGACTAACAGTGTCTACACATATTTACTTCTGACTGACAGTGTCTACACATATTTACTTCTGACTGACAGTGTCTACACATCTCTAATGCTGACTGACAGTGTCTACACATCTCTACTGCTGACTGACAGTGTCTACACATCTCTACTGCTCACTGACAGTGTCTACACATCTCTACTGCTGACTGGTAGTGTCTACACATCTCTACTGCTGACTGACAGTGTCTACACATCTCTCCTGCTGACTGATAGTGTCTACACATCTCTACTGCTGACTGACAGTGTCTACACATCTCTACTGTTGACTGGCAGTGTCTACATATCTCTCCTGCTCACTGACAGTAACTACACATCTCTACTGCTGACTGGCAGTGCCTACACATCTCTCCTGCTCACTGACAGTAACTACACATCTCTACTGCTGACTGTCAGTGTCTACACATCTCTCCTGCTCACTGACAGTAACTACACATCTCTTCTGCTGACTGGCAGAGTCTACACATCTCTACTGCTGACTGACAGTGTCTACACATATTTACTTCTGACTGACAGTGTCTACACATCTCTACTGCTGACTGGCAGTGTCTACACATCTCTACTGCTGACTGACAGTGTCTACACATCTCTACTGCTGACTGGCAGTGTCTACACATCTCTACTGCTGACTAGCTGTCTACACATCTCTACTGTTTCTGTACCATTTACAGCTTTTTTTCTAAATCAGATTATTGTCATAAACACTTTGATTAGTAAACACAAAGAAATTGTGTAAGTAAAACCGTATGGCTTTGAATTAATTAAAGGACAAATGACAAAATTAGACTTAACGTCAAATTTTTAATCCAAAGAAACAAAAAAATTATTCATGAATTGAAATAACTTAATTTTGTCCATTTGCCTCGTTTAGCAAATATATTTACATTTTAACTAAAGTTGAGTTTCTTATCTACTTTCTTCTTTTACTTAATGCGCCATCTACTTGCTATTATTGCGTTAGTACGCCATCTATCGGCTGCTATTAAGTTAGTGTGGTATCTAATGCCTTTTATTTAGTTAGTGCGCCAACTGCTGTTATTTAGTTAGTGCGCCATCTACTGTCTTTTATTTAGTCCCATGTATCGTCTTTTATCTTGTCCACTCTCTTGGGACACCAGCTTTGTTCATTCGTCTCAAATGAGCAAAAATATGTTTCAGATTCTCTCCCTTTGTCTTTGTCTCCCCTTCCTTAATGATGTAGGAATATTTTTTTTAGGGGTAGTTATGTAAAGAAAAGATTACTGACTGCTCTCTTAGGATTATCCCCCCTTTAAACCACCAGTCCCCCCCCCCCCCCCATCTCGTAGAATGTGATTGATGTGGCGCTCAGGAGTTCGTCGTCTACATGACGTCACATTCCATCAAAGTATCACATTCTCCCCATACAATTACAAAGGTAAAGGATTAACCTTCAGTTGAAGTTAGATTAACCTTCAGTTGAAGTTACATTAAACTTCAGCTCTACAGCTCCACGAAAACCGTGGGTCCTAATTTTGAGTAGGAACCATAATTATAGTGGGGAGACTGCCATAACGTTTTATAAAAAGAAACCAAAGTGGTCAGGGTCAAGGTCACGGAGAGCTTGAAGATATAAAAAAAAAAAAGACAACACGAAAGAGTAAACAGCAAACAATTCAAACAAGACAAATGAACGGGGAAAAGAACTTAGATCATCGGGAATGAAGCTGTAGATAGTCTCAGGGGGAAACTCATAGGACACCGAGAGCTCAAGAGTGCCTTGAATTTTGAGTACAAATTTCAGAAAACATCATCTCTCAGTGTGCATCTCAGGGTTGACAATTACCAAGATTCGAATATTCGATACAATATTAAAAACATCAAATACGATCAAATATTTTTCTCCTGTTCCTTTTTTCACTCTTTATATCTTTTTTTTTCCCCTGTCCGCCGACTAAAGGCTTTCTATTGACATGTTAGTTGTATTGTTTCGTATTCTTTCAAATGTTCGCTTAACTTGTGTTTTAGACTAATTAGTTTGTATTTTTTTTAAGGGTAATCGACTGTGTTTTCTGCTTCCAACTTCTGCTTGTCTGTTTTCCTGAAGTTGGGCTTACCAAATTTGCCCAGATGATGTTTATTTTCAATCAGTAGTGCTTTAAAGCAGCTCTCCTGGGAAGGGGGTGGGGGGCATAATATATTTTATCAATTATATTTGATAACAAACGACGAATTTGTCCTTTTTATGACATGTAAAAAAAAGAGAGAGTAACTGGTGCCTGCTAACGATTACTCTTAGTGAAGCCAGTGAAATATCGATACGCTCGGTGTGTTTGATGTCATGTATGTTTATTAAGGCTAATTTTGTTAGAGGCTCTACGGTATTCGATTATAAAGTATATCGTACTGTTCCGAAAATTGGCCGCTACTGATTATAAGCTAAAGTCTACTTTCCCATTTGTTCCATGTATCGGTATTTTAATTTAATTTTTTTATGCAAATTCCCACGTTTAAAGACTTTAATAAGACGGTATTAGACTTCCTTTTACATCAATATAAAGGTCTATAATTTTAATATAGCTCTTGCCAAGTATCAAACATAAGCAATATGTTTTCAAATTATGTTTCATCGTAAAAGCATGACTTTGGAGTAGGGATAGGTGTTAATTAGAGCCAGAATAATAAATACATTGATCGTGAGCCCTTAATATATAGAAAAAGAAGAAGAAATTGGGATTATGCTTTGTAATATACAGTTAGTAGCACAATTTCAAAAGTAGGCTGCTCGATAGCATGTATGTAGAGCTAGAGAAATTGAAAACTGAAAAAAAATTAATTATTCTTTTTTTTTTTTTTTGGTAAAAAAATTAAAAATGTAAAAAATTTTGCACTTTTCATCAATTCTTAAAACACTAGCTGTGATGTGTTCTTGAAATGTGCGTATTTTGTTAAGAGAAATTGAAAAATAAAAAAAAATTAATTATTTTTTTTTTTTTTTTTTTGGTACAAAAATTAATAATGTAACAAATTTTGCACGTTTCATCAATTCTTAAAACACTAGCTGTGATGTGTTCTTGAAATGTGCGCATTTTGTTAGGCACTTCCCTGAACAACAGCGTTGCTTTTGTTTTGGGTTTTTTATGCTTAGTCTGTTTATACAATTCCGAGCTGCTGTTCTCTTTTTAATTTTAGAATGACATATAATCGGATCCACTATTCACGCACTATTTTAAAATGTATTATTTATGGGTTTTTTTACAAGGTTAGAATCCAGAATAAAGCTAATAAAAAACGGTTGTCATGATCTAGCATTTCGAATACCATTATTTGTAGGTTATTTGTAAGTTATCTGAAGAAAGTTCAAGCACTTTGACATTCAAAATAAATATTTCAATCGAATGAATATTGGGAAATTTATAATTTATGTACGATTTCCCTAAGATAAAATCAAATAATTAATAATTATATATCTTTGTAGACATTTCAGGTCTCCTTAACATAACAGTAAATATGCCATTCGTGTACGATTTATAAAAATGGCCAGTTTAAAAAATCAGTAAAAAATGTAAATACCTCTTCGAAAACAGATTTTTTTTTCTTTTTGACTCCGGTAAAACTTAGAAATAATAAGACAAGGTAAATATTTTACATAAGATGTTTTTGTTCATTTGCTTTCAACATGTTAAATAATGTTAGCAGTGTAGCAGTGTAGCAGTGTAGCAGTGTAGCAGCGTAGCAGCGCAGCAGCGCAGCAGCGCAGCAGCGCAGCAGCGCAGCAGTGCAGCAGTGCAGCAGTGCAGCAGTGTAGCAGTGTAGCAGTGTAGCAGTGTTTTTTTATGATTGGAAACTTTTTTTGGAAGGAATTTTGTTATTATTTACTTTTGAATAAAAATAAATTAAGTCGTTTATCTCAAAAATAGTTTAAAATAAAATTAAAAACCACATTACTATTTTGTTATAACAAAAACATTTGTACTTGTTCAAGCAGAGTCGAGTTTTCGAGACCCCCACTTTTCGGCTTTGTCCTTCCACCACCTTGAACTCCAAGTTGCTCATTAAAAAAGTGTGCACATCCCAACTTTTAGCCTTTAATCTGAGGTTAAGTGACGCCTAAACTTTTAACTAGCATCTCTTCCGTCGCTCTAACACTTAACGTAGAACGATGCAAAACTTAATGCAGGTAAGCATTAGAATGCATTCTTGCATTTTGAATTTATAAAAAAATGTCTGGGGGCTAGAAAGATTTAAGGAGTGAGACTGAGCTTGGGCACACAAAAAATTCCCTCAAGGGCGACACAACTGGAATGAGTTTAGGTCATGTTGGGCTGGGGGCGAAGTTGGAGAGGTCCCTGATCATTATTATGGCTAATTTTGGCACTTCCCACCCAAAGTCTGAAATGCCCCCTTTCTAATTGTCTGAAAGAAACACAGAATTCAAGTATGCGCCAAAATGCATCCTTGCATTTAGAATTTTTGCCGCACTACCTTTCACGATAAAAACTACGCATTTGTTCGAAAATGTCGACCCTGAACATTAAGAAAAAGTGACACCTAGACGGACAACCCCATCTCTACTTTCTACGTCACTGTCAGGGGCGTAGCCGGAGTGTTTAGCGCCGGGGAACACGATTTATTTGTATGCCCCTTATGCAAAACATTATTTTCATCCATTAAATACCATTTAAGGCGCATTTGGCACCCCCGTTAGTCTTGTGCCTCGGGAGTCGGTACATCTGTCCCACCTTCTGGCCACAGGTAGGCTTTTGTAACACGAAAGTCTGAATTATTCCCCCCCCCCCCGGTAAGAAATTGTCTGGGGAAAAACACTGATCTCAATGTGCTTAAGCATCTTGTTAATCTTAATGTTTGAATGCCACTTTCATTCAATGATCACCTTTACATATCTGAATTATTCTATCCTCCTATGACATGTATTCTGTGTTGATTGCATATTTTGACAGAATCATGTGCCGCTGAACACGCCCCGCCATCACTCTCCAGTCGCACGCAGCCTCGGGTTTGTCGGAATTCGGAAACCCTACTCAGCCCTACTCCACACAACAAACCTTCTTCTGGTCAGCTGTGCAGGCCTCACGTCCCGATACCATAGCTGCCCAACCGATGACCATGTCGACAGCGAAACACAATAGCGAGTACATTGAGATGGGCCAGGGGCCCGCTCCCCACCAGGAGGCGTCCAACAATGGCCGTGCCATAGAGGCCAAGCTGGTCGAGACGCCAGAGCGAGAACTGTGGACAGGCAAGGTGGAGTTCGTTCTGGCTTGTGTCGGGCAATGTATCGGCTTTGGCAACGTTTGGCGTTTTCCCTACTTGTGCTACAAGAATGGAGGAGGTAGGTCTCTGTGTGTGCTACAAGAATGGAGGAGGTAGGTCTGTGTGTGTGTGTGCTAAAAGAATGGAGGAGGTAGGTCTGTGTGTGTGTGTGTGCTACAAGAGTGGAGGTGGTATGTCAAAGAATGGAGGAGGTAGGTCTCTGTGTGTGCTACAAGAATGGAGGAGGTAGGTCTGTGTGTGTGTGTGCTAAAAGAATGGAGGAGGTAGGTCTGTGTGTGTGTGTGTGCTACAAGAATGGAGGAGGTAGGTCTATGTGTGTGTGTGTGCTACAAGAATGGAGGAGGTAGGTCCGTGTGTGTGTGTGTGTGCTACAAGAATGGAGGAGGTAGGTCTGTGTGTGTGTGTGCTACAAGAATGGAGGAGGTAGGTCTATGTGTGTGTGTGCTACAAGAATGGAGGAGGTAGGTCTATGTGTGTGTGTGCTACAAGAATGGAGGAGGTAGGTCTCTGTGTGTGTGTGCTACAAGAATGGAGGAGGTAGGTCTGTGTGTGTGTGTGTGTGTGTATGAATTTATATGTTGGTTATTGTTTCAATGCTAAGCGAACGAATCAATGTGTTGCAGGTTAACGTATGTTTCTGAGCTTTTTATAGGTACAGTGGAACCTCTCATAACGAGCATAATTCGTTCCAGAATCTTACTCGTTAAGCGAAACACTCGTTAAACGAAACAATTTTTCCGATACAAATCAATGCAAAATGCGTTCCATGCTGAAAAAATACTCATTTAAAAAAAAAAAATATTAACATTTATTCAAATAAAATTATTTATGAATTGTTAAGGAGTGTGACAACTTGGAATACAATTTAGATTTGAAACAAAAAAGCGTTAAAAAAAAATAAATGAATTCATGACAAATAATTAATCCTTTTTAACTAGAAAACTGTCTAATGACATATTTGTTTTTTCCGACGCTTCAAAATTTGACGAAAATGTGTTACAGCATTAGCATTGAATAAATTTGTAGCACGAATAGCCACCTCCTTATTAGGGTGATGCTTCTCAATGTACGATGCAACAGTTTCCCATGCGTTCAGCATTTCTCTTATTGCGCTAGAAGATTGTTGTTCTGCTTCTTCCTCCTCCATTAATGAGCTCTCCTCCATAATTTCTTGCTGTGAAACACGATGAAACTCCATAAGCTCTTCGGTGGTCAACTCTTGACTGTGCTCTTTGACAAGCTCTTCAATATCGTTGTTGTCCACCTCGAGTCCCATGATATTGGCCAATGACACAATCTCGTTAACTGTAGACTCCACAGGTACTGTTTCAAAATCACATTCAACAACACTCTCTGGCCAGTTTTTTTCCAAGCAGAAGTGAGAGGAAAAGGGACTTCCCCTTTCTGCTAAACTCAGGCGAAATGTCGCTCGTTAAGGGAGCAATTTCTTCACATTTATTTTTTTTGCTCGTTATGCGAATTACTCGTCATGAGAGGTGCTCGTTATGAGAGGTGCTCGTTATGAGAGGTGCTCGTCATGAGAGGTGCTCGTTATGAGAGGTTCTCGTTATGAGAGGTACTCGTTATAAGAGGTGCTCGTTATGAGAGGTGCTCGTTATGAGAGGTTCCACTGTATTTATGTATTTTAGTTTGCACCTGTTTTTTAATGTTAGTTCGTATGTTTCTATGATGTTTATGTTCGTACATGTGTTAATGAAAGCTTCAATTTAAGGTGTAATGTATGCGTTTATGTATGGTGGCTAAAATGTCTTTTTGAGCTAGATGTTTGTGTTTAAGTGCTGGTGATAGGGTGGTTTACTGGGACAGGATGGTCTAAATGACAGGGGGGGGGGTTAGTGGGACTGGATGGTCTAAATGACAGGGGGGTTAGTGGGACAGGGTGGTCTAAATGACAGGGGGGTAGTGGGACAGGATGGTCTAAATGACAGGGGGGTTTAGCAGGACAGGATGGTCTAAATGACAGGGAGGTTTAGTGGGATAGGATGGTCTAAATTACAGGGGGGTTTAGCAGGACAGGATGGTCTAAATGACAGGGTGGTTTAGTGGGACAGGATGGTCTAAATGACAGGGTGGTTTAGTGGGACAGGATGGTCTAAATGACAGGGTGGTTTAGTGGGACAGGATGGTCTAAATGACAGGGTGGTTTACTGGGACAGGATGGTCTAAATGACAGGGGGGGGGGTTAGTGGGACTGGATGGTCTAAATGACAGGGGGGTTAGTGGGACAGGGTGGTCTAAATGACAGGGGGTTAGTGGGACAGGATGGTCTAAATGACAGGGGTGTTTAGCAGGACAGGATGGTCTAAATGACAGGGAGGTTTAGTGGGATAGGATGGTCTAAATGACAGGGGGGTTTAGCAGGACAGGATGGTCTAAATGACAGGGTGGTTTAGTGGGACAGGGTGGTCTAAATGACAGGGTGGTTTAGTGGGACAGGATGGTCTAAATGACAGGGGGGGTTAGTGAGGCAGGATGATCTAAATGACAGGGAGGTTTAGTGGGACAGGATGGTCTAAATGACAGGGGGGTTTAGCAGGACAGGATGGTCTAAATGACAGGGAGGTTTAGTGGGACAGGATGGTCTAAATAACAGGGGGGTTAGCAGGACAGGGTGGTCTAAATGACAGGGTGGTTTGGTGGGACAGGATGGTCTAAATGATAGGGTGGTTTAGTGGGACAGGATGGTCTAAATGACAGGGTGGTTTAGTGGGACAGGATGGTCTAAATGACAGGGTGGTTTAGTGGGACAGTGTGGTCTAAATGACAGGGTGGTTTAGTGGGGCAGTATGGTCTAAATGACAGGGTGGTTTAGTGGGACAGGATGGTCTAAATGACAGGTTGGTTTGGTGGGACAGGATGGTCAAAATGACAGGGGGTTTAGTGGGACAGGATGGTCTAAATGACAGGGTGGTTTGGTGGGACAGGATGGTCTAAATGACAGGGTGGTTTGGTGGGACAGGATGATCTAAATGACAGGGTGGTTTAGTGGGACAGGGTGGTCTAAATGACAGGGTGGTTTAGTGAGGCAGGATGATCTAAATGACAGGGAGGTTTAGTGGGACAGGATGGTCTAAATGACAGGGGGTTTAGCAGGACAGGATGGTCTAAATGACCGGGAGGTTTAGTGGGACAGGATGGTCTAAATGACAGGGTGGTTTAGTGGGACAGGATGGTCTAAATGACAGGGTGGTTTAGTGGGACAGGATGGTCTAAATGACAGGGTGGTTTAGTGGGACAGGATGGTCTAAATGACAGGGTGGTTTAGTGGGACAGGATGGTCTAAATGACAGGGTGGTTTAGTGGGACAGGATGGTCTAAATGACAGGGTGGTTTAGTGGGACAGGATGGTCTAAATGACAGGGTGGTTTAGTGGGACAGGATGGTCTAAATGACAGGGTGGTTTAGTGGGACAGGATGGTCTAAATGACAGGGTGGTTTAGTGGGACAGGATGGTCTAAATGACAGGGTGGTTTAGTGGGACAGGATGGTCTAAATGACAGGGTGGTTTAGTGGGACAGGATGGTCTAAATGACAGGGTGGTTTAGTGGGACAGGATGGTCTAAATGACAGGGTGGTTTAGTGGGACAGGATGGTCTAAATGACAGGGTGGTTTAGTGGGACAGGATGGTCTAAATGACAGGGTGGTTTAGTGGGACAGGATGGTCTAAATGACAGGGTGGTTTAGTGGGACAGGATGGTCTAAATGACAGGGTGGTTTAGTGGGACAGGATGGTCTAAATGACAGGGTGGTTTAGTGGGACAGGATGGTCTAAATGACAGGGTGGTTTAGTGGGACAGGATGGTCTAAATGACAGGGTGGTTTAGTGGGACAGGATGGTCTAAATGACAGGGTGGTTTAGTGGGACAGGATGGTCTAAATGACAGGGTGGTTTAGTGGGACAGGATGGTCTAAATGACAGGGTGGTTTAGTGGGACAGGGTGGTCTAAATGACAGGGTGGTTTAGTGAGGCAGGATGATCTAAATGACAGGGAGGTTTAGTGGGACAGGATGGTCTAAATGACAGGGGGTTTAGCAGGACAGGATGGTCTAAATGACCGGGAGGTTTAGTGGGACAGGATGGTCTAAATGACAGGGGGGGTTAGCAGGACAGGATGGTCTAAATGACAGGGAGGTTTAGTGGGATAGGATGGTCTGAATGACAGGGTGGTTTAGTGGGACAGGATGGTCTAAATGACAGGGTGGTTTGATGGGACAGGATGGTCTAAATGACAGGGTGGTTTGGTGGGACAGGATGGTCTAAATTACAAGGGGGTTTAGTGGGACAGGATGGTCTAAATGACAGGGGGGTTTAGTGGGACAGGATGGTCTAAATGACAGGTTGGTTTGGTGGGACAGGATGGTCAAAATGACAGGGGATTTAGTGGGACAGGGTGGTCTAAATGACAGGGTGGTTTGGTGGGACAGGATGGTCTAAATGACAGGGGGGTTTAGTGGGACATGAGGGTCTAAATGACAATGTGGTTTCGTGGGACAGGATGGTCTAAATGACAGGGGGGTTTAGTGGGACAGGATGGTCTAAATGACAGGGTGGTTTGGTGGGACAGGATGGTCTAAATGACAGGGGGGTTTAGTGGGACAGGATGGTCTAAATGACAGGGTGGTTTAGTGGGACAGGATGGTCTAAATGACAGGGTGGTTTAGTGGGACAGGATGGTCTAAATGACAGGGTGGTTTAGTGGGACAGGATGGTCTAAATGACAGGGTGGTTTAGTGGGACAGGATGGTCTAAATGACAGGGTGGTTTAGTGGGACAGGATGGTCTAAATGACAGGGTGGTTTAGTGGGACAGGATGGTCTAAATGACAGGGTGGTTTAGTGGGACAGGATGGTCTAAATGACAGGGTGGTTTAGTGGGACAGGATGGTCTAAATGACAGGGTGGTTTAGTGGGACAGGATGGTCTAAATGACAGGGTGGTTTAGTGGGACAGGATGGTCTAAATGACAGGGTGGTTTAGTGGGACAGGATGGTCTAAATGACAGGGTGGTTTAGTGGGACAGGATGGTCTAAATGACAGGGTGGTTTAGTGGGACAGGATGGTCTAAATGACAGGGTGGTTTAGTGGGACAGGATGGTCTAAATGACAGGGTGGTTTAGTGGGACAGGATGGTCTAAATGACAGGGTGGTTTAGTGGGACAGGATGGTCTAAATGACAGGGTGGTTTAGTGGGACAGGATGGTCTAAATGACAGGGTGGTTTAGTGGGACAGGATGGTCTAAATGACAGGGTGGTTTAGTGGGACAGGATGGTCTAAATGACAGGGTGGTTTAGTGGGACAGGGTGGTCTAAATGACAGGGTGGTTTAGCAGGACAGGATGGTCTAAGTGACAGGGTTGTTTAGTGGACAGGATTGTCTAAATGATAGGGTGGTGTAGTGAGACAGGATGGTCTAAATGACAGGGTGGTTTAGTGGGACAGGGTGGTCTAAATGACAGGGTGGTTTAGTGGGACAGGGTGGTCTAAATGACAGGGTGGTTTAGTGGGACAGGGTGGTCTAGTGGGACAGGGTGGTCTAAATGACAGGGTGGTTTAGTTGGGCAGGGTGGTCTAAATGACAGGGAGGTTTAGTGGGACAGTGTGGTCTAAATGACAGGGCTGTTTAGTGTGGCAGTACGGTCTAAATGACAGGGGGGTTTAGTGGGACAGGGTGGTCTAAATGACAGGGTGGTTTAGTGGGACAGGGTGGTCTAAATGACAGGGTGGTTTAGTGGGACAGGGTGGTCTAAATGACAGTGAGGTTTAGTGGGGCAGGATGGTCTAAGTGACAGGGGGCTTTAGCAGGACAGGATGGTCTAAGTGACAGGGTTGTTTAGTGGACAGGATGGTCTAAATGACAGGGTGGTTTAGTGGACAGGGTGGTCTAAATGACAGGGGGGTTTAGTGGGACAGGATTTTCTAAATGACAGGGTTGTTTAGTGGACAGGGTGGTCTAAATGACAGGGAGGTTTAGTGGGACAGGATGGTCTAAATGACAGGGTGGTTTAGTGGGACAGGATGGTCTAAATGACAGGGTGGTTTAGTGGGGCAGGATGGTCTAAATGACAGGGTGGTTTGGTGGGGCAGGATGGTCTAAATGACAGGCTGGCTTAGTGGGGCAGGATGGTCTAAATGACAGGTTGGTTTAGTGCAGCGGTTCTCTCCCTGTGGGTCACGACCCTTTTGAGAGCCTCAAAATTTTGTTGTCTTTAAAAAAAAAGGAAAACATCTGGTGTATTTCAAAATTTGAGAACCATTTATTTTAAAAATACGCTTATAACGCGAGGTCATGTGACCCATATTTTGACCCACTTTTTGACCGCTTTTTTCTACTGAAACAAAAGATGGTATATTAAACAATTAGGTGGAGTTCATGAAACTTGCAGAGTTGTGATTCTAGTGTGCGACTGATTACAACCATATGGCGGTAGTAAGCCGACACTCTGGCTGATGGCGTCTTTTAGTCTAATTACAACCATATGGCGTTAGTTAGACCGACACTGGTGCTGATGACGTCATTTAGTCTGATTATAACCCTATAGCGGTAGTAAGACTGAAACTGTGGCTGACGACGTCAGTTAGTCGGATTACAACTGTAGGGCCTCAGTAAACCGAAACAGGGGATGATGACGTCATTTAGTTGGATTACAACCGTTTGGCCGTAGTAGGATTAACATTTTACTCCAATGGCTTTAAAATATTTTCAAAACACTCATGGGCGCCCGCAGAACACTTTCGGGGGGGGGGGGGCAAAAAAATCAAATAACTTTATGGGGGGGGGGCAAAAATTGTTTATTAATGTTTTAATGCACTTTTNTTTCTGGGGGGGGGGCAAAAATTGTTTAGTAATGTTTTAATGCACTTTTAATTTACTGTAGCGTATTTGTATGGTGAACGAACGGACAGGACATCAGCTTAGTTACTTTCCCTTTATTTTCTCTCTACTTTAAAAAAAAAAATCTATTTTGTCTAAAAAAAATTTTATCCAATCAATCCAGGGGGGTGCAAGTGCCCCCGTTGCCCGCCCCCCCTGGGGGCGCCCATGATAACATTATAGGAATGACTTCTTTTGTCATGTACTGCTTCTCTTCTCTATGTCTAGACGCAGCATTGCTGTACCAGTTTTGCCCGACGTCTGATTGTTTACTGTAGCTGTCATTCAAAGAAAACGATGACATTGACAGCAAATGCCACTACCAATGCAAGAAGCCATCGATATTTGGAGAGCCTGGGGGCATGTGCAATCTTAAAAAGTGTTTATCCAGAGCGCGTTGGGGGTCGTGGGGGTCATCAGATACGCCATGTTTACATGTGCCTCATAGCTTTGTGAGTTTCGGCAACAAACTGGCCTAGAATGTCGGGTTTAACTCTGGTTGCTATGGCAATAAACTAAGTGTGGTGCATCATGGTTGTTGGAGATGTCGGCAGCTACGAGGAACAACTTGGTCATCTCACAATCCTACTGTACAGTTGGTATCGTGCAGTAACACGTGATATTGCACAGTAACATTTGATATTGTGTAGTAACAGCTTATACTGTCCAGTAAAAGTTGATATTGTGCAGTAACAGTTGATATTGAGCAGCAGTAGTTGATATTGTGCAGTAACAGTTGATATCATGCAGGAACATTTGATATCATGCACTAACAATTGATATCATGCAGTAACAATTGATATCATGCAGTAACAGTGGATCACGTGCAGTAACAGTTGATAATGTCAAGTAACAGTTGATATTGTACAGGTGTTATTGAGCAGTAACAGTTAATATCGCACGTTAAAATTAGTTGATATTGCACAGTGAAACAGTTGATATTATTCAGCTGATATTGTACAGTAGCAGATGATAATCTATGGGAAGATCTGCTATTCACTGGAACAGTTGATTTCGTATCGGAATAAATGATACTGTAACAGTAGAATGGACGCATGTGTAAAACAATTCCAAAAAGATTTCTACAGCCAAACAATAGATCCATGTGCCAGACGATAGATCCATGTGCCAGACGATAGATCCGTATGCCAGACGATAGATCCATGTCAGACGATAGATCCGTGTGCCAGACGGTAGATCCATGTGCCAGACGATAGATCGATGTGCCAGACGATAGATCCATGTGACAGACGATAGATCCATGTGATAGACGACAGATCCATGTGACAGACGATAGATTCATATGCCGCGGTCTAGCCGGTTACGACTGGCGTCCATATCCAACATGGTTGTCTGGCATTAAAATAATGTTCACCTAATATCCTTGTTGGACTGTCTAACATACCATTACCATTTCATCACTGATTATGTCATTAGAAAATACTGACCTGGAACTCCCTCGGGCTGCTATAAAAGGTTTTCCTGTAACCGTGATCACACCATGACAACCTGTAACCGTGATCACACCATGACAACCTGTAACCGTGATCACACCATGACAACCTGTAACCGTGATCACACCATGACAACCTGTAATTGTGATCACACCATGAAAACCTGTAACCGGTTGCTAGATTGATGACAACACTTCATATCCAACCGGTAAATGTGAGCCCCACAGACAGCTAGCTCCTTTCAATCTCTTCACCCACTGTGTCGCCTATGTGTAGTGTTTTTAACAGGCAGCTCTCGGGTGGAAAAAAAGGGGGGGGGGTGGCTGGGGAAAGTCAACTGTCCACCCCAACTCCCACCCGGAGAAAAATGTGCGACACAATAAAACGAAAACATATTCTATTTTTAAAAAATGACTAAATTGTCATGTGTACATCATTTTCAAAAAGAAGTTTAATTGGTGCCTTGAACGGATTACAAGTAATGGAACCTATGAAAAATCGCTACGCTCGATATAGTTGACGATCAGTATATTTAAAGGCTAATCTTGTTAGAGGCTAATGCTATTCGATTATCAACATCGTCAAAGCCGTTCCGAAAATAAACCGCTCTTGATGATAAGCTGAAGTTTTACAACTTGTTGTTCGCATACATACGTATTTTTATTTTATTAGTTTTTGCAACTTGACACGTTTAAAGATTTTCATAACACGGTACTAAACGACCTTAGCATCAATATTAAGAATCTGAATCCATCATAAAAGGATGATTTTTAAAGTAAGGAGATGTGTTTATTGAACATTGTATGACAGCATCGTCAATTTAAAACTATAGTTATTAGCTTAATTGTAAATGCACTCGATACAGTGGGGTGGCGAGGTATTGTGCCGCCAAGGGCGGACTTTGAGTTTAACCCCCCCCCCTTCCCAACGAGGAAAAGTTACATATCAATATTTATGGTGCTTTTTGGCACAGTGAAACCTGAAAATAACGAACCTTGAAGTATGCGATCACTTGTCACGGCATGGAATTATTTTTGGAACACTGGCAGAACCTGTAAATAGCTCCACTATTGCTTCGGCCCCAAGGGATTGAGTTACGCATTATTTTGTTTTACTGTGCATTATAGTGCGTTCAAAAAAGAAAGTTGACGAAAATGAGATCGTGTGAACTGGAAAAAAAAAATCGATCAAGTTTCCGCTCGACCAAACTTCCGTCGATCAATTTTCCGTCGACTAAATCTCTTTCAAACAAAATTCCGGTAACCCATAAATATCGTGCATGTTCATCAAATATAATGAAATGGAAAGCGTTTCCTTTCAATGCTCTACTTCAATGACAGTTTTCGGAATAAAATTTGTTTTTTGATTTTTGAATTACTTAGCCTATGATTTGTGAACTAGCACTACAATTATTTTTTTTTTATGTCAATTCTATTTCTTTTCTATTTTTTTTTTAAATCAATAGTTTAAGCAAAAATATGTCTTTCTAAATAGTCAATTTAAAAATAAATTCTATGGATTTGATTTTTTTTAAAATAATTTAATTTGTTTGTTAAGCGTATGGATGAGGCTTTTTGTAATTTATATGAAAGAAGTTTAAGTAGTTTGACATTTTTGAATATTGGGAAATTTGTGCTTTGTTTTTATACGATTTACCTCAGATAAAATCAAACATTAATAAAAAAAATCTATGTCTTTTGTAAACAACTCAAGTTTTCTTAACATAAATATGCCATCATGTACGATTTATAAAAATAACTAAATTTAAAAACCCTTAAAACTGTATAGACCTTTCTATAAAACTTTCTTTTTTTGTGTGTGTGTGTGACTCTGGTCAAATTGGGAAATGTTGAGAAAAACAATTATTATCCTTAAGATTTCTTTTATTTGCGTTTAACATGTAACATGATGTAAGCAAGGCATTTTTTATGATGAAAAACTTTTTTTTTTGGATGGAATTTTTGTGTGTGGTTTATTTGGTGTTGTTTTAAAATCATTTTTTTAAAAATTAATATAGAAGTTTACCCCAAAAATAGTTTAAATTAAAATTAAAACAAAATTACTATTAAGAAAAATAAAAAATAACAGAACCAGGTCAGTCAGGGCCGTCACTTGACTTTTTGAGGCCTCCTTGCACTTTTCGATTTTGTCTTCAAACCACCTTGATAATTAAAAAAAAATGTCCACATTACAACTACAAGCTCCTAAAATAACCGATGTCCCCTGCAACCGACAGGATGAAAGAAAAACCTATTCAAGAAAGCGTCAAAATGCATACATGCATTTAGAATTAATAGCACAATTTCTAAGGGGACGCCTGAGCCAGCTTTTGCTCAAGAGTCTTCGGCACTCTCAATGGCGGCCACCCCTCCTCTCTAATGCCGATCAATGTAACAGTGCGGGTTTCAATATGAGTTGAAGTGAATTCAGTTTATAAATGGCACTGGGCAAGATAATGTGCCCCCCCCCCCCCCCCCCCCCCCACGCTTGAACGTTTGCAAAGTTCCTTCCCCTGATCAAATAATCTAAGAGAAACACCGAATTTAGGTATACATCAAGATGCACCAATTGATTTTAAAATAATCAAACATTTTTCTGGGACTTAGCTTCCCAGACCCCACTCCTTTCCGCTCCAGACCTATTGGCAGAGGCGTAGCTAGATTTGTGACGCCAGGGAACAAGATTCATTTTACTCCCCCCCCCCCTCAATCTGAAACCCTAATTGTATTTTCATTACTTAAATACCACCAAAACCAATCTTGGCACCCTGCAAGTCTTCCGTCCCGGTCCTTCTGTCCCCGCTTTGCCCCCCCTCCCCTTATGTAGACTGACTCTCATGACACATGGCGGGTGAGACCTCGCATTTCCCTTGCTAGAGGAGTCTCTCTCTCACTCTCTCTCTCTCTCCCTCTCCTCTCTCTCTAAAAGCATGGTCTTGTTTAATCTTGAGTGCGTAATACAGTCGCCTTAGTTTGGTTGTGGGAATATCTCCTTCTAAAACTATAGTATTACTTATTGGCTGACGTGCAAATCAAGTGATAAGAGTCATAGAACGATATCATTAATGAGGAAGATTGCTTTTAAATATTGATGGAAATTTGACCTCCAGATACGCTTCTATTACTGGGGTAGCAATGGGGCGTGGAGGGGGCATTAAGGGGGCATAAAAGGGGCATAAAGGGGGCGTGGAGGGGGCGGTCCGCCCAGGCAGCACCTGTTTCTATATTTTGAGTAGCGGCATTTTCGAGCGAAAGTAGTTTTTTCATATAAATGGGTGGCCAAAATATTGCCTCGGATGGCACTAGCCCTAGCTACGCCACTGGCATCCATATAAAATTTACGAGAAATATTTGTGTCGTTGTTATTAAAATAATTTGTTAACCACCGACTTTCTTGGACTGGATCTAACCACTTTAAGAACCACTGGTATGAGCAATATATATAAACATAACTAATACGTTCATACAATTTTTAAGCATTACAGGGGGTCACATAAAATTGTGTTCATATTTTTAAACCTGTAATAAATTACGCCAGTGCGTGCTTCCATTATGTGACGGCAGATGGCGGAATAGTGAACAGCCTAATGACCGAAATAATTCGTTTAGCGATGTAACCTTCGACATAGCTTCTCACTTTTTTTTCCCCCGGGGTAATTGAGGATCATCATAAGACCTACATTTGTCAAGGCAAATGGCGACAGTTGTGCTAGTTACCGCCCTTCTAGCGTCTGTTTAGAGACGAGTGGATGCAGCAGCCTGCTGGGATTGTTGTAGCAAACATTTCAGTCATTTTTATTGTTGTACAAGAAATATCCATCGTGAGTTTATTGTACCTCATCACCCACACATGTGAGAATGTTGTACAAAACACGTAAATTGTGGGATATGTAGGGGAGAGGGGGTGGCAGAAATTTCTTGTGGGTCAACAATAATTCTTAATTGTACAGGAAAAATTAATTCAACAATTTCTTAAATATGTAGTGAAATGTTCTTATTATTAAACTCATTTTACCATGAACAATTGTAACATTATGATTTTATAACGTTGTGACGTTATAACATTATCACATTGTGACAATATGATTTTTTGACTCTTTTACATTGTGACATTAGACATTATGCCATTATGACATTGTGACATTGGGATATTTTGATATTGTGACATTATGACATTATACAATTGATATTGATCACCATTACGCGCTTAAAGATTTTGTAAATGAACTTTCTTTCATAGTATTACTTTCATTTGTTACATGGAGTAGATTCAACCATTACTTTCATTTGTTACATGGAGTAGATTCAACCATTACTTTCATTTGTTACATGGAGTAGATTTAACCATTACTTTCATTTGTTACATGGAGTAGATTCAACCATTACTTTCATTTGTTACATGGAGTAGATTCAACCATTACTTTCATTTGTTACATGGAGTAGATTCAACCATTACTTTCATTTGTTACATGGAGTAGATTCAACCATTACCTTCATTTGTTACATGGAGTAGATTCAACCATTACTTTCATTTGTTACATGGAGTAGATTCAACCATTACTTTCATTTGTTACATGGAGTAGATTTAACCATTACTTTCATTTGTTACATGGAGTAGATTCAACCATTACCTTCATTTGTTACATGGAGTAGATTCAACCATTACTTTCATTTGTTACATGGAGTAGATTCAACCATTACTTTCATTTGTTACATGGAGTAGATTCAACCATTATCTTCTTTTGTTCCATGGAGTATATTCAACCATTACCTTCTTTTGTTACATGGAGTAGATTTAACCATTACTTTCATTTGTTACATGGAGTAGATTTAACCATTATCTTCTTTTGTTCCATGGAGTATATTCAACCATTACCTTCTTTTGTTACATTGAGTAGATTTAACCATTACTTTCATTTGTTACATGGAGTAGATTCAACCATTATCTTCTTTTGTTCCATGGAGTATATTCAACCATTACCTTCTTTTGTTACATGGAGTAGATTTAACCATTACTTTCATTTGTTACATGGAGTAGATTTAACCATTATCTTCTTTTGTTCCATGGAGTATATTCAACCATTACCTTCTTTTGTTACATTGAGTAGATTTAACCATTACTTTCATTTGTTACATGGAGTAGATTTAACCATTACTTTCATTTGTTACATGGAGTAGATTCAACCATTACTTTCATTTGTTACATGGAGTAGATTCAACCATTACTTTCATTTGTTACATGGAGTAGATTCAACCATTACTTTCATTTGTTACATGGAGTAGATTCAACCATTACCTTCATTTGTTACATGGAGTAGATTCAACCATTACTTTCATTTGTTACATGGAGTAGATTCAACCATTACTTTCATTTGTTACATGGAGTAGATTCAACCATTACTTTCATTTGTTACATGGAGTAGATTCAACCATTACTTTCATTTGTTACATGGAGTAGATTCAACCATTACTTTCATTTGTTACATGGAGTAGATTCAACCATTACTTTCATTTGTTACATGGAGTAGATTCAACCATTACTTTCATTTGTTACATGGAGTAGATTCAACCATTACTTTCATTTGTTACATGGAGTAGATTCAACCATTACTTTCATTTGTTACATGGAGTAGATTCAACCATTACTTTCATTTGTTACATGGAGTAGATTCAACCATTACTTTCATTTGTTACATGGAGTAGATTCAACCATTACTTTCATTTGTTACATGGAGTAGATTCAACCATTACTTTCATTTGTTACATGGAGTAGATTCAACCATTACTTTCATTTGTTACATGGAGTAGATTCAACCATTACTTTCATTTGTTACATGGAGTAGATTCAACCATTACTTTCATTTGTTACATGGAGTAGATTCAACCATTACTTTCATTTGTTACATGGAGTAGATTCAACCATTACTTTCATTTGTTACATGGAGTAGATTCAACCATTACTTTCATTTGTTACATGGAGTAGATTCAACCATTACTTTCATTTGTTACATGGAGTAGATTCAACCATTACTTTCATTTGTTACATGGAGTAGATTCAACCATTACCTTCATTTGTTACATGGAGTAGATTCAACCATTACCTTCATTTGTTACATGGAGTAGATTCAACCATTACCTTCATTTGTTACATGGAGTAGATTCAACCATTACCTTCATTTGTTACATGGAGTAGATTCAACCATTACCTTCATTTGTTACATGGAGTAGATTGATTGATTGATTGATTGATTGATTGATTGATTGATTGACTTGATCTTTCTATCGTGCCAGTATCCCTGCCATTGTAGCGTGCTCACTGCTCACTGCTCACTGCGCTCTGGTCCTCTCAAATCTATTTAAACAAAAAAGTTTAAATTGTTTCTTAAATGATTTTTTATTATTTACAATTCCCCTCAAAGATTGAGGCAAACTGTTCCATAATTTTGGCGCTATCGCTTCAAAAGAGCGCACTCCGTAAGACTTTTTTCTGTGTTCATCCACATTAGGAACATTCAGTTAGTACTGTGTTGAAGACCGCAGGCTCTTTAAGGATACATGTTTATAAATCAGTTCCTTGAGATATTCCGGTGCTGAACCATCTATGCAGCTGTACGCCAGGGACAAAATTTTGTAGTTAATGTGCTCACTCACAGGAACCCAATGGAGATCTCGTAGAACTGGGGTGATGTGGTCAGATTTTTTCATCCGCGATACAATGCGTGCTGCAGTATTTTGTATCTTTTCGAGTCTCTGAATTTGATTCTGAGGTAAACCCCACCTGTCTCACAGCTGTGCCCAGGTCAATATGCAGATTGAAACTTGTCAAGTAAGTAATAAGTGTTTAGATGCTGCACAAGCTGCTGTGACACAGCTCTCTCAAGAATCTTAGATACAAAGGGCAGGTTGTAGACCGGGCGAAAATTCTTGCTGTCATTTGGGTCCAGACCACTTTTTTTAAGCAGAGCCTTAACGACCGCTGTCTTGAAGCGACGTGGGACTGTAGCAGACTGAAGGCTAATAGGCACGATGTTGACAAGTACAGGAAGCAAGACTTCCAGACAGTCCAAAACAATCTTGGTTGGGATGGGGTCAACAATAGAAGATGTAGGTATAGATGCCATGATTATATTTCTTAATTGTTCATGGGGAAACAGGCAAAAATTCCACCAGAGGGTTGCCTTCAAAGACTTACTCCACCGTAGACAAATCACAACGTTCCCCATGGAGTAGATTCAATTATTATCTTCCTTTGTTACATGGAGTAGATTCAACTATTACCTTCTTTTGTTACATGGAGTAGATTCAACTATTACCTTCTTTTGTTACATGGAGTAGATTCAACTATTACCTTCTTTTGTTACATGGAGTAGAATCAACTATTATCTTCCTTTGTTACATGGAGTAGATTCAACTATTACCTTCTTTTGTTACATGGAGTAGATTCAACTATTTCCTTCTTGTGTTACATGGAGTAGATTCAACTATTACCTTCTTTTGTTACATGGAGTAGATTCAACTATTACCTTCTTTTGTTACATGGAGTAGATTCAACTATTACCTTCTTTTGTTACATGGAGTAGATTCAATTATTATTTTCCTTTATTACATGGAGTAGATTCAATTATTATCTTCCTTTGTTACATGGAGTAGATTCAGGATCAAGGTATTCATTGAGAAAGAAAGGAAGCGCACCGCTTGGGTGTAAACAATAGTTTTGCTCTTGCCCTTAACCAATTGGATCGCTTCATTTAAAATTAAATTTGTTTTCAACAGTTTCTTTAATGATATCACATAAACAAGAACATCTCATTGAACTGCAAAGTGACATAACAGCTAGATTTAAATTTGAGAAACAAAATTTTAGGATATCCAGTCAAATGGCTAATAAGTTTCCACTATTTTGAGGACAAAAAAATTAATTGTCTTTCATGGAATACAATAAAACGTATGTAGTAAATGTGGCTTTTCTAACAGGTCTCAATTTGAGATCTTTTTAAAATCGCAACCGTCTTGACCCTTGTATTGAAAACAGAGATGATCCTCCATTATCACTAACAACACTGCGAAAAGATATTCAAAGACTTGTTCGTTTGCGGCAACCATGAAAATCTAACTAAATAAAGATAACATCATAAGCCCCACTCATTGGTCAAAGCATAGACCCCACTCATTGGTCAAAGCATAGGACCCACTCATTGGTCAAAGCATATGCCCCACTCATTGGTCAAAGCATAGGCCCCACTCATTGGTCAAAGCATAGGCCCCACTCATTGGTCAAAGCATAGGCCCCACTCATTGGTCAAAGCATAGGCCCCACTCATTGGTCAAAGCATAGGCCCCACTCATTGGTCAAACCATAGGCCCCACTCATTGGTCAAAGCATACGCCCCACTCATTGGTCAAAGCATAGGACCCACTCATTGGTCAAATCATAGGCCCCACTCATTGGTCAAAGCATAGGACCCACTCATTGGTCAAAGCATAGGTCCCACTCATTGGTCAAATCATAGGCCCCACTCATTGGTCAAAAATAGATAGATAGGTAGATAGATAGATAGGTAGATAGATAGGTAGGTAGATAGATAGGTAGATAGATAGATAGGTAGATAGATAGATAGGTAGATAGATAGATAGGTAGGTATCAAAGCATAGGCCCCACTCATTGGTCAAAGAATAGGCCCCACTCATTGGTCAAAGCATAGGCCCCACTTATTGGTCAAAGCATAGGCCCCACTCATTGGTCAAAGCATAGGACCCACTCATTGGTCAAAGCATAGGTCCCACTCATTGGTCAAAGCATAGGTCCCACTCATTGGTCAAAGCATTGGACCCACTTATTGGTCAAATCATAGGCCCCACTCATTGGTCAAAGCATAGGACCCACTCATTGGTCAAAGCATAGGTCCCACTCATTGGTCAAATCATAGGCCCCACTCATTGGTCAAATTATAGGTCCCACTCATTGGTCAAATCATAGGTCCCACTCATTGATCAAATCATAGGACCCACTCATTGGTAAAATCCTAGGCCCCACTCATTGGTCAAATTATAGGTCCCACTCATTGGTCAAATCATAGGTCCCACTCATTGGTCAAATCATAGGTCCCACTCATTGGTCAAATCATAGGACCCACTCATTGGTCAAATCATAGGACCCACTCATTGGTCAAATCATAGGCCCCACTCATTGGTCAAATTATAGGTCCCACTCATTGGTCAAATCATAGGTCCCACTCATTGGTCAAATCATAGGACCCACTCATTGGTCAAATCATAGGACCCACTCATTGGTCAAATCATAGGACCCACAATTCTTGACAATGAAGATATCAGCTAGAATGTCAGTGCTTCCCAGACTGTAAAGTTTGGAGGGTCCGTGGACCAATTTTGAATAGGCACCAGGGACCGGCGGCAAATTTATTTACTATATTTTTATTTGTTTTCAACTCTAGATATTCACGTTGTGTGGACCGGTAACGTAGGGGTCGCGGACCAGTGCCAGTCCGTGGACCACCAATTAGGCAACGCCAATAAATGGCATTGGAGCCCTCCTCCCACTTAAATCTGCACGCCTCTGCACACACAAAAGTGCCAAGGATTCGGGAATGTTGGTTCGCAAGAGAAGGATCGATTCCTTCAGCAATGTCTTTTGGTTTTGTTAAGACAAAAATTTGTAACTGAAATTTGACTGTCAAGAGCATAATGCTACCACGTAATGTAAATTTTCAAACTCAAACCAATTCGTCAATAAATAAAACCAATCAGCTTGTCAGTGTTTCTCTAAGTGGCGTAGCTATCGCCCCCCCCCCCCAGCTTTAAGTTGCCGGTCCGTACGAAAGGAGACAAGAAAGTACATTGGCAAACATAACAAAAGTGTTTACATTGGGAAACATTACAAAAGTAGACTATTTACATTGGCATGGATTAGGACGAAATGATAAAAGTTAATTAACTCCTTTCGTATTAGCTGAGCACGAAAAATAATAACTTAAGATATTTTTATTTAAGATTTAATAAATAAAATAGATCAAACTAATGAATTAAACCTGGAACCAGACCCTGCGGCAAAGGGAAACTTATTCACGGGTCAGTGAAACTTAAAAACTTTTGGGAAACAACGAATTATATTCTTGACCGATTGAACCTAGCACCTAATACAACGAACGCAGGTGTGGGCTACGCCTCTGCCATCATGGCCTTCTGGTTGAACACGTACTACATCGTGATCCTCGCCTGGACACTGTTCTACCTGTTCCACTCCTTCACGTCGGTCCTCCCCTGGGGGCGCTGTGGCCAGGACTGGAACACCAACAAGTGCATGAGTGCATACGAGCGGTACAAAATACCCTTCAACTGTACCAACGGCACGTCATGGTTTGAAGTAGGTTATCTACATGTACTCTGTGTCACTGGGACCCCAACCTTCCGTATCACATTTCTTTGAACATGTAACTAGGCCATTATAAATATTATTGAAAGATTTGCCCACTGAGCTTTCTACGATCAAATTTTATGGTGGGCTTCTGTTGAAATCTTTAATTAATTAGTCTTTCACGACTGTCTGCCTTCTTTTTTATTAGTCTTTCACGACTGTCTGCCTTCTTTTTTATTAGTCTTTCAAGGTGGTCTGCTTTATTTTTAATTAGTCTTTCAGGGCAGTCTGCTTTCTTTTTTATTTGTCTTTCAAAACGGTCTGCTTTACCACTCGCCTCATTACCAAAACATTGAGAAAAAAAAAATATTTGCACTATTTTCGTTAAGCCCTGATAAAAATGTAAAAGCTTTATTTTGATAATCTTGAAACAAACTATAAACTATTTTCTCTAAAATGCGGTTTTCGTGGACCTGTGAATAAACAAAAATTATATTTTAAATATACTTTTTTATCATTTTTTTTCTCGTTAATTTCTTTGATCGAAAAGTGTTAATTTATTTGCATTGTACATGTTCTCCCACCAGGTGCTTTTCTCATCCCGTTCGTGGCAACTATTGTGTTTGCTGGAATCCCCATGTATTTCATGGAGCTGGCCTTGGGTCAGTGGCTCAGTGTTGGGGGTATCGGCATCTGGAAGATAACACCTATCTTCAAAGGTAACCTGTTTGTCCACCATGTTAGTAACCAGCGTATTTTTTAAGTTTTTCATCATTACCAGTTCCAGAATGTATGCCAGACTCCGCACAGAACTGAATAAATATCTACATTCGATGTCATAATTGTGGTGGGCGGTACCTCCATTTTTTTTTCTTCTGCGCAGGTGTGGGCTACGCCTCTGCCATCATGGCCTTCTGGTTGAACACGTACTACATCGTGATCCTCGCCTGGACACTGTTCTACCTGTTCCACTCCTTCACGTCGGTCCTCCCCTGGGGGCGCTGTGGCCAGGACTGGAACACCAACAAGTGCATGAGTGCATACGAGCGGTACAAAATACCCTTCAACTGTACCAACGGCACGTCATGGTTTGAAGTAGGTTATCTACATGTACTCTGTGTCACTGGGACCCCAACCTTCCGTATCACATTTCTTTGAACATGTAACTAGGCCATTATAAATATTATTGAAAGATTTGCCCACTGAGCTTTCTACGATCAAATTTTATGGTGGGCTTCTGTTGAAATCTTTAATTAATTAGTCTTTCACGACTGTCTGCCTTCTTTTTTATTAGTCTTTCACGACTGTCTGCCTTCTTTTTTATTAGTCTTTCAAGGCGGTCTGCTTTATTTTTAATTAGTCTTTCAGGGCAGTCTGCTTTCTTTTTTATTTGTCTTTCAAAACGGTCTGCTTTATTTTAGTTAGTCTTTCAAGGCGGGTCTGCTTTATTTTTAATTAGTCTTTCACGACGGTCTGCCTTCTTTTTAATTAGTCGTACACGACTGTCTGCTCTCTCTCCTTCATTTGTCTCATACGCCTTTCATCTCCAGGTGAATGTGACCAGTGAATACAACTCCTCTCAGATTCCTTCGATTTACCCCGACTACAACTGCTCCCAGGATTATGACGCTTACAGATTTGTGTCACCGGTCAAGGAGTTCTGGTTGTAAGAGTCTCAGGGCGTCATAACTTGTCCCTTCTATAGTATCACGGGGGAGTCGCACCATTAAAATGGCTCCCTTTAAACATATTTTCAAACTGTCACGTGATAAAACACATGCCTGATTTCATAGGCCAGCTTTCGTTAAAGAAAAGTAATAACTATCCCCCCACCCCCACCCCATTTCAGAAAGAAAGCCCTGAAGCTCACAGATGGTATTGGAGATGCCGGACAGTTGCAGTGGGAACTATCCTTGTGTCTATTGGGTGTGTGGGTCCTCTGCTATTTTTGTATTTGGAAAGGGGTGAAATGGACGGGAAAGGTCAGTACTTAAACTAGAACTAAGGTAAGGTGTGATAATTAGATCTAGAAATTTCCTTCGGACATTTAGGCGATTCCAATGGGTCAAAGTTCAATAATTTGATGTTATGTTAGAAGACTCCTCTGATTGATTCTTTGCTTTTCTCCAGGTGGTCTACGTCACGGCTTTGTTCCCGTATATTTTACTCACAATCCTATTGATCAGGGGCGTAACGCTCCCAGGGGCCGCCGATGGAATTCGATTTTATATAACCCCGAACATGAAAAAACTGGCCGAGTCCACAGTAAGTTGAGATTTTATTTATTTTAATTTTTTATTTCGTTGTGTAAGTAGCAATGTTATCTACTATTGTATTCTCGACTTCCTGCTTGTATCTTCTCCGTTGGCTGATTGGTAAACTGAGACGAGAAAGAGATATCCTCATTCATTATAACTGTTCTCATAATTCTTTCTGTTCTCATAATTCTTTCTCTTCTCATCATTCTTTTTGTTCCCATAATTCTTTCTGTTCCCATAATTCTTTCTGTTCCCATAATTCTTTCTGTTCCCATAATTCTTTCTGTTCCCATAATTCTTTCTGTTCCCATAATTCTTTCTGTTCCCATAATTCTTTCTGTTCCCATAATTCTTTCTGTTCCCATAATTCTTTCTGTTCCCATAATTCTTTCTGTTCCCATAATTCTTTCTGTTCCCATAATTCTTTCTGTTCCCATAATTCTTTCTGTTCCCATAATTCTTTCTGTTCCCATAATTCTTTCTGTTCCCATAATTCTTTCTGTTCCCATAATTCTTTCTGTTCCCATAATTCTTTATGTTCCCATCATTCTTTCTGTTCCCATAATTCTTTCTGTTCCCATAATTCTTTCTGTTCTCGTCAACCTTTCTGGTCTCATACATTTGATCTGTTTATTTGTGTTCTTCTTTGTAAAAACTCTTCATTAGTTGTTTCTGCTTTACAAGAGTCGTCTGCTTGTGTTTTACATATCAAGTCTGCTTGTGTTGTACATGTCGTCTGGTTGTGTTGTACATGTCGTCTGCTTGTGTTGTACATGTCGTCTGCTTGTTTTGTACATGTCGTCTGCTTGTGTTGTACATGGGTCTGCTTGTTTTGTACATGTCGTCTGCTTGTGTTGTACATGGGTCTGCTTGTGTTGTACATGGGTCTGCTTGTGTTGTACATGAGTCTGCTTGTGTTGTACATGTCGTCTGCTTGTGTTGTACATGTCGTCTGCTTGGCTTGTGTGTACATGTCGTCTGCTTATGTTGCACATGTCGTCTGCCTGGGTTGTACATATCAAGTCTGCTTGTGTTGCACATGTCGTCTGCCCATGTTGTACATATCAAGTCTGCTTATGTTGCAGGTCTGGGTTGATGCAGCTTCACAGATTTTATTTTCCTACGGTGTTGGTCTCGGCACGTGCACAGCTCTGGGGAGTTACAACAAATACCACAACAACGTTTACAAGTAGATCTTTGCCTGGTGTCTGTCCTTAGTATATGCTGTGTCTGTCCTTAGTCTATGCTGTGTCTGTCATTGGTCTATGCTGTGTCTGTCCTTAGTCTATGCTGTGTCTGTCCTTAGTCTATGCTGTGTCTGTCCTTAGTCTATGCTGTGTCTGTCCTTGGTCTATGCTGTGTCTATCGCAAGTTTATGTTGTGACTATCGCTAGCCTATATTGTGTCTGTCCCTAGTGAAAATATGTGTGAGTGTGTGATTTCCTAGTCTATGTTGTCTGTCCCTTGCCTGTAATGTGTCTATATCTATTCTGTGTTGTGTTGGCCATACTGCATTGTTATTTCGTACTTTGACCTTTTGGGTTTGATTCAATTTTTTCTTAATTATTTTGACATTAATGTACACGTTTTATTTAGCTCATTTTTTCTTATATGATGTGCTATGTCTATGTGATGTGCTTTGTTTTATATGTTGTTCTATGTCTAATATGATGTTCTGTGTCTGATATGATGTGCTATTTCTAGTATGATGTGCTATGTGTAATATGCTATGTCTAGTACAGTGGTTCTTAACCTTTTTGGAGGTACCGAACCCCACCAGTTTCATATGTGCATTCACCGAACCCTTCTTAATAGGAAAAATAAAATATGATTTTTTTTCCTGATTTTTTTTGGACCTCCACCGAACCCCTGAGACTGACTCACTGAACCCCTGGGATCCGATCGAACCCAGGTTAAGAACCACTGGTCTAGTATGATGGGCTATGTCTAATATTATGTTCTATGCCTAGTATGATGTGCTATGTCTAATATGATGTGCTTCGTCTAGTATGATGTGCTATGTCTAATATGATGTGCTATGTCTAGTATGATGTGATGTGTCTAATATGATGTGCTACATCTAATAAGATGTGCTATGTCTAATATGATATGATGTGTTTCATATGATGTCTAATATGATGTGTCTAATATGATGTGTTATATCTAGTATGATGTGATGTGTCTAATATTATGTGCTATGTCTAATATGGTGTGCTAAGTCAAATATGATGTGCTAAGTCTATTATGATGTGCTATGTATTATATGATTTGCTATGTCTAATATGATGTGCTACGTCTAATTTGATGTGCTGTGTCTAATATGATGGCTTATGTCTAATAGGATGTGCTATGTCTAATTTGATGTGATGTGTCTAATATTATGTGCTATGTCTAATATGAAGTGCTGTGTATTTGTGTTTAAGTTTCTAAATTCAAACAAGCTATTAATAGCCATATTAGATTTCTTGTGAATAAAATATGTTTAACAGTTGTTTAACTTGTTTCACATATTTCTAAAGACAATCCAATAGACTATATGTTTAAAACTTGCATCAATGTGAACAAATTCGGAACGGCAAAATATTGTCTATCTGCATGGACTCTTTTGTTCTCCCTTCAGCATTATCTGTCTTTCTGCAGGGACGCCGTGTTGATTTCTTGTTTAAATAGTAGCACCAGCGTGTTTGCTGGGTTTGTTATTTTCTCCGTCATCGGCTTCATGGCTCACGAGCAGAAACGGAGCGTTCACCTGGTTGCAGAATCAGGTAAATGAAATCGAGTCGTCCCACCAAAAGCTAACACTATTTAATCCAGATCACTGTCAAATCATTTCACCACCGGAGCATGAGTCTTCTTTAAAAGCTAACACTATTTAATCCAGATCACTGTCAAATCATTTCACCACCGGAGCATGAGTCTTCTTTAAAAGCTAACACTATTTAATCCAGATCTCTGTCAATTCATTTCACCACCGGAGCATGAGTCTTCTTTAAACATAATTCCATATAGTGTGTAATTTTGTTTTTGTTGACACGTCTTCTCAAATATCTCCAGGTCCTGGTCTTGCCTTCCTTGTTTACCCCAGTGCAGTGACACAACTGCCTATCTCTCCACTCTGGGCCATTCTATTTTTTCTGATGCTTCTCACATTGGGGATGGATAGCCAGGTAAAATGAAATTCCGAAAGCCAGGTAAAAATGACATTCAGAAACTCTCAAAATCTTTGTTTTGTAATTTCTTTTCTGGCTTCTCCACACAAAAAAAAAAATAATTAAAAAATGAGTCACGATTATTATTTTTTTATTAAGAAAAGAAAACCAAAAACTATCAACATTAAAAGATGATTTATACGGATAGGAAAAGTTCATTTCTGAACAGATAAATGCCAACCAACTAAAATAATATGTTTGATAAAATGGTTTAAATTCCAGTTCTGCACTATGGAGGGATTTTTCACAGCGCTCATTGACGAGTTCCCGCGTCATCTCAGGCGTCATAGGGAAATCTTCATTGCTCTCGTCTGCCTTGCTTCGTATCTTATCGGCTTATCCATGGTCACAGAGGTAAGTACACATTGGTACACTATACATGGTCACAGAGGTAAGTAACATTGGTACACTATCCATGGTCACAGAGGTAAGTGCACATTGGTACACTATCCATGGTCACAGAGGTATGTACACATTGTCACATTATCCATGGTCACAGAGGTAAGTACACATTGTCACATTATACATGGTCACAGAGGTAAGTACACATTGTCACATTTTCCATGGTCACAGAGGTAAGTGCACTTTTCACACTATCATTGTCACACTATACATTGTTACAGAGGTAAGTGCACACTGTCACATTATGCATGGCCACAGAGATAATTGCCCCTTGGTACATTATTCATGGTCACAGAGGTAAGGGCACATCGGCTCATTACCCATGGCCACATAGGTAAGTACACATTGTCACACTATCCATGATCACAGAGGTAAGTGCACATGGCACATTATCCATGGCCATATAGGTAAGTACACATTGTCACATTATCCATGGCCACAGAGGTAAGTGCACTTTGTCACACTATCCATTGTTACAGAGGTAAGTGCACACTGTCACATTATGCATGGCCACAGAGATAATTGCCCCTTGGCACATTATTCATGGTCACAGAGGTAAGTGCACATCGGCTCATTATCCATGGTCACAGAGGTAAGTGCACATTGTCACAATAGAAAGAACACATTGTCACACTATCCATGGTCACAGGGGGTGGGTGAATAGTTTGATGGATTGCTGGGATGTTTAACATAAACAATGGTGTTTTTTTTGTCTACATGTGACTTCTTTGTTTACAGCACAAAAATGTGACTTCTTTGACATGACAAGGAAGTTCTTGCGTGCCGGATTAAACGTTTCAATGGACCGAGTGTGGGCCGGAGGGCCGAGTGTGGCCCGTGGGCCGTAGGTTGTCCGTAGGTGTGAATAACATAGACAAAAATGCATGCAACATTCTAAATAGACAACCGTTATTTATATAGTCGTTTGTCCTGCGGTTGTCATAACCTTGCAATGATGTCAAGCTTTCAGTGGCTTTGTTCAACATGAACTTCCATGATATATCGCGCCATTTGAACATTCCAACGCCATTTGAACATTCCAACGCCATTTTGTGCTTGCAGGGAGGCATGTACGTGTTCCAACTCTTTGACTTCTACTCGGCCAGTGGCATAACAGTATTGCTGCTCATTTTCTTTGAATGCATAGCAATATCCTGGTCATATGGTGAGTAGTATTGTGAGTCGTGGTGAAATGGTGAGTAGTCGTAATATGGTGAATCGTGGTGATATGGTGAGTAGTCGTGATATGATGAGTCGTGGTGATATGGTGAGTCGTGGTAAAATGGCGAGTCGTGGTGATATGGTGAGTCGTGGTGATATGGTGAGTCGTGGTAAAATGGCGAGTTGTGGTGATATGGTGAGTCGTGGTGATATGGTGAGTCGTGGTGATATGGTGAGTCGTGGTGATATGGTGAGTCGTGGTGATATGGTGAGTCGTGGTGATATGGTGAGTCGTGGTGATATGGTGAGTCGTGGTTGGGTTGGTGATATGGAGAGGTTTGTTGTTAAGGGGGGTTTGATGATATTTATTTATTTATTTAGGCATGTTTATATAGCGCTTACCTTAAAGCTCTAAGCGCTTTACAATTATTAAAAACATGATGATATGGTGAGGTTTGGTTATTTGATGAGGTTTGGTGATATGGTGAGTTGTGGTGAGGTTGTTGTTAGAGGGGGGTTTGGTGATATGATGATATGGTGAGGTTTGGTGATTTGGTGAGCAGGGGTGAGGATCGGTTTTGAAATCACATTAAGGAAGCCTGAAAAGATCATCATTAATTATATTATTTAAGTTTTGGTTTACATAGATCTCAACTCTTCCACTGAGTATACTCTATTTGCTGTAAAGGTTTGACTCACCAAAGCAGCTCCCCCCCCCCTCCCAGAGAGAGAGAGAAAGTTCTCTTCCTTTGAAACTGTATTCTCTTCTTCAGGCGTCAATCGGTTCTATGAAGATCTCAAAGACATGTTTGGATTTTATCCTTGTTTTTTCTGGAAAATCTGTTGGTGTGTTACAACTCCCGCTATATGTCTGGTAAGTGTCTTGCATTCTCCACTATATGTCTGGTAAGTGTCTTACATTCTCCACTATATGTCTGGTAAGTGTCTTACATTCTCCACTATATGTCTGGTAAGTGTCTTACATTCTCAACTATATGTCTGGTAAGTGTCTTACATTCTCAACTATATGTCTGGTAAGTGTCTTACATTCTCCACTATATGTCTGGTAAGTGTCTTACATTCTCCACTATATGTCTGGTAAGTGTCTTACATTCTCAACTATATGTCTGGTAAGTGTCTTACATTCTCAACTATATGTCTGGTAAGTGTCTTACAACCCCCACTACATGTCTGGTAATTGTCTTACATTCTCCACTAAATTTCTGGTAAATGTCTTACACTCCCCACTATATGTCTGGTAAGTGTCTTATATTCTCCACTATATGTCTAGTTAGTGTCTTACAACCTCCACTATGTCTGGTAAGTGTCTTACATTCTCCTTTATATCCCTGGTTATTGTCTTACACCCTACACTATATGTCTGGTAAGTGTCTTACAACCCCATTATGTATCTGGTAAGTGTCTTACAACCTCAGCTAAGCGTCTTGTCAGTTTGTTACAACCCCGTAATGTGTCGTGTAAGTGTCTTACCACTACACTGTCTCTTGATCGTCTGTTACAACCCACACTATTTGACATTGAATGGATTGTACTGTTCAAGTCTCCAAATATTATCGATTCGATTACCTTCAAACGAAATGGCATGCTTGAAATTCACGAAGTAAATGTTTAGTTCAGGATGTGGTACACTTGTTTAGTTCAGGATGTGGTACACTTGTTTTTTTATAGTATGGTACTATCGTTTCTTTCATAGTATGGTTCTCTTGTTTCTTTCAGAATGTGGTACTGTTATTTATTACATAGTATGATAAACTTTTTTATTTCCTAATGTGGTACTCTTGTTTTTTTATAGTTTGGTACGCTTGCTTATTTTAGAATGTGGAAATCTTGTTTATCTCAGAAAGTATTACTCTTGTTTATTTCAGAATGTGGTACTCTTGTTTATTTCATAGTATGGTACTCTTGTTTTTTTATAGTTTGGTACTCTTGCTTATTTAAGAATGTGGTAATCTTGTTTATTTCAGAAAGTTGTACTATTGTTTATTTCAGGATGTGGTACTCTTGTTTCTTTCATAGTGTGGTACTCTTGTTTATTTCAGCATGTGGTACTGTTGTTTATTTCAGCATGTGGTACTGTTGTTTATTTCAGCATGTGGTACTGTTGTTTATTTCAGCATGTGGTACTGTTGTTTATTTCAGCATGTGGTACTGTTGTTTATTTCAGCATGTGGTACTGTTGTTTATTTCAGCATGTGGTACTGTTGTTTATTTCAGCATGTGGTACTCATATTTATTTCAGGGTGTGGTACTCTTATTTATTTCAGGGAGTGGTACTCTTCAGCGTGTTCACATTTCAGCCAGTCACGTACGTAGGGTATCAGTTCCCAACATGGGCGCACGCTGTAGGTGGCGTCGTGGGGGCGTCCTCCATCATCTGTATACCTGTCTATATGGTGTACAAGTTCCTCATCACCAGTGGATCATTATCACACGTGAGTAGTCGCGGGCTTTGCTTGACGGCATTCCTAGAGCCACGCCTACTCTAACGTATTTTACGACTCACGCACTGTTCACGTCGTCCCGCTCAAATCTTTACGCATCGAAAATCATCACCTCTATCCTCAAAAGAGACTTCAACCGGTTTTATGAAAGCGTCCGAAATATTGAGGTCTGGGATATTGAGGTCTGGGATATTGAGGTCTGGGATATTGAGGTCTGGGATATTGAGGCCTGGGATATTGAGGTTCAAATATAGAGGTCTGAAATATTGAGGTCTGGGATATTGAGGTTCAAATATAGAGGTATGAAATATTGAGGTCTGGGATATTGAAGTTCAAATATAGAGGTATGAAATATTGAGGTCTGGGATATTGAGGTTCAAATATAGAGGTATGAAATATTGAGGTCTGGGATATTGATGTTCAAATATAGAGGTATGAAATATTGAGGACCGATATGATAAAGTCCCAAGTATTGAGTTCCCAAATATTGAAACCCTAGATACTTAGGTCCCAGATGTTAATTCCGATATATAGAATTCCTAGATATTTATGTTGTTTAGATGTAGAGAGTTGCCTGAGCATACTTACACATATTATATAGGTTCAGAAAATATGAATGATATGGGCGTCGGTTCAATAACCTTTAAAACAAACCTATAAAATTAACTGATAAATTAAACCTATAAAATTAACTGATAAATTAAACCTATAAAATTAACTGATAAATTAAACCTATAAAATTAACTGATAAATTAAACCTATAAAATTAACTGATAAATTAAACCTATAAAATTAACTGATAAATTCAATCTATAAAATTAAATGAGAAATTAAACAATTGAATTAATCCATTGTATTAATATATAACTATAACCTACGCGTATCCTGAGTTCATCAATAAAGTGACGCCATTCTGTCCACAGAGAGTCAAGATCCTGTTCCGACCAGACCTGAACTTTAGAAGAGGAAGTTCTGACCCCCCGCCTTACTCAGCCATACCAAGGACGGTGGGGGGTGGCGTTGTAAGGTTGTGAGGTGTCTCTGGGGGAGCAGCCCCCAGAGGATCATACAAGTGTCTATACACCACCCCCATTCCCCCCCCCACAACGGTTTGGGGTATTGTCCATCACGGGTTGGGGGGATCTTTAAGTTTAGTATTCCTTGATTCGATGGACTTGAAGGACGTCAATCATGGAAGTGTGTTGTACAACAGTTGTATGAAGATGTTGGATCAAGATGATGGATGAAGGCATTTGAAGGTGACAGAGACCACGAATGAGAGGCTATAAGATATTGGGAGGCTTTAGGATAATGGAGGGCTATAGCTTAATGGGAGGCTATAGGATAATGGGAGGCTATCCTAGGCTATAGGATAATGGGAGGCTATAGGATAATTGGAGGCTATAGGATAATGGGAGGCTATAGGATAATGGGAGGCTATCCTAAGCTATAGGATAATGGGAGGCTATAGGATAATTGGAGGCTATAGGATAATGGGAGGCTATAGGATAATGGAAGGCTATAGGATAATGGGAGGCTATAGGATAATGGGAGGCTATAGAATAATGAGAGGCTATAGGATAATGGGAGGCTATAGGATAATGGGAGGCTATAGGATTATGGGAGGCTATAGGATAATGGTAAGGTATAGGATAATGGTAAGGTATAGGATAAGGGAAGGCCTATAAGATGAGAGAATTACAGTGAAACCTGGAAATAGCGAAAACTTCATGGCATTAACCCTGGCAAGAGCGCGAAATCTCCAACGCCCCCCCGCCTCCCAACCCGGGGATGGAAGTGTGTCTGCCCCCCCTCCCAACCCGGGGATGGATGTTTGTCTGCCTAATCCTCATGCTGGCTGGAAATAAATAGTGGAACAACGAGATATTTTAGGCTTGAAAATAAAAGACAAGACAATATTAAGCGGATAATTGGATATTTCGGCTAGATGCCTTCTTCACCAGACAAAACAATAGATGGCTGTTTCGGCTAAATGCCGTCTTCAGCAGACAAGGCAATTAATTGGATGTCTGGGCTAGATGCCTTCTTCAGCAGACAATACAATAAAATATATAGAAAATCCATTTCAATTAAACTATATAACTTATGTTTTGGAAGATCTCAATAAAGTCAGAGTAACTCAATTTGAGGGACAAAAAGCATTCTAATTTGTTGTAATAAATTGAAGTTAAGCTTAGATTCTAGTTGGCTTTCATTTACAAGACTAAACATATCTTGTTCCATTCTTATCTATTTTACACAACAAGCAGCCGATTCAGTTATTATCATTTATTCTGGCTTGACCTGCAAAAAGCACCATCCCTGAAAATAGCATCACTTTTGTTTCGTTTCCAAGGGTTTTCGTTACTTGCAGGTTGCGCAATATATAATATTGAGGGTTTGTGTAATGGGAAAGTGACACTATAATGGGAGGGTTATATAAAAATTGGAGGGCTACACAATAACGGGAGGGGTATACAGTAATGGGATGGCTATACTCCAATGGGAGGGTTATACAATAATGGGAGGGTTATATAAGAGAGGGAGGAACATGGGAGGTTTATTCAATAATGAAATGGTTATTCAATAATGAGATGGTTATTCAATAATAAGATGGTTATACAATAATGGGAGGGGTATACAATAATGGGAGGGTTATAAAAAAAATAGGAGGGCTTTAAAAGAATGTACTGGTAGCTTTTAGAAATTTTATCATTGCTGTACAAACTATTTTAGAATTTTAATCATTTTGCTCATGTTTTGATAATGGAACTTAATCTGTGAATGTTTTCTACTTTTTAAACACTCCATTTCATTCAAAATGTTACACACTATCTAAATATACCTGTATCATTTTAAATATGAGTAAATAATAAGAAAGACATGCAATGTATGATATGCAACAACAATAATCTCTGTTTTATTTATATGTTTCCTTGTTAATTACAATGCTACCATGGATTTGTTCTGTCTTCTCATTAGATATCATTATTGATATATTCTCACCAATAGTGTCGTCAACAGAGTACGCCGAAGGTTTATTCTGGTCTAAATATGATAATGCTGTTGTTGTTGTTTTGTTGTTTTTTCAAAATCGTCAAAAAATCTGAGCCATCCTTGACGTTACCTCACGCATTACTCATTCCGCTCCAAGCTAACTACCCCCACACCAATCTTTGGGACGTGATCCACAAATCTTATGCCAAAATTATCGAAAGTGTTGCCATAAATAAATTGTACTGGTAGTGGTAGCCTTTTTTTAAATTTTTACCTAACTCCCAATTAAATTAACTACAATAATATTGCGATTACGTTTTCATTCCACCCCACTTCTAGATTTTCCATCGGTGGAACAAACTTCCGGACGATAAAAACTTCACATCGAACAAAACTCTTTACTACAAAATGATTTCGTTCAAACTTCATGTCACCCACTAACTTGTCCATGTATCAGGATGGTAGTCAGCAGCACAAGATGTTAGTTAAAACATCTCAAAACTTTTTTTTTTTTTTTTTGCTGTTGTTGTAATAAGCCATATTTCTTTCTTCATTCTAACGCTTGTCCTTAGATGCTGGTTTTCAAATATCGTGTTCGGTTTCTATTTTGATTCACTTGTTGTCTTTTATCACTAGGTTCCTATATTTTAAACTGTTCTCTAATCTAGGACCTCTTAAGTAAGAATTGTCGTGAACATTCTTACTTTTATTAACTGTGTTAGATTTTTTTTTTAATGAGAATCTTAAAGTAATATTAATAATTCGCATTTAATTTGGTCATTATTATTATTATTATTATTATTATTATTATTACGACTGGAAAAATCAAGACGATTGTTTTTTGTTGTTTTTTTTTGTGTGTGTGGTATAAATGGAAACTTGTTAGGGTGGAGATAAACTCAAGTATTTTGTTTGCTTTAAAAAAAAATAGAACAAGTATGACTGGCCTAATTCGCAGTTGAATGTAGTCACCAGTATCCATTGAGTATTTCCAATAATAATTATGTATTTGGATGTTTTGATTCGATGTCGGGATGAATTAAATTGTAAACTTGATAAGTTTATAGGAACTTAAGATTTAAACAATTTTATCTTTAGGCGGTGACGTGACGTCGACATGTGTTAGTAGGAGTGTACGCCATGGGGTGGTGCAGCCAGGGTTAGTGCCCCCCTCCTCCTCTCCCGGTGACGTGACGTCGACATGTGTTAGTAGGAGTGTACGCCGTGTGGTGGTGCAGCCAGGGTTAGTGCCCCCCCCTCCTCCTCTTCCGGTGCTGGCAAATATTTTTGACGCCTCCTCCCATTAAAAAACTGGAGCTGGGCAAAAACCGCCCCTCCATATAAAGAAAAAAGTGACGCCCGGGGCGGATAGCCCCCCCCCTCCCCACTCTTCCTACACCAGTGACACCTTTGAATATAATTTGAGCCGAGTACAAATTATTTAGGTTAGATTTATTTTGTACAGACACTAACATACTTACCCTACCCGTGCAGAGTGTATATGTGTGTGTAAAAATGCCGGCCCCATATGTGTATTAATGTATGGTCAAATTACCAGGCGCTCTAAACGTACGCAAACAGATGTATGTTTTATGTGTGTGCGTCACTGCGTCTGAATATGTATTTTCGAACTTTATTACAATAAACTCGTATGCTATATGTGACTCTTGTATATTCGTATGCTCTATGTAACTCTTGTATGCTAAATGGACCTCGAGTACACTTGTGTATATTTATCAGATATCTTACATGCCGTGTACATATGTATGTATTTTTAGAAATACCGGATATCTTACAAGCCATGTACATATTAATGTTAGAATAACCGGACATGTGTGTACTCCGTGATTAGCCACACATACACATATAAGGCTTTTTTCACTTTTCTACTTCAACGTATAGTTTAGAATTGTCCAAATTGCATGACATCATCATTCTAAAACATTGTAAACCAAAAGAAACGTTTTCCTAAATGACTGACTTCTGGCTTTGTTCTTTCAAGGAATGAGAGTTGATTCGCCTTGAGTAGCAATGGGTCTTTTTATAAGGATGTGGCTGAGTAACGATGGTTTTTGTTTTGGGATGTGGCTGAGTAACGATGGTTTGTGTTGTTGATGTGGCTGACTAACGATTGTTTGTGTTGGGGATGTGGCTGAGTAACAATGGTTTGTGTTGTTGATGTGGCTGACTAACGATGGTTTGTGTTGTTGATGTGGCTGACTAACGATTGTTTGTGTTGGGGATGTGGCTGACTACGATTGTTTGTGTTGTTGATGTGGGTGACTAACGATGGTTTGTGTTGGGGATGTGGCTGAGTAACGATGGTTTGTGTTGGGGATGTGGCTGAGTAACGATGGTTTGTGTTGGGGGTGTGGCGCTGAGTACACTCGTTAATTCTGGTAGGTGTGTTAGTGGAACGTTTAAGTTAGCATTATATAATATTTACTAATGGAGAAAAAAATCAAACCAAACAAGAGCATTTTAGTTGGATTTTTTTATTGGGAAAATAACAAATTTGCCAACTGGAAATTTTACTCCTAAGTAATCAGCTACTTGGTTTACCGAATCACAATATGACCAACATCTTTCCAACTGTACAAATGTAACAAGACGGTCTGTAACTCCGCATGCCAGCTAGGTCACTTTTCACTCAAATCAAAAGTTATGGTTAGAGATTATCTGTCATAAAGCTATGTTTTAGGTTTTTAATTAATACATCAGAATGAATTTTTTAAAGAACACACACAGAAAATACATAGATCTAAATTAAAATTTGAGGATACCCTTTGCCCTCGTTTGAAATCTGCTGCACAAAATGAAACCAAGTAAAAAAAAATGGAAAGTAAAATGAGTAAACACGTGAAAGTAGTGTGTCCTTAGCAAACTCTAACAGTGGTAAAGTAGTGTGTCCTTAGCAAACTCTAACAGTGGTAAAGTAGTGTGTCCTTAGCAAACTCTAACAGTGGTAAAGTAGTGTGTCCTTAGCAAACTCTAACAGTGGTAAAGTAGTGTGTCCTTAGCAAACTCTAACAGTGGTAAAGTAGTGTGTCCTTAGCAAACTCTAACAGTGGTAAAGTAGTGTGTCCTTAGCAAATAGCTTGATTCTAACAGTGGTAAAGTAGTGTGTCCTTAGCAAATAGCTTGATTCTAAAAGTGGTAAAGGAGATGTTATCTTTCCTGTAACCAGCTTAGAACAATGTTGAGCGATCATTTTCCTTGTTCAAACATCTTCAGATTAAATCATTTATTAGTTTGCGCACCTTTAGCCTATGAACATCGTCCGTGCCTTATGATGCTTTAGTTTCTGAAATCCATGACAATGCACCAGATGGGACTTCCGGCTTCAACCATGATCAGGTGCGACATGGCCAAAACATTTGCTGAGGCGCTTAAGGCGTCGTTGGCTCCTCGACTCCTCATTCCCGATGACGACAGTGACGATGAGGATAAATTAAATGGAGAACTGGCCGATGAGAAGCCATGGGACAGATTACCCTACAATGTTCTGGTCAACATTTGCAGGTAGCTTTGTCCGCTGAAATTAGGTGGGGGGGGGCATGACGCTTGAACAGTGGCGTAGCTAGGGTGGATGTCACCGGGTGCTTTAAACTTACGAAGTCACCCCCCCCCCCCATTTACTTCCACGATGGCTTTTTTTTTGTTAAAAATGAGAAGCCATGGGAAAGATTACCCTACAATGTTCTGGTCAACATTTGCAGGTAGCTTTGTCCGCTGAAAGTAGGTGGGGGGGGGCATGACGCTTGAACAGTGGCGTAGCTAGGGTGGATGTCACCGGGTGCTTTAAACTTACGAAGTCCCCCCCCCCCCCCATTTACTTCCACGATGGATTTCTTTTTGTTAAAATAAGTCCACAGTATAACAATGAGAAGAGCAAACACACATAAATAGTAGGTCAAGGGTTCAATTTATTTAAGAACTGTAACAACGTTAAGTTAAACTTAATTTTACATTAAATTTATTTTATTTAAAAAAAAATTCTTTTCCTGGTCTTCAAAGCTGCAAAGCTGTAAAGCACTTGATCCTTATCAATATCCTTCACCGTATCACTTTCAATTAATAGTAGAGCCAGAACAGAAATCCTTGACTGTCCCATGGTGGAGCGTAAAAAGTTCTTGTTTTGAAAAGCTCAGCTCACATGAAGCCACAGACACATTAGATCGTAAGAGACATTTGAAATTTAAGGCTTAGCGAGAGTATTGGAAAAGATTCTAAGAAGTCCCATTCAACTATTCACCTAATTATAGGTTCATATAATTTCTCACGCATCAATCTTGAACTTTTAATGAAGCACGGATTAGGACTGGTTAGATGTGTGGGACTGGTTAGATGTGTGGGACTGGTTAGATGTGTGGGACTGGTTAGATGAGTGGGACTGGTTAGATGTGTGGGACTGGTTAGATGTGTGGGAAATTGAAGTGCGATCGGTTAACCTTCTATGAAATTCGGTTAGAGCGAGCAGTGTGTGCACTGTAAATATAACATTTTTTTTTTCAGTTTGGTGGCACCCTCGGAAATGGTGTCACCCGGTGTTGTCTGCACCCCTGCAACCACCCCCTTAGCTACGCCACTCCGCGTGAAGTTACCTCGTGACTCACTTCATCAAGGGGGGGGGGGAATTATTTTTTTTTAATGATTATGATTAAACAAAAACAAAATACTTTGATATTCCATTGATAAGTGAATATTGAAAAATTCAATTGAGACATGTTTGCATAAAGCCATTAGTTTGTGTATTATTAAGAAGACTGAGGCTAATTTAAGATTTAAAATTAGATTAATTACTCACTTCATCAAGGGGGGGGGGGAATTATTTTTTTTTAATGATTATGATTAAACAAAAACAAAATACTTTGATATTCCATTGATAAGTGAATATTGAAAGATTCAATTGAGACATGTTTGCATAAAGCCATTAGTTTGTGTATTATTAAGAAGACTGAGGCTAATTTAAGATTTAAAATTAGATTAATTTAGAGTATAAAGTAAAGAATATTCGTGAAAATTGTAGGGCACTTAAAGCTAAATTACTGGATTCAGGTCTAAAAATTAATAAAGTAGACTAGACCCGAAAAAAGGACACAGCCAGTGGTGTAGCGAGGATATTTGGCGCCCCCCCTCCAGCCACCGGAGCCGGGGGAGCTACCCCAGGTGCCCTCCCCCTCGCTACGCCAGTGGACACAGCTTGACTGACCCGAAGACACCGGTTTTGATGCCATGTACATTTTATTTTTGCAAGGTTCCTCCACGGGAAAGATCGGGCACGCATGGCCTTCGTGTGCAGGTCCTGGAACGACGCCACCAAGAACCCCTCGCTGTGGAGGAGCCACGTCTTCTACTTGTACTCCAACAGCGAGGCGCCCCGGGGGCTGAGCTGGCTGGACTCCCGCGTCAGCTACCTGTGGCACGCCACCATCATGTGCTTCGGCAACTTCGACCGCTACAGGGATAAGTTCCTGCGGGCTCTCCAGCAAGCTAACCTGCTTGACCTTGACATTAACGGCACCGCATACTGGTGGTCTGCTGCTGCTGGTGGGTGTTCCAAAATAAACCACGAAACTTAGATCGAAACGAAACTCGTCCTATTACTTGATTTAATGAAATAGATATCATGTGCACCGTCTTGAATGGTTCTTAGAGCTTTTTGAAGGTATTTAGACGGTATGTAGTCGGAATTTAGAAGGAAGCAAAGAATGTAAGCAGATGCACACTAACTGGGAAGGGGTGCTTTAAGGGGTGACAAATGAGCTGAATTTCATCAGGGCTTTGACTCCATGGCTTGTTACTCTTAGGTAGTCTAATAGTGAGCTGACTCCATGGCTTACTTCCCTTAGGTAGTCTGATTAGTGAGCTCATTGAGATCTTTAAAGTGATCTTGATCAAACGTAGAGAAATGTTGTTTTTTAAAAAAAATGTTATATCCAAGTAATATAAATGTTTTGTTGTTGTTTTTTTTTTTGGTTGATATCCTTGTAAAACCTCATATATTTTTTATCATTTATCTGGCAATCAAAGACGCCAGTGACTGCTCACTCTACATTTCTTCGAATAACTTTCACTTAGATTATGACCAGTAAATTGAAGCAGGCTTCTTTTGACCGACTTCCACTCTGAACAAAAGGCACTTCTCCAGAGCCCCGAGCTCCCCTCCAGCTGTGGCAAAATGACACTGGTACAGAGCTTCGAGCTCCACTCCAGCTGTGGAAAAAAGGCACTGCTCCAGAGCTCCACTCCAGCTGTGGCAATAGGGCACTGCTCCAGAGCTCTGAGCCCCACTCCAGCAGTTGTGAGAAAAATACACTGCCCAGAGCTCAGCTCCAAATCCTTGCTTTTGACCACACTTTAACTGCTAACGTTCTTATACAAACATCAGTGGAGTCCTGACGGCTCTATTTCGCGTGCTCACCATCTTGCATTGTTCTTAACGTCTAAACCTTGCGTGGAAGTGCTAGGTAGAAGGGCTAGATGGAAGGGCTTGGTGGAAGGGCTTGGTGGAAGGGCTTGGTGGAAGGGCTTGGTGGAAGGGCTTGGTGGAAGGGCTAGGCGGCGGTGGTAGGTGGCGGTGGTAGGTGGAAGTGCTAGGTGGAAGAGCTAGGTCGCAGTGTTAGGTGGAAGTGTTAGGTTGCAGTGCTACGTGGAAGTGCTAGGTAGAAGTGCTAGGTGGAAGTGCTAGGTTGAAGTGCTAGGTGTCAGTGCTGGGTGAAAATGCTAGGTGACTTGTTAAGTAAACATGTTTTAATCAATTAACGTATATATTTTATCCTCCTCCGAGTTAGGCACAGCAACGTGTGGCAGGGTTGTGGCTAGGATCGTCCGACTCCTCAAAACACAGAGGCGTCTCGTGGGCTTCCAGATGAGGCAGGCCATGCTGGACTTCAACACGGGGATGGGTGTCCTGGACGCCGTAGCCGTGTCGTCCGGGGTGACCATGCTGCGGCTCGGTCTGGAGGACTTTTTTGGTGACGACATCGTCCTCAACGTGCCTTCCATGCCGGAGAGGTTCACCCGGTGCATCATGAACTTTCCCCACCTCAACGATCTGACCATCAACTACGAATACCTCACAGACAACCTACTCAACTGGTTGACGCAGATGGGAAAGGTATCCTGGACTGGGTTGAGGGCTGGAAGATGGGATAAAGGGGGGGAGGGGTCGGGTGCTATAGGTTAGAAACTAGATGGTGGGGGCTTGGGGGTGGGATTGAGAACTGGAGGGTGGGGTAGAGGACAGGGGTAGGAATTGAAAACGCACAAGCGCAATAAAGATTCGTGAAATACCATTACTGCTAAACATCTCATACGAATAATTAAGGCGCAATGGCAACTTTTTTTTTACCTCCACAAAGTAAATTATTCATATTTCAACACGCTGGTTTAAAACAACCAAAAAATCTTATTTCAGGGGAAAATAAAATTTCCATTGACTCAATACCTAGATAGTTTTCTGCTTCACTTCCAAACTTGGTAAACTGTGTCTGTCATTTGGTCTACAGGAGAGGACCGTCCATCTAAATGTCGTGTCATGGCTGACCAATATCCCCGTCCCCATCGTCACCAGGCATGCGTGGAGTAACATGGCCAGGTTTTCAGATGTCAGAGTGTACTTGATTCTCCAGAACATTCGAAGCATAAGGTTTGTCAAAGCATTAATTTAGCTTTAATAGTCTTACAGTCGGGCCAATACTGCTCTTGATAAAGTTCCGTTGTTAGTGAGTTCAATGCTGTACTTTCAAATAATATCAGGAGAATTTCTCATACGGGAAACGTTATGTCATTTCAATGTCTCAAACGTCTGTCTACAAGTCTACAGGGAGGTGACAGACTGATCGTTATGTCATTTCAATGTCTTCAACGTTTGTCTACAGGGAGGTGACAGATGCCATCCTGCTGCCTGAAATCCCCATGCACAGGTTGGATTTGGTGGGCATAGCTGCCCTGGGCACAGAGAACGTGCAGGACATGATCGCCATGTTGCACCATGTGGGAGACTGTTATGGTAAAACCATGTCAGGCTTCAGGCTCTGGTCAGTACCCACAAGGTGTGATGGTTTTTATGATATGTGTAGAGTAGGGTGACCAAATCATGAACTGAAAAAAACGGGACACACCCAAGGAGGGCTGGGGGGGGGGGGAGGATACCCTCCAGCTAAAGAGGGATCCGGGGGCCTCCGCGGGAAACTGTTTATTGAAATCTGCTCATTTGAACTATTTGGAGACCTAGAGAGCTTTTTAAACTTACCTTCACTTTTGTAATTTAATTTAAACCCTGAGGCATATCATAAACGGAAACAATAATTTTGCAGTGAATACTTATTTATTTATACATATTTCACAACATAATGCAACACAACCAATTAAATTTCTATAATCTAGGATTTAAATTGAGGATATTAGGCTGCTGTCCCAACCATTGTTAAAATCTCCTTCTTATCTAATATGTGAAAAGTTTGGTTTTTGAAACGGGACATTTGGGCGTTCCGAGAGACTTTTTCGGGACAACGGACACGATCGTGATAAAATGGGAGAAGAATCCCGTTTTTACGGGAAGTTTGGTCACCCTAGTTTAGAGAGTAATAGTACCCACGAGTTGTGAGAGTTTGTTTTGATATGTGTAGCGAGTGTCAAAGATGGTGGCATAACAGTAAGGTCTTTAAAAAAAACATACATTTTACTTGTTACTCTATTTTTCGAACAAACGAGAATCAAGCGCTTAAGTGTACAGCTTTCCTTAACAATCCGATGTATAACTAGAATAAAAATTCATTTTGTATAATATTTCGTACGCAAAATTTCATATCATTATTATTTTATTTTTTTAATATTTTAAATTTAAAAAAGAGAAGAAAATCAAGAATAAATTGGAAGAACAAAGAAAATGAAACTTAATGGATTCTACTTTATATTTGAAACAATCTGTGCCATTTAATGAATCCTGAGGGAGTCTTACAAGTCATTCTTCATCTCTACAGAAGTGACAATATCCGTGGTTTATTTTCATCCCACTGACAGGAGCGACAATGACGTTTGTGAAGAGATTGAAGAAGGCATTCTCAACCTCCTGAAGAAGACCCCTAACCTCGTGTACCTGGACCTGCATGTGGATGTCCACGCGCAGCTGATGGGCACCCTGTGCAACCTTCAGTTGAAACAGATCATCAAACTCAAGACTTTGAGGATGGCGCGCTCACTGACAGACTATGTGGAGTTTGAAGGCTTTAGGCGGGAAGTCAAGGCCTGGTTTCCCGTACTCAAGGTAAATGACGATGCAGATATTACTGCCGGTGGTTTTATTGTGCGTTTTACGGGGTGGGTGGGTGGGTGGGTGTGGGGGGGGGGGATGAGCTAACCTTGTTAACGATGGTTAAGAGACTTGGAAGCTGGAGTGTTGACTTTGGTATTACAAGAAAGCAAGTCTGCAACATAGCTGAAATGTTGACAGATAAGAGATCGGGGGGGGGGGTCGTATTTATAGGGTGGTAGATACATAAATTTATTTAAACTCTATTAATGACTAACCGGTGTTTTGACAAAAAGATTGGCGGCTGAGAGGATACACAAAACAGAGTCTAGTGAGCTCAAGGATAATAGCTTATAAATGTGGCCGCCTGGACTCTCGAATAGCAACGAGGTTAACACGGGATCTTGTTTTATTGTTTCATTGTAATGTTCAGTCTTGACGTGCGGCCGTCCGCGAGGTACGTCTCGCCATTTTTTTTTGGGGGGGGGCAATTTTACCCCTTCCCCTTTCCGTCACAATCTGTCACCAATCTTGGACAGACCTCCTTCCCCCGTCGTAAGTACGTCAACTTTCGAACTAAAATGTGTTTAAAAAACGAACAACTAATTAATATAACGATATCATAAGATTGACATCTCCTCTCGGAATATATCCATCGCAATAGAAATTTAAATGGCACTGCAAATTTCATGTTTACATGCATACGAATCAAATGTGCGACGTAACATATGATCTTTCTCAATCGTCACATGTTCTTAGACCCTCTCCCCTCACCCCCTTCTTTCCCAAGTGTGACCCCCCTACCCCGTTCAAATATTTAGAAAAATCTTCAGTTAAAATCGTTATTATGCTAATTATTCAACGCGTTCATTAAACATCAGCTCATCTTTGCTAATGAATGGGTCATGTCTCCTCTATCGCTAGGGAAACATTGAAAGCATGGTCAAATTCAGGTCATGTCTTCTCTATCGCTAGGGAAACATTGAAAGCATGGTCAAATTCAGGTCATGTCTCCTCTATCGCTAGGGAAACATTGAAAGCATGGTCAAATTCAGGTCATGTCTCCTCTATCGCTAGGGAAACATTGAGAGCATGGCCAAATTCAGTTCCTATTTCTGAATCTTACCTTCTCGCCATACTTCTTTTTTCAAAACAGGAAATGAAACTAGACTTCCACATCCGGGCAGAAAGCGCGCCAAATCACAGTGCCTGGAATGAATACGTCTTCATCATAGCAGACACGGCTGGGATTGTGGACAGCGAGGAGGACAAGTACAACATTTCTGACAATATCAGTACCAATAACAATAACAACAGACGGGTGCGCACACGGAGTAAGCTGAGATCAAATCCCAGCGACCCGGCGCTCCGCCCAGTGGCACTCCGCCCAGTGGCACTCCGCCCAGTGGCACACATACGTTCCCGGGAAAGACCGCGTTGGCTCAAAAATCGGATCATTGTTTCGTGTCATTTCACCCCTGAACGTGTTCGTCGTGTTTACATTCGCCGATTTTATTTTTAATGTCGTCCTTAAAATACATTTGTTAGGTTAGTAAAGTGGCCTTCCAATCATTCAAATACAGGGTGCTGGGTTAGTAAAGTGGCCTTCAAACCATTCAATTACAGGGTGCTACGTTAGTAAAGTGGTCTTCCAATAATTCAAATACAGGGTGCTAGGTTAATAAAGTGGCCTTCCAATCATTCAATTACAGGGTGTTAGGTTAGTAAAGTGGCCTTCCAATCATTCAAATACAGGGTGCTGCGTTAGTAAAGTGGCCTTCCAATCATTCAAATACAGGGTGCTGCGTTAATAAAGTGGCCTTCCAATCATTCAAATACAGGGTGCTGCGTTAGTAAAGTGGCCTTCCAATCATTCAAATACAGGGTGCTGGGTTAGTAAAGTGGCCTTCCAATCATTCAAATACAGGGTGCTGCGTTAATAAAGTGGCCTTCCAATCATTCAAATACATGGTGCTGCGTTAATAAAGTGGCCTTCCAATCATTCAAATACAGGGTGCTGCGTTAGTAAAGTGGCCTTCCAATCATTAAAAAACAGGGTGTTGGGTTAGTAAAGTGGCCTTCCAATCATTAAACTACAGGGTGTGCCACAAAATTGTAGCCCGCTTCCGGCGAAAGCAGGACAAGATGAACGAGCAAGCAGCTTGGTTGTATTGACTCACCAACAAGGTAAAGCAAATGTTTGGGCCATTGAAAAAAATCCGAGCCTATGTGAGCTACCCACTTTCGCATTCATCTCGCGTATAGAGCCGGAAGATGGGTACCTTTTTAGGAAGCATCCTGCTTATTATATTAAAACTCACAAAGTTTAAAATTATGGGGCTAATCAGGTCACTACGCTAGAGTCACACACCGGTTCACTGGGTGTGTAAATTCGAGGAGCATCTGGCTGTAGAACTGTTGCCACCAGGAATGAAAAGGTTTAAGATAGATTACAAATTCGGCTAAGAAGTTAACACAGACTTTTGATGTCAGCTTGCAATGGCAGCAAACTGGAGCTTGAATCATATGTACCGTATTGTTCCCAGTAAAGGACGCTCCTGAATATAAGCCACACTATTAAGGTTTGGTGCTATTTTTTTTTTTAATTATCTTTTAAAATCTATTAAGATGACAACTGTAGACGGCATCCCTAGTTGAATGAATAGCAAAACAAAAACAAAAAACAAAAACACCAACAAAAAATGTGTGTGGGGGGGGGGGGGGGGTGGATGCGGCCTATACTGGGAACAAGACGATATCTCTTTGAACATGTTTGATACTATTTGATAACATACAGACAGATTTATTTATCGATTTACTTGCGAAATATTTTTTTCGGATTTCTATTCTAATTTATTGAACTGTAAATGATTTAAAAATAAAATGATCATTCAATTATATTTGAAATGTATAAGGATTTGAATAATAATTTTTACAACTGTATTTTACATTTCATTAGTGCATCTTTTTTAGAAAAAATGTGTATGTGAATAAATGTGCAGGCTATAAATCTAGAATTTAAATACATTAGTATCATCATACGAAATATTCCGAAGCACAACTCTGCATACACCCCACTAGTTAAATCATTCCACGAAAACTTGTCACTGCAGAATAAGGCAGAAGAAAGATTGCTAGAACTGACCTTGAAACAACTGGTTATATGACCACAAAAAGATGGCGCAACTTGCTGCATTTTTACCCGTATCCGGAAATCGGAAATTTGTTTAAATGAAATTTCGTCGACGGAAAATTGATCAACGGAAGTTTGATCTAACGGAAATTTTATCGATTTTTTTTCAGTTCACACGATCCAATTTTCGTCAAATTACTTTTTGAACTCGCTATACTAAATAGTAAATCAAGACAGTCAAATTGCAAAATTGGTTACAGTTTGTTTTTGTTTTTTGTTTTTTGTGTGTGTTTTTTTTAAAATTTTTTTAAATTGTAATCTGCAATAAATAATGATTACATCAGGAAATGCATGTCGATAGTAATAGGTCTACGGTTAAAAGAAGTAATAAATCAAGTCATGGACTACTTCTTAGATTTATTTGCCTGTCTTTTGGACGACTGTTCGGGAGCGTCTCTGGGGAGTGTCCGGCAATAGTCAGCCAACATTTGTCTTCCAGCATTGTAGTGGACCACTATGTTCATCAGTAGTCAGCCAGCATTGTAGTGGACCATTGTGTTCAGCAGTAGTCAGCCAGCATTGTAGTGGACCATTGTGTTCAGCAGTAGTCAGGCAGCATTGTAGTGGACCATTGTGTTCAGCAGTAGTCAGCCAGCATTGTAGTGGACCATTGTGTTCATCAGTAGTCAGCCAGCATTGTAGTGGACCATTGTGTTCAGCAGTAGTCAGCCAGCATTGTAGTGGACCATTGTGTTCANCCAATTTTCGTCAAATTACTTTTTGAACTCGCTATACTAAATAGTAAATCAAGACAGTCAAATTGCAAAATTGGTTACAGTTTGTTTTTGTTTTTTGTTTTTTGTGTGTGTTTTTTTTAAAATTTTTTTAAATTGTAATCTGCAATAAATAATGATTACATCAGGAAATGCATGTCGATAGTAATAGGTCTACGGTTAAAAGAAGTAATAAATCAAGTCATGGACTACTTCTTAGATTTATTTGCCTGTCTTTTGGACGACTGTTCGGGAGCGTCTCTGGGGAGTGTCCGGCAATAGTCAGCCAACATTTGTCTTCCAGCATTGTAGTGGACCACTATGTTCATCAGTAGTCAGCCAGCATTGTAGTGGACCATTGTGTTCAGCAGTAGTCAGCCAGCATTGTAGTGGACCATTGTGTTCAGCAGTAGTCAGCCAGCATTGTAGTGGACCATTGTGTTCAGCAGTAGTCAGCCAGCATTGTAGTGGACCATTGTGTTCAGCATTAGTCAGCCAGCATTGTAGTGGACCATTGTGTTCAGAAATATTCAGCCAGCATTGTATTGGAAAATTGTGTTCAGCAGTAGTCAGCCAGCATTGTAGTGAGACATTGTGTCATCAGTAGTCAGCCAGCATTGTAGTGAGACATTGTGTCATCAGTAGTCAGCCAGCACTTTAGTGGACCATTTACCTAGTGTCTTTGTTCCATCGGTCTGATGTCTTGATGAAGACGTTTGCTATGTCGATAAGTTTCCGATACTGCATCAGCCTGTCCTCTACTAGTTCCTTATAGTTTTTTGCCCTAACATTCCCGGCAAAGTTTGGAGACACTAATCAAAAAGGATTTCATGCTTGTTTCGCATCACCCGCAGCAAGCTGATGAACCGTTCATCTTTGAAGAGCTCTCGAATCTCAGCACCAACACAAATTCACTCTTTAATCTTTCCTACAGTGTCGAGGTACCTTTTTGCTTGCAGTAATCGGAAAACTGGCTAAGTCCGGTCTATGTCTTTCACGAAGTCTTCCTCAAACCTAGATGCAGTTCCCTTTCACGAAGTCTTCCTCAAACCTAGATGCAGTTCCCTTTCACGAAGTCTTCCTCAAACCTAGATGCAGTTCCCTTTCACGAAGTCTTCCTCAAACCTAGATGCAGTTCCCTTGCTTGGCTATCCCATGACATAAAAAATACATGTAATTTGGTTATGTACTCTTACACTAACACAGAGGTAAACATCTCTGTATTAGCTAGTTTGATCATGAACTCTAACACTGGCACTAACCCAGAGGTAAACATGTTTTTATTTGCTAGTTTTGCTACTGGAATAGATGGAAGACAGTTTCCTCTGTACAAAAGCACAGCATTAAGACTCACCTTGGATGAGTCTATAAAAAGTTTCCATTATTTGGGGTCATAGGCGATTTTTAAGGCATTCATGAGCCCCCCGTGAATTTGGAACAGAATACCTGTTTACTTCCCTTTCTGAGGAAAGGCTCCAACTGCTAGTGCCGTTTTCCATATACAATATATACAGTAATTGTGTCATCTTCCTCTGAAAGATTCTGTTGTTGGAGCCTTGATCCTAGCAATTGTGTCTTTTTGTCTTGGGCAAGTCCAAATCACGAACAATGTCATTTAGTTCTTCCTGTGTAAGTCTGTGTGGGATTGACGATGTACCAAAGTGAAAAAAGGGATCGCTGCCCCACTGCATATTGGTGGCACAGGAGAAGAACAGGTCGGCTCACCCTTGTACTCATCAGATGACTCAAGAACATATTCTGCTGAGGGTTCTAGAATAGGAAGCTCCTCACTAAGTGGCACTGGACTAAATGCACTCGGAATGGACTTTTAAACTGCTGGCATCAGCTTACTTCAGCAGCCACCTGCCGGCAGTAGTAGTATTGCATTGCATCAGAACATGGTGCCATAAACTCTAGATGATGTGAGCATGAAGGTATTACACAATGCGATGCCATATTAGATCACTCTAGGCTTATTTGAGCATGAAGGTATTATACAAGGCGATGCCATATTAGATCATTCTAGGCTTATTTGAGCATGAAGGTATTATACAAGGCGATGCCATATTAGATCATTCTAGGCTTATTTGAGCATGAAGGTATTATGCAAGGCGATGCCATATTAGATCACTCTAGGCTTATTTGAGCATGAAGGTATTATACAAGGTGATGCCATATTAGATCACTCTAGGCTTATTTGAGCATGAAGCTATTATGCAAGGCGATGCCATATTAGATCATTCTAGGCTTATTTGAGCATGAAGGTATTATACAAGGCGATGCCATATTAGATCACTCTAGGCTTATGTGAGCATGAAGGTATTATACAAGGCGATGCCATATTAGATCATTCTAGGCTTATTTGAGCATGAAGGTATTATACAAGGTGATGCCATATTAGATCACTCTAGGCTTATTTGAGCATGAAGGTATTATACAAGGCGATGCCATATTAGATCATTCTAGGCTTATTTGAGCATGAAGGTATTATACAAGGCGATGCCATATTAGATCACTCTAGGCTTATTTGAGCATGAAGGTATTATACAAGGCGATGCCATATTAGATCACTCTAGGCTTATTTGAGCATGAAGGTATTATACAAGGCGATGCCATATTAGATCACTCTAGGCTTATCTGAGCATGAAGGTATTATACAAGGCGATGCCATATTAGATAATTCTAGGCTTATTTGAGCATGAAGGTATTATACAAGGCGATGCCATATTAGATCATTCTAGGCTTATTTGAGCATGAAGGTATTATACAAGGCGATGCCATATTAGATCATTCTAGGCTTATTTGAGCATGAAGGTAGTATACAAGGCGATGCCATATTAGATCACTCTAGGCTTATTTGAGCATGAAGGTATTATACAAGGCGATGCCATATTAGATCATTCTAGGCTTATTTGAGCATGAAGGTATTATACAAGGCGATGCCATATTAGATCACTCTAGGCTTATTTAGGATGGTGTTGCAGTCCTACTGGATACATTTACACCGTGAAACATAGAAAATGAACTCAATAAATCAAGAAATATCTTGAAAACGAGAGCCAATAAATAAATAATTCATGGTTATATTCGTTTTCAGCAGACAAAGATACCATAGATTAGGCCCTTTTTAAGTGAGTAAGGAATTGTTATCGAGACCGGTATAGAATTTAGTTTTTAGAAATAAAAATAATGTTTTTGTTAAGTGGTAAATCATTGAAAACGCGAATTGTGAGTTTGCTTTAGATTTCATTTTAATAACAACTAGATCAGTTGACGAACAGGTCGCCATCAATGACTGATTGATGCCGTGGTACTTTCTATTTGTCGATATCAATGACTGATTGATGCCGTGGTACTTTCTATTTGTCGATATCAATGACTGATTGATGCCGTGGTACTTTCTTTTTGTCGATAGTTTACATATTAAAATTTTGATAATAAAAGCAGATTTAAAAAAAAAAAAACATTTCAAGAAGACTTTATTTTACTTTTAAAGACAAGTTTAAACACACTAAAAAATAAGAACATTTTTTTTTAATTTCTCAAATGCATATCGCAAAGGAAGTCTGTGCAGAAATTTTTTTTTTTTTAAATAAATTAACAAAGCGAAATACAGGTAGCCCAAAAATATATGATAACTTGGCTTTATTGTCAGAAGCATAAACGAGGCGTCAGCGCTTACAAAAAGTCGTTGAGAAGTAGAGAGAGTTTGGGGGGAAAGGGGGGGGGGAGAGAGAGATTGAACATGTTTTCTGATTAGCGTAATAATTTTCATACAACTGTCAATGACAAAAAGTTATCTTAATTAAATTATACAACTCTTTGTTACGAGATGTTCTCACTTATTCTGGGCCACCCCGTATATTTAATTTATATATTAATTTAATTGTATTGCATGTAATTCGAATCCTTTGGCTTCATAGAGTGCCTCACTACCCTTCTGCCGCTTATTTCTTTGCGTAATGCATGTTGAGAAAGTTAACATTATTTTATTGTATTTCTGTTTTGCGTTTAAACTCGTCTTCACTTTAAACGAACTTCTTTTTTTTTTTTTTTTCAAAGTTTCTTTGAAAATATTTTGTTTTTTTTGAATTAAAACTTTTTCACCATTTTATTTTATTTTTGTTTTTCGTTTTATCTCGTCTTTTCTTTTAACGTACTTCTTTTTTTTTTTTTTTCAAAGTTTCTTTGAAAATATTTTGTTTATTTAGAAGTAAAACTTGTTCACCCTCCCTGAACACATGCAGGCCTCTCCGACCCCGGGGCCGTTTGGTAGTATGCCAAAAATCCTACTTGATCATGGCGGGAAACGGCAAAAAAAGTTATTGTTGTTTGGTGGTTGTTGTTGTTGTTTGTTTACACCTCTTCCTTTAATTGAGGGAAATTAAATTTCCCTATAAGTCTAATTAAAACAAAGTGGGGGCGGGATAACTGGCATAAAGAATGCCAAAAATGGAAGGAATTTATTTTATGTTAAGTTGAAAAAGGGTGGGGGGGCGGAGTTACAGCTGACCCTGGTCGTCATTATGCCCAAATTAGGCGCTGGTGGATGCGCAGACCAAAAGCGTAGCTAGGGTTAGTGCCATCCTGGGCTTAGGGTTAGGGCTAGGGCTAGTGCCATCCTGCGCTTAGGGTTAGGGTTAGTGCCATCCTGGGCTTTCGCAAGAGTTTTCCAAACCCCTTCCTTGTCGGAAAATGTTGCCCCTGCATAAAAAGAAAAAGGGGCGCCGGGTGGGAGTCTCCCCTCCGCCCCTCACTGCGCCACTGGGACTGCCCGCTCGAACATCGGAATGGTCTCCACCCTCAGCCCCACTCCCTGAACAAATTGTCTGAAAGAAACACTGCAACCCAATGCACGCAGAATTGACCAAGGTCCATAGGGAAGGTGGACTTGGCTTCCACCATTCAAAAGATTTATGTAGCAGCAATGGTTTATTTCCAGCGGAATTATTCTTTTTTTTTTTTTGGGGGGGGGGGGGGGGGTTGCTAGAAATGTTATAAAGTCCTAATACTACACCATATTTTTGTTCATACATAGAGAATTATATTGATTGATAGTCAACAATGTTCTTACAATTGTTTAACTGTAAATTTATGTATTATTAACAGTTATGAGAACTCCCGAAAAAAATGGGGGGGGGGGGATAGGCAACCATTAATAATAGTTCACATGATAACGTTGGTATTAACGATTTTCTATGGGCCATGGGTTTTTAATTGAATGATTATCTGTCTTCGCTCATTCGCCGAAAAATTCTTAAACTGCTTGCTGGATATCTACATTTTATTAAGCAGTCTGAAAGTCGAATGTAATTAGTTATACCCTACCAATTACGGAACGGCATTACGTGTGAAAACTTAGACCACAAACTTAAATTAGACTCTTAAATTCGAAGACCAAGGTCACCTTTTAAATGGGACCATGCATGCAGTGTCCCGCATAGTCAATTTTTAGGCCTAGTATTCAGATAATGTTTCGTAGTACAATTAATTCTTGCACCCCCTGCCCCCTTCCCCTCACAAGTTTCCCTTTGCATGTAGCAGACGCGTATCACGAAGGTGCAATATTAGTGAAATAAACGTGTGCAGAAAATGATCATTGAAACCACGAGCCATTCATTGCATGCATTAGCGTTTTTTTTTTTTTTGGTCGTAGTAGGTCAAGGTTTTCTTTCTTGAATGACTTCGCTTTAAAACACTCCTACCCATTCCCACCCTGTTATGGTCACAGCGTGTTTAGGTCTGCTTTAGGGTTGATAGCCTTCTGTAAGGAAGTGACGTCATATTATGGATGCAGTCTAAGAACATGGCTGACGAAGATGCAATTGTTTTGAGTTTTGGAGACAGCTTGTTGCGGAAATCTGACATGAATTTGCTCATGGAACCGAATTGGATAAATGATAAATTAATTGGCTTTTGCTTTGAGTAAGTTTGCTTTAAAGAGCATCTTTAAATTTGGAGATTTTACATGTAACATGTACCCCATCTACGAAAGCTTGGGAGTGTTTATATTTTTCGTGACTTATGCCCTCTACAAATATTGCTTACGAAGACGGTATCGAGTTTCTTATTTGCGAATTGTCCACAGTGTATTTTTGCATTTATGGAACAGAAAATGACATATCTCATATATCCACTAAAAAGCTACCGTAATATAAATTTTGGCTTTTACTATTTTCAACCAATTTTAGTGACTTAATATTTAATAATTAATATATAATAATATAGTATATAGGGCCTATAATAATATATATAATTTATATTATAATATAATTATGTCAGTGTAGCCTACCTACTACTACTGAATACTGGTATTTTTAATTTTTTAGTATTGTTAAGTTAGTGTACCTGCTCAGTTCTAGTAAGGACAATAAGCTTATTTATAATTTAATTTAGGTCTAAATAAATAAATATAACTTTTTCAGTTTTGAAAAGCCTCACAATTTTTGGCAATCCCAGAAGTCCAGTCCCAAATTATTTTGATTGAAAAAAATTGCAATGCACAGTGTGTATTGTAAGGAAACAGCAGAAATGTCAGTCATAGTAGTCATAGTCATAGCTTTTGCAAATAACTGTCACTTTACAAACCAGTCAGTAAATACTAAATATTGTAATTGGCGCATAGCATTTGCAAAAAACAGCATAAAACATTCTGCTTGTGACTGTTGCGCCACTGGAAGACCCCCAATTAGCTGGCAAACAGACGGCAACTAGGACTACTCTGATAGCGGAGTTTGCGTTTCACATGCATCCAAAGGCTTTCAATAGTTTCTGTGAGAATGTCCTGGTCTACTGGATCAACAAATTCACGCGCGCGCACAATGACAGCGTGAGCATAAATCCCGTCGTTGAGCTGACCGACATTTTTATATCCTCGCCAAGCGTCCATAATGATAGTTGTCCCTGGTAACATATGATTAGTGATAAAGCGCTCGATTTTAACATAATTTGCCATAATTTAACAAATTTTTTGAAATATATACACAAATATGAATTTCAAAACAAAATAATGCCTAAGACTTTTAAGTAAGGAGTAATCATTGGAAATAAATTGGGACCGGACTTCGGAGGCTTGTCCAATTTTTTTTTTTATTAATGTAGTATTATTATTAGTATATGACCTATTACTATTATGATAGCAAGCTAATTTTTCTTTATCTTATGATTATGATAATTTGTATATCATATGATTAACTTTTTCTTTATGTTATAAATATGATTAACTTTATCTTGTGAAAATGATTATTTTTAACAATTGTCATTTATTTTTGTGATAAAACTCCATCATGGAATTATTCCATGCCATCTGCTTATCAATAGAGTTATATTTTATTGGTGTGATATTAAATAGAAATATAATTAAGTAATTAATAATGTTTACAATAAAATTCAGAGAACTGTAATTGAAGCTAATTGAACTCAAATAATGTTATAATTAAGCCAATCAAGACTATAAAGTAGATGTAAATTTATTGCAATCTGTGCCATGATGTTTCCCACTGCAGTATCTTGGTTGCCATGACACGTCTGCTAAAATGGGGAGGGGAAAGGGAGAGAATGTGCTGGTTTAGCTATTTACTGAGAGGAACGAAAATAGGAAAAAAACGTTAAAATTTAATTAAATAATTTCAGCAGGTACTTAAATTTCATAGCGAGCGAAGCTACTTAATTGTATTCCTCTAGATATGCTGCAAGAAGTGTCAACTACCTGTGCTCGCCCCCTTTCCTCGTGTAATTGCTGTCGGTACATGCTCCTTTTCTTCAACTTTAACACATATGCAGCTACAGTTACACACTATGGTAAGAAAATTGTAAACAAAAAAAATGAAGAAAAGCAAAACAACATAATTTGAAAATAATGAAAACCCAACTCACATTTTCATAGAGTAAACTTTTACTCACTTTATTTCAGGTTCCAACAAAGAGAAAATTCAAAAGTTGTCAGAAAGTCAATACAATACAATACAATGCTATAACCATATTCCAAAGTGCTAGAAAATTTAATTATAATTAACCAGCCAATGAAATTTTAATAATAACACAACTATAAACAAAAGGGAGAGAATCCTACACAGACACAACTCATGGCACAGATTGCAGAAATTGACCAAAGTGGATTTTGATTATGTTTTTAGTTAGGTACCGGTACTAAGATACTTGATCGCACATCCGTTCTGCACTTATCAAAAAATGACTCAGAAACTTTTGTGGCCATTTTTTTTTTTTTTGCTGCATGGTAGATTTTGTGACCTGCAACACATTTACACTGATATATCGGTATGTACTTAAAAGCTTACTATTAAATCCTTTATATAAACTTCACTTTTGTTCTTGGGTGGCTGGGTGGCAAGCAAAATCTTAGGACCGTTAATTGGCCTACTTCAGCTATTGAGCTGAAACTTTGCACATAGACTCGTTACCGATGACAACACATTCTTTCAAATTTCCAGCCTCAGCCTCCAACCCCAACCTCAAAAAATCAGTTTTTCAAGTAGAACATGAAGGAAAATTCCAGATGATTGCGCTAAATGAGATTCTTTCCAAAAAAATCGCAATTGTTCTTAATGCGTAATATTTTCTTTTGTTTTTCTGAAATAGTTGGTGAAGTAAATCTGCAGTGTAAAAGCGGGTGGGTCATTAGAATATTATTGCAGTTTTGTCAAATATTCAGCCCCACCCCTCAATGCTAATTGTGACATTTTATAAAGGATTTATACAAAAATCTTTGTGTTTTTAGGAGTTAATTTTTTAATGTTAAATGATAAGATATAGTAGTTTACTGTAATACTGCTTCAATTATTCACAAATGGGAATAATTTAATTTTTTTTAAAATATCAGTTTACCCAAAAATGTCATGCGTTTAACTCAGAAAGGTGTAAGAAAATGAAAAGGTCAGTTGTCACCAGTCACTCTGAAAAAAACTTTGGGTTGTCTGAAATAGCTCTTCTTATCAATTTAATAAAAATCTGTGGAACACTAATCAGTTAATGAATGGGAACCAGTTTTATAATACAATTAGAAATTAATACAACCCAATAAATAAAATAGTTTTTAGTAATTTTAGTTAATGCAGTCGGGTGAATTTTGGACTTGTTTTGTCCATAAATTTCTTGAAATAATTATATGTATAGGCCTAATTATTACCGTTATTTATTAATTATAATTAATAAAATAATAACACAATAATAAGCAATGTGATTACTGTTAATAATACTCTTATTAATTATTATTCCAATAAAGTAGGCTAAGCATACTGGTGCACTTATAAATCTTTACTTAATATTATGTATTTTTGTTAAAATTGTTTTACTCTATGACTTGTTTAAAATTAGGTAATATATAAATTAGCCCATACATTTTTTATTAAAAGACATCAAATGAGTAAATTAGACTCAACATTGTCACGGTAATTATATGTTTTTAAGGACATAGTATATAGGCATAGGAGAAACAGTTTACATCAACAAATATTTAAAATTTATATGAAAAAAATAACAAAAAGCAATACGTTTTAATAAACACATGGCTTGAAAATATTAAAAATAAACTAGAAATTTTATAGATTCAGGATTGTGATTAGATTTTATTTCTAGACTTCTTTCAGGAACAAGAGAAAGTTTAATTTTCTGTTGCAGAACTCGTAATTGTTTCCATTGCCAATTAGGCATATTTGGATTTGTATGGCAGACAAAGTTTAGGAAGGAGAGATTATGAGATTCATTAGCAAGACAAAAAAAGTCGGTAGATCAGTGTACCTAGAAAATGACAGACTGAACATCCTCATTACCTTTTCATCACATACTGATATCCTCTTACTCTTATTTAATACTAGTCTTATCAGGGATTTTATTTTCTATTGTAATTAATCATTTCACGCATTCAGTTTTATATTTTTTAAAAAGACTTCTACTTACTTTTTAAAAATATTAGCATTGGATTAATAGAACCATATTAAATTAAAATACACATAAATGTGTGGGGGTTTTTTTTGGGGGGGGAGGGTGGGGTTGCCCCTGAAAGTAATAATTTTTATTTTCATGTTTTCTTAAACTACTCACAAATAAAATTATTGAATATAGAAGGTCTTCATGTTACATTCAAGTTTTGTTATTTGTTGTGTTGTACGCTGCTTTGAAAATGTCTCTTGAAAACTGTTTAACATTATCTTTTAAAAGGTTGTGGGAAAAATAAGGCAAACATTTGGAAAGTTGATTATAAGTTTTTGCAGTTAAATACAGAGAGAAAAAAAGGGCTGTAAAACATTCACACGCAAACTCATAACTCTACTTCTATAAAAGCTAGAAATATGAAATTGATATTTTTATAAAAGTTAGCCTTTAAAATGATTCATCTTTTATTTATTATTTAGCAATAACAAAATATTTAAAGTTTATGTCAAATCACCTATTTTATTGAAAATATTTTTTTACTTTAATTATCTTTTCCAAATTTAACTATTGTAATTGACACGTTTAGATTTTTCACATTTAAATGAAAAGATAAATTAATTATTTAGTACATTTTGAGATATTGTGACATTTGAGTTTTAAATTATTTTTTTTTATAATATCCAGCCAGTGCATTTCAGCAAGTCTATAAATGTTTCTTTCAAATACTGGTATTAAAGGCATTGTTTTCCAAAAGGATGATAAGAAATTTCCATTTACTTATTCAGCACTTTTGGATATGCAATCAGTTTTGCCACTGGGCTTGATCATATTGACTGATCATTGTGTTAAATTGAAAAATTTGGACATAAATTATGCGCTTTATTTACTCCTTTTAATCATTTATTAATATTGTTTTTGATGCCTTATTGTATTATTGAATCATGAAAGAAATAATCATCAAAGAAACCATTTCTCTTTTAAGACATAAGTCACATATTGTTAAATAACATGAGTCATCTATTTATAATCAATACTGAAAATTACACTATCAACTACAGGACAATGCACTCAAAAATAAAAGCCCAGAGTCAGAGCATTTTCTAGGGATTTGTATCTAGAGAAGTTTAAAAACTAAGGTGGAGAAAGATTATCTGGGGTGGAAGGCTCACACCGCCGACAAGGGTTCAGCTAAGCTCAAGGATTGAGCAGTAAGATTCAAATATAGTTTTATCAACAAATAAAGTAGTCTATTTTCATCAAGGACTTGAGTGACTGATTTGCAACCCACACCTAGGCTCAAAGATGATAATATCACTTCCCACCAAATATGATCATGATGTTCGTTATGCAACAAGAAGCTTCTGTACTACTGGCCACAATTTACAAAAAAAGCTATAGTCAGTTTCCCTATTTTGGATACTAATTTTGGTCAGATTTATTCAATATCATTTTGTATCTGATTGTCTATTATTCCATTGCATACATTCCTCTGTATGTGAAAATGCTCAAATTGGCCAGACAACACTATAGTTTGTGGCTGGATTGACCACTCTGAAAAGTATACTAAAAAATAACTTAATTTTAAAGTAAAAGACTCTTCAATAAAGTTTTCTTTAAAGAAATATAAATTCAGGCCACCTTAAGATGTGATCCACAAATATAATTCTAATATTTTTTTTTTTACAGCAAAGCTCAAAATGTTGATAATTTAAAAAATGAAAACTTGAAGTAATGAAAGGGTTAATCTTAAACACCAAAATAAAATGGACAATATAATATTTAATGTAATATACATTGCAAATTTTTAAAGGACATTTAGCACTATGCAAGAGTTTAATACTATTATTTTTCTTTCTGTTAGTGTATTCAAGCTATGAAATTTATAAAGTTGTCAAATGTAAAAATACTATATCATAATTGAGTAGGCCTTTTTCATTTAATATAATGATACTTTGGAATATTGGATTCTTATATGACGTGTAAACTTTTGGCTAGTACAGATGTCTTGATTTAGGAAAACCTAACTTCTATCAGTAATATAGCACTTCCGCATCTACGATTTTTTTCCACAACACAAAGAACTACAGACACTTAAGTTTTATCTTTTTTCCATTTCTTTTCTGTTTCTTTTTTTGTCTGCTGAAGAAGGCTTATAACTTATATCAGAAATATTATCTTTTTATTGTCCTGTTCCTTCATTTCAAGCTCCAACATAGCTAGTTCCACTATTTACTTTGATTTGATTGCAGATTCACAGAACCCCATTTTCACCTTTCTAACCACATTGTGTTGCAATATGGTACAGTTGTAAAATTAGTTGGGCATGGGCAAATAATAGTAGTGTGTTCATGTCTTATCAGTGATCTAATTAGAAATTTATCTTAAAGATAGTTACCCTCTTCAGCTAAGGAACTAGGATTACTTTCAACTTAGAGGAAAGGGAATTAAGGTTATTCATATAACATATCTTGTCAGTACAAGGATGCTATCTGCTTAATATTTAGCATCATGTTATCTGTTGTATAGAACAATATAACGTCCTAATCTTAAGGCTTGTAGGGCAAAGTACATCTTTGTATATTATTATTTGAACTGTTGTTAATGGTTTACAAACTGTGATGCATGAAACTGATTCATCTCCATTCAACAAAAGCTTATAATAATAAAAAAAATAGAATGTCTTTGAGGGTGTGTTATCAATCAAAATTTAAAGAAGAATAATGAAATTATTCAATTCATCATTCATGCCTCTTATCTAAATTATAGCTATTGAAAATCAGCAGGTATGCATAGTTTGTGGTTATGAAGATTTTTAGTGGTTTTTATTGGTTTTTAGTACTTAATCGCATTAGTATTAGCCATTTTGAATGGGGGGGGGGGGTATTATGATAAGATAGATGTAACTTTTTAAAAACATAAATGTGCACTTTTTAGTGGGAGGTAGAGAAGAAATAAAAAATAAATTTTTAAAAAATACTTTCTATCAAAGATGAGTTTATGTGTACTAAAAAAGTAGAACAATTTCTTAAATGGCATTATGCAAATATTTTGTTTTTTTCTACTTTTTAGTATCAAAATTTTAATCTTTAAATTGTCAACAAAAGTAGCATTATTTCCTTTTGTCAAACATAACATACCGGTACTTACAAAATCTCGGTTATAGTGACTTAACGCTTTATCTAGGCATAAACTAAAAACTAGATCTGAGCTCACCCACCCAATGTTTACTCAGCAAGGCAGACGCAGTCAACCATGAAAATTTGAGGTTTTTTTTCCAGCAGTTCACCAGGTGAACACTGCACGAGAAAGTCTTAAAATATCATGTGTATAAAAAAAAATGTTACGCTCCACACACAAAATTAAGCTCCACACGATGGAAATTGAGTAGGGAAATTCTTTAAAAAGTAGCCCTTGTGTCAAGAAAATTGATTAGATTAGTTGACTTCAACAATCATGTTTTCTCGATTAAAATTTTAATCTTAAAAATTGACATTATTTTAACAAATGTAATGAGTGTAAATTAAAATTGTTAAATAATTTTTAGGCTTTTAACTGTATAATGTGTGTCTGTTAGTGCATTGCTGATGGCTGGTCAGAATGTTAATGCAAGAGTTGTCAAAATTTGGCCTCCCTTCGTCTGTAGATTCTGTTTGTGGCAAATGACTAGGGCGGTAGGTTTGCGATCATGTTGCAGCTATACTGACAATAATCATATTTATACTTCCACAAACAATGATAATTAGTCTTTAACAACATTTTCATTGATTCTGGATTATAAAATTTAAGTATAAAATTTTTTTAACTTGTTGATTAACAAGCTAAAGATGTAATAAAATGTTTTTCCCTACAATTTTGTGTTATTACAATAGATCAGCACTAAGTAAAATGTATTTATATATTTATTTATATTATAATTATATTTTTTTTTGTGGGGGTGGGGTTATAAAAATGTTGACATGATTTCGGGGATGTGGGGTTGCTGAAAGTTTGACAGTTGTTAATGATTGGGGGGGGGGGGGGGGGTTAAAAATTGTATACATAATTAATGGACGCCCCCTTAACCAACGTTTGTGCAAATAATCAATTAAAAAAACAAGTTTGTGCTTGAAAATATTAAACTGAACATCAAGGCAGAAGGGATTTATTAGGGCTTGTGCACTCTTACTCCATTTTTATGTGAGGAAAACAAGAAGATAAACAAGAACTGATAATTATATGTTAAGGTGCATCCCTCTATGATTGTGACACCAATGCTACTTTTCTAAGCCCGCAACAATTTGTTCTCGACAATTTTATGTTTTGGTAGCCTAATGTAGAAATCAATAGGGCAAATGCTAAATTATTGTCTTCAAATGACCATTTGCAGCTTAAAGCCATTTAAGCTGTTATGTTTTCCTTCTAAACATATTTTATAGGTCAGAAGCACATTTGTAAGGATGAGTTTAATCTGCCAAACAACAAACCCGGTTTGAAAGCTAAATCAATATTGCAGTTGGCTGACTTAATGTGTGTTCTCCTTACTGTGCCTAGGCCACCAAGTCAATACTCTCTTACTTGTTGTACTTGGACATTGTTCTTTCTTTCCAACCCAACTGCTACCCATGGTTGTATAGCCCCCCTCCGACATATAAAATCTAGACCGAAAGATAAGGAATAGAAAACATATGTTGCATCAGCTTACTCCACAGTGTTTGATGGGTTGCCAACTGATTATTAAACCCCTTTATTATTGCATCATTATCAAGCGCATGAGCTTAGAAAGAAGAAAACAATACTTATCATTGTTTTACTATTGCATTAATTTTTTAAAAATTTCTTGGTCAGAGGATAAACAGTAAAATAGTATTTAAATTTCTTTAATTAATTCTTTTTTTTTTCATTTGTAATTGAACTTCAGAACGTTGTTAGCAACACCAACTAGGTCAACATATGTTTACACCATTAATGAAATTGAGGCTAAATATCTGAGACTGTTAAATCTTAAAATATTTATATTTTTAGTATGCCTTATTTTTTTTCTTTTTTTTTTTCCAATGCAGCCTTACATTTAGCAAGAGGACACAACCCTTTAAAAAAATGTATTTGAGCATATGAACAAAAATTTGTTGGTTAACAAAAATATCAGTGGGGGTGGGGTTTTTTTTAAGCTACTTGGCTCTACAAAAGGGTTACAGATGTGTTATTAACTTTTTTCTTTGGTACTGATATATATAGTGAAAAGGAGATAACATTCTGTTGGTGGTTGAAAACTGTAACCACTAAATAGTTTGAGTAAGAAGATGTTATCAATTATATGTCATAGTTCATCAAACATGTGTTTCAACAAGACAACCTCTTTTCATACCACTATAAGTCATTGACATTCTATTTGGTTGCTAAATAACTGTAATTAGCAAACATTTTATATTCCAATTTTGATCTTTTTACAGATACTATGAAAGGGAGCAGTTTAACCACTCAGCCGATAGAATTGCCCTCATAAGTCCTTCAGTAGCTCAGCTCATGAGATTTGCCTCAGGTACTTAACGCTCTGAGTCTCTTGTTCATGTCATAGATAAGCTGTCATAGTTTTGCTTTTAACTTAGTTATTACATGAGCTTAGGTTGACTGGCTTATATGTGAGTGACTGAATGATAATATGAGAATGGGTTGACTGGCTTGTGTGTGAGTGACTGAATGATAATATGAGAATGGGTTGACTGGCTTATATGCAACTGAGTAATTACATTATAATGGGTTGACTTTGGTATACTTTGAATTTAAATATGATGTGTCTTTTTTTTAAAGAAGAGTTTGCTTGAGATATTTAATGCAGCTATTCAAACTTTTAAGTAATGAGCATTTAAGTATTAGATCATGTTGCCCCAAAACAAAACAAAGTTGAAAAAGTAAGGGAAGACAAATATTTTCTTTAAAAAATTGTGTTATTTTTGTTTGCGAATTGATCTTTTGACACAGTTTATAGCTATTGTAAAGAATTCGGTCATCTAACTTTTATTTGGCTCATCTATACTCTAAATCTATACAAAAATAAGTGTCTATCAGGCATGCATGCTTAACACGCTCCTATATCGTAGCGAAGTGTGGACCACATATACCAGCCAGGAGCGGAAACTCAACAGCTTCCATCAAAGATGTCTACGTCGCATTTTCCGCATTCGTTGGCAGGACAGGGTGTCTAACGTGGAGGTTTTGGAATGTGCACACGTTTAGCATATTCTCCTTTCTCATCAAGAGGCGCCTTCGCTGGTTAGGTCATGTACGGAGAATGGAGGAAGGATGTATCCCAAAGATTCTGCTGTATGGAGAGTTGGCAGAAGAGACAAGACATATTGGACGACCGCGCCTGAGATTTATTGACGTTTGCAAACGAAGCATGAGGGAAGCCAATATTGAAACAAACGAATGGGAGTTCATTGCCGAACATCGCTGCAACTGGCGAACACCGCTGTTTGAAGGAGTAATAAAGGCAGAAGATACTCGAAACGAGGCCCTTGAATCAAAAAGAACAATTCGGAAATCAAGAATTTACCGGCATTCAATATTCTCCTGCGAGAGATGCGGCCGTGATTGTCATTCTAGGATCGGCCTAGTGAGCCACTCGTCAAAGTGTAGAACGATATAGCTACTACATCGTCTCACGAAGACGGAAGGATGCCATACATACATACATATACTCTAATATCCATGGCCTGAACTGACAGGAGTATGAAAAGGAGGTCTTCACTCTACACATTTGTTCCTGACTTTTTCAGTTTACATCTTCAATGTATTTCCCTCCTTTTTCACCCAATCCTTGATCCAGAAGGATATTTCACAAAATTATGGCTTCATAAAAGTTGTGCAGTTATAGAACAAATTTATACAACTAACTTTGCATGTGTAGCAATAATTAGTTTTCAGTTGACACATGAAATCACTTGAAAATGAACATGCGTCAATTTTTTCTCTAACACAAAATATAATCTTTGTACACCTTAATTATACAGCAGTTTTTACTATTTGGCTGATTGCCAATTGTTCTTTTGGTACACTTTTCAGTAATGAGATGGATACTGATCAATTACGGAATGTATTTTTAATTTTAATCTAATGTTTTTGGGGGTGATTTTGTTTATCTTTGCAGTGGAGGACCTTGTTGTGCTTCTAGAACCCTTGCATCTCCCATCCAAACAGTATGTCTTTGTACCAATCAATAACAACTCTGACCCAACCAAAGTTGGGGGTTCACATTGGTAGGTGTTAATAAAATATGTTTTACAAGAAGTGAGTCAGATTTTTTTTTTCTTTTCTGACCAAAATAAATTCAGAAATAGTTATTTTGTATTCTATTACACCAAATAGTTGCATTCTTATTATTACATATAAATATACATAAAATTTTGCCCCAAATCATTTTTAAAGTATAAAAATCAGAAGATATTTTCAACTAAAATGTTAACTACTTTTGCTGGTATTTATGTTTGTGTATTTTAAAACATTGTACATCCTGTAAAAGAAGTTTTAAAAAATAATCACCGTTTTTACTTGTTTGATGTCAAGCTGCCCAAAGTAATGAATAAATAATGAATGTTTATTTGGTTGCTGGTTTGTGAAATTGATGTGTTAATTAGTACTGACATCATTAACTTTGACCTCTACAGGAGCCTTATGGTGTATGTTAGAAGCAAGCAGGAATTTCAGCATTTCGATGCCCTCAAGGGAAGTAATCAGCCAGTAGCAAAGAAGTTTGTGGACAAACTACAACCCTTTGTACATGGTAAGAATGCATTACCGTTCATTTGTGCAAATAAGTGGTTCATTATTTTAACTGTTTTTTAATGTGTACATTTTATCATGAGAGACTATTTTTTAACCGTAAACTTGTATGTTTCAAACAGATTTTATTTTAAGATTTGTAGTATCTCAATAATCAATAAGGCAACTGACTAATGTTATTTTTGCAAATCAGCCACTTAACTGGTATGACTGATCGTTCTTGATACAATTGGGCTTCTCGTTTAGAATTTACAAAATGGTACATAACAATTTTCAACATTTCTTTTTAATTATTATTCAGCACCAAGAGGAAAGTTAAAGTTTATTGAAATGGATTGTCCACAACAACGTAATAGTAAGTACTAATTAAATTTAAATGCTTTTTGGGATGGGCTCTGATCTTCTTGTCCAGGACAGGACAAGGGTCATTGCAGACATTTGACAAGCGCTAGTCCCTATTCTGGGACATCAGTTAGTATTAAGCTGGGCCTCAGCATAGCTCTATTAACCTGGTCACAGTCAACAGTATGAGTATGAGTTAAATCATGAGTATAATTTCAATGTTTATGATAAGGAATATAATAATCATTTAATTTTCTGGCTATGCAAAAATAATCATAAAATATTTCTAATTATAAATGATGATGTCAATAATTGATGTCTGTTACAGATTTTGATTGTGGCATGTATGTGATTGCAATGACTGAGCACCTCATCAAAGAGTTCTGTGAGTGTTTTAGTGTTGGTTTGATAGAAGTGGTCAACCATGACATGGTGTTGCAGAAACGCAGACAGATAGAAAGCTTAATTCAAGACCTGGCAGCATCTGACCCCAGCAATGTGGAGCATCACTTGTCGTCGTGACAACGACAGCCCGGTAGAATCTCAGAGAATCTAGACTGGGAGCGCCTAGGGCTTTGGGTTATGTGAAACATTTACCTCATGCTGTTTGATAGTTGTGTGTGCCACAGCACAGAGATGCCTCCAGAAAACACTGGGGGCTAGCTTTGCTGATACAGCTGTACATGCCAAAATATCCTCCATTTATTCAATCCTATGTCATCTACTCCTAATTTCTGACTTGTATGGAACAGTTGTATGTTTACCGTGATTTATATTATGATGTATATCCATGGAATAATGGCTACTGAACATTTATGTTCTAATATCAGCTCATAGACTCTTACCACTGGGTTATCCTTTCTTTGGACATGCTATACATTTTGATCATTTTATATTTGCATGAACCAATAGCTGAGAATTTATAACAATATGGAAATGTTGCTATATTTCCATTCCCAAATGCCCACTGCCATTTTGTCTGATGGATTTGACATTGGAATATATATATATATATATAATAACATGTATTTTTTTAATAATTTTTTTTCTATGCATTTCCTTAGTCAAGATCTTTTGTTATCCTGTTTTTACAGAGATTTATAAAGATTTAAAAACTAGAATTAACTGTCTTATTCCAGGTTTATAATTTCCTATTGTTGAAGCAGATCTTATCAACATTCACCAACAAACGTGTGACCTGTGACATATGCCTCATTTTCTCAATCTTCAGTTAATTCTACAGAAATATTTCTATTTATGAATGACTGAACAATGTGGAAAGAACAGGACTGTGATGAATGGAAAATTGTTGTGGACGGCCTATGCCCTAGATGGGGTAAAAAGGCATAAGAAGAAGAAGAAAGAAGAACATTGTGTATATTTGAGAAAGATCTTTAGTTACAAAATGGACGCCCAGTCATTTACTGTAAATAACATTTTCTCAATCACTGCATTTACCTCGCTTGTTCCTTTAGCCAGAGAAGGCAAACATGTCTAAGGATATGATTAAAAAAATAACCTTAGACTTAAAGGAGCTCCTGTGATAACAATATGTTGTGCTTAGTTATGTATAACTTGTAATTAACTCCACCAAAGATAGTTGTTGACTTGTGCAGATGCAATGAATGGTGCAAATGTAAGCAGTTCTACTGCAGCAATAGAATTTTTTTTGTTGTTAAATTGTTCTTATCCTTCAATGGAATGAAATAAGCTCAAAATGAGTTTTTTAGATTAAAGGGACAATTGCTTAAATTTTATTTTTAAGTGAGGCTGACAAATTTTGTCGCTGTCGTGTGAAGTTTTCTTTGTAGATGAGTAACATGATCAGTTTACGAAGAAACATGGTGCAATCTCTTTATGAACCATCTATTAGTAGGTTAATTAACAAAAGAGAAACGCTTTAATAAGAAATGAAAATAATATATTAACCAAGACATTTTCATTAGAGGAATCTGTCCTAAAGTAAAAACTGGTACATGTTCATTTGAATTACTTGAGTTTTGTCACATTTATTTTGCAAATACTCTTTGTTGTGCCTTATAATTTGTTTACAGCGTAATGATGTTCAAGTTTTCATAGCTTGTTAGTGGATTGCACTGCTAGTATTTGATTTCTCAAATGAGCTCTGTATTAGTGGATTGGTTCTCTGTGATAAAACTCTTATTGTTATTGACTTGTCCTTAAAAATCTTACAATAAGAACGAATTTATTTATCATCAGTCTGAGCAAACATAGTTGCACTGTAGTTGTGAAAAGGAGCTACAATAGTTGTATTGCAAGGATTAATGACAGTAGTTTTAATATTATTTTGATAAAGTTGTCATTGTCTAGCATTCTGGTAAAAAGAATCTAATGAGTCTAGTTGTATGAATAATACATGATGTGTGTACCATTGGTGGCTTTGTGTGAGGGAACAGAGAAGAGTTAGCCTAACTATAGCTAGGGTTGCTAAAAGTAGCAGCCTGTGAATTGAATTCTTGATCTTTAAATATAAATTATAATTGATGCCTGTTTGGGTAATTGGCTCAAATAGAGTAGCCAAAAATATTAAAGATAAGAAGAGATAAGATTCTTTTATTGGTCCAAATAAATGGAAAGGTTTTTTTTTTTATTACATTGTACATATTCATTTTCAGCACAAAAATGGCTACATGTTTTAACAAAGACAACATTTTACAATAAAGAACAATTAATTTAAACACAAGACATCTAATGTATTTCTCTAGCGCTATCATATACGCCCCAAAAAATGTGTAAATTAATCCCTTAGTGACGATAATAACTTAATTAGGGATCATTTAGATTTGGTAACCTCTAGGGGTGCACACTGGTAGATTTTTAAAGCAGGCTAAATTTTACGATGACATACAATTAAAAGGCTAAAAGTTCAAATTAAAGGTTAATTTTAAGTTACCGTACATAAATAGCGAAGCTGATTACTTGAGCCACATTTACTTGTGAGGATTATTTCTAGCTCTTTGATTGTAAATATAGACACAGTCCAATAGCTCAGAGACAGATGGTTTTAGTCTCCTTTGTAATTCTGTAACAACAGTGGACAAGTAGTTCTTCATTTCAGTGTATTTCCTTTTCATCTATTTTATTTAACCTCAGCCTATCAGATTTTGCCTTACAGACTTAATGTTTTTCGCCAGAGTTTTTATTTGTTTATAAAGTACTGCAATTGATATTCCTAATCCTACTGATCAAAGAAAAGTGAAGATTTTTCTACGTCCATTATCGCTTATGTATTAGCAGTTGTTCGTTTAAAGATTTTATTGTGTTAAGAAACCTAGATTGAAGAAAGAGACATTTCCATGCTATAACAGAAGCTCATCTCTCGTATTTTGTTGGTTGAAGAATGTTTGATAAGAGATTAGATAAATTCATTCAGTAATATATCCACTGTAAAATTTGTATGAAAAATAAAGCTATTGTCAGAATAAACAAAGCGGTATCAAACGATTCAAAGACTAGTGTCAAAAAAATTTTTTACGGTCTTATCTTATTTAATATTTTCTGTAAGTGGCGTTCAAAATAACCCCCTTGGGAATATGTCCAGTGATTCTGGTGCCCCTATCAGGAGGTTTGCCAGCCGTGACCCTCATGGTATTGGTTTGAACAGTACAGTCAGAGCAAATTCAGTCTCAGAACTTTCTAACGCCACCTTGCATGTTTGGTGAGTTGGCCACAATTCTTTATTTATACATAAATTGCTTGATTCTGCTCTACCGAGTTATTGTGGCACAATAGTGAAACACTAGATAGAACCAAATTTTGAAATAATAATATGTGCCAAGAGTTGTGTCCACATTTCCTTGTATTGAGTTGTGATATCACCAGTTCTAATGTTCTTTATACTATGTTTTATTGACTGGCTTTAGAAATGTGTGCGATTCCTGATATTTGTCAGAGTTCTAAAAACCCAAACAGTTTAAATGGCGCTTGATCATGTGTATTTTGAGACATTGACCATGTTGAGGACACTTGAACTGGAGATCAACTCTCACGTTTGCTGTACCGGCACGGTCAACTAGCATCATCACAGTATTCTGATTCATGAACAAGAACACATGCATTGCAGCAGTAGTTGCAGGATTTATACAGAGAAACTGAAAGCCTTATCCAGATATTTCAATCATATTTATCCAGAAAAAAGGCAGACATGGATACAAGAGAACTTGTGATGGTGTCTTTACATCAAAATTTGTGGAAAAAAATTTCTCATATTTAGTCATCTCATCAATTTTCATGATGTTCTGTGATTCTTCATTACATTATGCTCTAATTAAAGCAAATAGCACTTGCCTAAATGTCCTAGTAACAATGGGACAAGTTTTAATGCTATATATACAAAAATTCTACTTCTTCATAGGCTTTAAGATGGTTTAGATTAGAATTGATTCTATTACTTTAATTGGTCTCTGGCACATTACAGTGCCTTAATTGATAAGATATTTCTACCCACATAAAGATATTTGAAAAAAACAAATTAAATAATAACAAGAAAGTTTATTACCATTTATATACAGTTTGGTTGTATAACTAAGGTTGGAACTGTTGTAATAGAAATCATCCTGCTGGTTTGTTATGATTGTTAGACTGTATAATGGGATATTCATTTGTTTTACCCATCAACTTGTCTCTCATTCCATTTATGACATTGTGACTTGTTTTTATGGCATTTCTTTTGTTTGTTAGCTTTAGCTTCCACAGCCTGTCTAGCCTTGCCTATAATTGTAGGTGTAGACGTGACCAAAGCTTACTATTGAATGCACTTACCTTGTATAATTTGCTCAGCCCTGTCTGGCAGCTATATGTGTACAGTACCAATGACTAGAGCAGTGATTCTCAATCTTAACTAAAGGACCATTCTAGAGTTTCTTTTCGCTGTCCAATAAGGACATGCACTGTGTATTTGCTTTGTTCCCCTCTATAATACAGAGTTTTATCCTATGTAAAAACAAATTTGAGAACCACTGGTCCAATATTATTATCAATGCTTTGTAGTATTTTTTTTATTCCTTTGAATTATTTATTGCCTTTCTTCAACTTTTCTTTGCAAAACCTCAACACATTTAATTTTTGGGTCTGTAAAAAGTGGGGTTTAAATTGGTACGCGTGAGGTAGATTTTTTTTATAAATCACAAAGAAGTATGATGCTAAAGCTTTATAAGCAGATTATGTTCAATTCCAATTTTTAAATTGTCTTGTAGTTTGTCCCTGGAGTCTTTGTATTTACACACCTTACCAGTATTTATTCGAGCATAGTTTGCCCATGCATGTTCAGCTATCATGGTAATGGAGACCACATATCTTTAAAAATGTTACAAACGCATAGGAATAAAATGATAGCAGTTTGTGAACTGATATTGCCAAAGTATTGAGGCAAATGTTTGCACTAGACTTGTTAAAAAAAATTGTACACGGCATGTTTGTACAGTGTGGCATGTCCATTGTTAAAATGTTAACCTTCTGGTAAAGCTCACTCTGTCATTATTTCTGTGGTTTCTTTTTGACATTCAATGGAATCCAATTGTGGGAAATATTCATTCAGCCAAGGGGTTCCTGTGTTTCCATCTATCATCTATGAACTTGTACCTTGATGCAGTTTTTTCTTGTTAAAACTGTTGTAATGAAGCAAGAGATTTGTTATGTTTGTGATACATTTGGAAAGTGCTAATTTTTTAATGTTTTGAACTAGCATTAGAAAAAATTGCACTGGTAACATAAGCTTGTACATTGATCCTTTTTACTGTGACACTTGGTCTGCCAGTGTGTGGGTCGTCCATCAGTCACGAGACCTCAGTGTTTTATCTAGGATCTGGTCCAGCATGCATGCTTGTTTGGTTAAGGCCATCTGAGAATGTTATGTTGATGTGAGGGGAAGAGCCCTGCCTTATATAAATAGTGTTGAAATTTTAATTTTATAAGAAAGAAAAAGCTATTGAAACTAGGTACGAGCCCCAATAGGAAATGGGTGTAAATATGATGAAATTCCCTTTGGTTCAAGGTGAATCATTTCAATAAATCTGGTTAAATAAAGCAAAGTAAATGAATTTTTTTAAGTAAGACTGATGGATGCGTCCTGGTGAATGGTTTTAATTTAGAATGTCAAGTGGGTTTTATTTTGGTGTGTTGGTCATGTCGGTACTTAAATAACACCTTCAATCTGTTTAAAGCAAACAAGAGCAATTATTACCTGCTAAATATTAATAGCAATTTATTTTCTCAAGGAAAGATGTGCCTGTATGTTTATTTACTATATATATATTTATATGCATCATTGATAGCGATTTATTTTAGTATTGTTTTAAGTATTTTACCATCTTGGGATATAACTTAGTATTTTCTTTAGCAATTTTTACCTTAAGTGAAAATTGTAAAAATTAATCATGCTCTTGGTTAAATAGGAGACACTATACTTTTTTAAAGACTTTGTTTTGTCTCCCATTTCCATCCTGTGCAGAAAATATTTTCTAAAATTAATAAAATTTAAACATTTAAGTTTCGTCTACATTCAATTCAAATCCTTTGGCTTCAAAGAGTATTCATCTACACTTCTGCACAGTCTTTCTTTGTATAATGCAATTTAAGAAATTTTAAATTATTTTCTACTTTTTAGTTCACCTTAGAATTGATATAAAGTCTTTTTTTTAAAAGTTTTTCAAAATATTTTTATAAAAAGATTCATGTATCATTCAGGATATGCTGACAGTAAGTTTATTTTATTCATATCTTTTGAACTCAACACTAAAGTTGCAGTGGCTCTCTGCTTTTAGTCCATGACAACATTTTTAATGGTCACCATGAGAATATGGTGTAATAATTAAAAATTGTTTGAAATTGTACTACAAATTATACTTAAAAACAGAATGAAGAGAATAATTTAATTTTTACACTTTGAGAATCACTGTTTTCAGGGTGGTCTATTTTTATCTTGATTCCTGGACCTTAATTATTAAATGTCAGACATCAATCATTACACTATAGAAGAAAGTCATTAAATGAGCCATACAGTTTCAAATCTATACTCTGTCTAATGATTGCTGGGCTTCTCATTTGATGGGATGGAAACAAGGTCACTCCCTAGTGTTGATAAATGTTTCCATCCAAAGGGGTGTGGCAGAGCAAAGGTCAAGCATTTCTTACATCAAGGGACATTAGTGAACTTTTGAACAGAAATCTTATGCCTTTTAGATAATAGCAAAAAGGGAACTATCATTGATATGTAATTTTAGTTAAGATAACTCACTTTTGCTGTTAAATCAATTGTTCACTTATCTTGCATCCCACAATGTGCCTTGTAAACATTTGAGATTCTGAAGTAAGATGACAACACATCTGATGCTCTTGGTTTTTTTTGTCAAGCCAAGCAAGTCATTGACCATTTCCAGAGAGAAGCTTCTCCACACCAAGCTTGCAATAACTCTGACTTAAGGTCCAGCTCTGACTTGAGCCATGTGTGAGTGTAGACACTTAGCTATGAGTGGTTTTGTTTTGTTGATAACACTTGTATTATGATTTGGTGTATTTTGCTGATATTAACTGGAGACCTGTACTAATAATCAGATAGTTGGAGTCCAGGATACTAGCACTGGGGGAATTCACTTTACTTTATGTTGATTGGTTTCTCTGGGTGCAGTAGTGGCTAAAGTGAACTCCTAAAGCAGTGTCCTGGCAGCTGGTAGAAAAGTCTGGACATATATATATATATATATATACATGACTTGTCTGCCTATACTCATCATTAATTGTTGACTACAGCAGACTATTCATAATATTGCTTGAATGCTAATTAAAACAATACATACATTAATAAATTTTTAAAATTCTAAATTTGATATTTTCTGTTTGGTCTTTTGTTTAATGCATGTTTTCTGTATAGAATCCTCGAGCCAAGAATCTGTTATAATAATTATAATGGTTATTAGCACATTGTTAAATTTAATTTGTTAAATACTAAAATAAAAAGGATGAAATGATACCAATTCATAAATTTTAAAAAACTCGTTGCATGGCTTACTAAAGTCTTCATTTATTTATGATATAAACTTATAAAATGTTTCCTTTGGACCTGAAAAAATGTCATGGCTTGTTGTAAGAAACATCAAAAGAATAAAATAAAAATGTGTTGCCAATTTGATAACCCAATACCTGGTACTGGTACCGGTACTAGCTATTTCATGTCAAAACTGCTACTAAGTAAGAAGTGAAGGTTATAAATAGACAAGTAGTAAGTTTATAGACTAGTTTTATTCAAGTTTCCATAATGAATACATTTTTTGAAATTATATTATTTTTAATTTTTTTATGTCACTTCCATGACTGACTGTTATTTGCCTAAAAATAATAATTAGTAAATCAGGGCTCACTGTAATTGTAATGTTAATTTTTAGGTTATAAAGTAAAAGAATATATACACAAATATAAATCTTAAATAACTATACAAAATATCTCTATATACTTACAATTACAAAATATGTCAATAAATTAATTAAATACAAAACAACAAACACTTAATACTTATTACCATCTGAATAATTTTTAAAAAATACAAACTTGCAGAAAGTTACTTCAAACTTTAAGTTTTATTACAAATTAAGTGGAGAGTAAAGTTTGAAGCCAAAAGTAAATCACCCAAACTATTTTTTAACAAAAAGGTAAAATTGGCAGATGATTTAATCTGATAAATACATGGCCTTAATCTAGGTCAATTAAACTTCCTTCAAAATGGATCTTATTAATTACGCTGAATGATTTGAAATATTTATTTAATCACTAAACATAACTTTTAATTGTCCTTTCTACAAAATGAAAATAATTTAAACACATAAGTTTGTATATTATTTTGCTTTCAAAATTACAGGATCTTTGAACACTCTCTTGAACTTGATGCACTTTCTAAAATAGTCACAGTTCATTGGCGCCATTGATTGAGAAGCAAGCCCTCATTTTGTAAATATATATACACCACAAAATACATCTGCACACATAGACTATTCTAGTTACTTGTAAATTATATGATGATTTAATGATAATTATAAAATACACTGCAATCTCAAAATACAAGTAAAAAATGTAAATTTGAGCATGTTATTATAATTTTGGCTTTACTTCCCTATGTAAAAAATTTCCTATGTAATTTTTTTTTTAAGGTAACCTCAATAAGTGTTTTAACAAATTTTGAAGCTATAATATAATGCTTGTACAGTTCTTGTGTTAACAATGAATAAAACTACATATTCAGAAAGCCAATAGTGGAACATGACATGTTTAGGCTTGAAGAGAAAAAAAAAGACAGAGCAATTACAAGGTCTTTTTGGTTAAATGAATCCTTCAGCAAAGACAAAACAAGAAACAGAAATGCTCTTTTAGAGACTTTGAGAACTACATTTTAATCAGAATCTTTGAACCTATAAGTTTTAAATATCTATTTATTTGTTTTGTCTTGTCTGCTGAAGAAGGCATTAAGCCGTAACGTCCTTGTAATTGTGCTGTCTTTTTTTTTTTCAAGCCTAAAAATATCTTTTTGCCCTTTTTATTTACTTTGCTCGACTTGAATGCAGTTCCTCATATTATGAGAGAGCAAAGCTGTTCTTTATTCAACAGAACATATATAATTAGATTTTTTTTTATTGCATTAGTCAAAAGTTTTCTTTTAGAACCTATAAGTTTTAAATATCTATTTATTTGTTTTGTCTTGTCTGCTGAAGAAGGCATTAAGCCGTAACGTCCTTGTAATTGTGCTGTCTTTTTTTTTTTTTCAAGCCTAAAAATATCTTTTTGCCCTTTTTATTTACTTTGCACGACTTGAATGCAGTTCCTCATATTATGAGAGAGCAAAGCTGTTCTTTATTCAACAGAACATATATAATTAGATTTTTTTTTATTGCATTAGTCAAAAGTTTTCTATTCACATGTTATAAATATAAAACGCATTAAACAGGACAACTGTTCAATGTAAAATATCTTGTAATGGACGGACATAATACATTAGTTATTGCTAATTTTACTTATCACTTATTTAATATTGAACTAAATATTCAGCTATTACTAACTGAACTTTATGTAAGCTTTTTGTCATGACTGATTGTATTGCCTTGTCATGATTAAACACTGGTTCATAAATCATCCAGCATCTCTGATGACTTCCTTGATGACTTGATCACACCCAAAACCAAATGTGCAGGGTAAAATCATTTTATTATTACTTACTTAATAAATGCTGGAAAACAGAATAAAACCTATTAAACACATGAGAGAGAAAAGTTCTCCAGAAAATATATGGACCAACAAAGGGTAAATATGGATGGAGAATACAAACCAACCATGAAGTGTTCAGTCTATATCAGGATCCTATGTTAGTAACAGAAATAAAATTAAAATAATATAAAGTAGCAGAGGAAAGCGGCTCAAATGCAGACCTAGGCTTAGATGGATGGATGAAGCATGGAAAAGAAAAGTAATGGTTAGATCTGAGTGGAAGGAAGTAGTGAGGCAGGCCAAAGCCCTACAAGGGTTGTAGCGCCACAGAGATGGATAATAAATGCTGGGTAGTCATTTATCAGATTAAATTTGTGACCTGATGTCAAGACTCATTTGAACCAACTGACACTTGGTCGTCGGAGAGAGAATTGACTCCATCCTTTACCACATCTTTTTCACTGTCTCGCTTTTCCCTTGGTGTAAGATCTGTAAGCTCAGCAAGCTGCTGATGCTGCACTTTGTCCAGAGCTTCCAGCCTGAGTCGTAAGACTTTGAGATCTTCCTGATGTTGTTCTTCCTGTAAGACACAAGGAATAGTTACAAAAAAATATCTATGGTCAATAAATACTTTACTTAGAATTTTTAAATAAACCAAACAAAATTTTCACCAAAGTTTATTGATTTCAATGTGTTTATTTAATATAATTTCTTTTTGATGAGTTTTTTGTAGATCAGATATTTTGTGAATTAAACATATTTTGGTTCTAGAGGAAGGAAATGAAATAAAAATATTATTTATTTAGTTTTTTTTGGTCATGAATGTTTAGAGTGACATAAATTGCTTGAATAACTCTAAAATTTATTTTTTTAAATGTATATAAAACATGCTGCAAAACATTTAATTTATTCATTCAATATTCATGTATAGTTTAGCCTGTGGGATAATTAGAAAATTTAATTTTACTCGAAACAATCAAACATTTTTTGGGGCAAAAAAAGAATAAGGTAAGGTTTACAAAAAATTAAGTCCACGAATTTCCAGTTGCCAAAATTTAATTAATTATCAAGCATTACCTTAAGAACCATGCATGCACATTGAGGGAGGAGCTTGGGGGGGGGGGGGGGGGGGGTGTGTTGACAGCAGAAATCTATGTATATTAAAAAATTATACAATAATCATCCTTAAATTTTGGCAGTCCAAAAATAGCATATTTATATCTTGAATGCTATATCACACAATGTTTTGTAGGAATTATTGTCATAATGTTGCCTAGTGTTATTACAAATGAACTTGCTAGATATCGCTCAAATAGTACTCAGTAGTAGCAGTACTACAGTATAATATTTTGTCCATGGCATGTTCAATGTGTGTGTGACATATGCACCCCCTGGGCTACGCCAGTGGTTCCTCAATTTTTTTTAATTCCTTGCGCTTATGCCACATTTAGGTTTTCACCAGGCGACCTTTGTTAATTCTAACAAATACAATTCGAAATAGCCAATACATAAATAAAATAAAATAAAGGGTTGGGTACAAAATCTAGTAACTGCAAACAGTAATTATTCAAGTGTTGGCACTGGGCGGGCCAGTAAAAAGATGATTTTTGGGGCCCCTAGTCTTTCTGACGTATATGGGATTTTATATTTAATTCGTTATGAACATCTTATCTAAAGATGATTTTGGTGCCCATTGTGACTGCCCTCTTTGCCACACTCTCATGACTCTGCCAGAGCGGGTGTATTATGGGAACCACTGAGCTGGCCAAACAGTCTGCGTTGTAAACCCATGAAACATTTTAAAAAATTTATTATTTAAAAAACGTCACAATTATATATAAATGATTTGATTTCGTGGGGGGGGGGTGGTGTTTGTGTCCAAAAGCTGCTTGTAAGTTAACATTTGGGGGATGTGTGTCCGTCCAAAAAGTATGCATGCAACAGTGAATGGTTGAAAATGTGACCTTTTTTTTTTTGCATTTATTTACTAAATGGATTTCCATTGATAGTTTCATCTGGTATAAGAAATAATAAACTATTTTTTCTTAAACTTTTTAAACCCATGAAACATTTTAAAAAATTTATTATTTAAAAAACGTCACAATTATATATAAATGATTTGATTTCGTGGGGGGGGGTGGTGTTTGTGTCCAAAAGCTGCTTGTAAGTTAACATTTGGGGGATGTGTGTCCGTCCAAAAAGTATGCATGCAACAGTGAATGGTTGAAAATGTGACCTTTTTTTTTTTGCATATATATACTAAATGGATTGCCATTGATAGTTACAGCTGGTATAAGAAATAATAATCTAATTTTTCTTAAACTTTTTTGAAGTTAAAAAATCAATTTAAGACTCACTAATTCATTATCAAAGTTGGACTGGTTGAGAAGAGCGGATGCATCAAGCTGGACTTTGGTCACTTTACTGTGGCAGTAGATGGTTGTATTGTCTGATGGAATAGAGAAAAGGATGGTACGGAACTCTTGGTGGCGCCGCCACAATTCTTTCCACTGCTTACGAAGGTGGTTATATTGATCGAATGGCACACACTTTCTGGAAAGGTCAAAAACAAAACATATAACTTTCAATGATCTTTTTGATGCATTCATGAAGTAGATCAAATCTCTAGACATAGAATATAACCTTATGTACCCTACAAATTTTGTACATTTACCACATTGAGTAGATCATAAAGTACAACCTATTTACCGTATGAATTTTTAAAATTTACCTGGTCAAATAAACAACCTACACACTTACATTATGAAATACAGACTACCATTTATGTATAAATACTGCAGCGACTACTGTGTTGTATGGCCAGAGTAAACCAGTAATAATTTATATTGAAACTAGTTGCTAAGCAGATTTGGTGTACCGGGTATTGGCTCTATTAAGAAGCAAACATAACTTCACAAAACTGTGATTTTATTTCCTGCCTCACCATTTATTATTTTATTTGTGCCCACATTCTTCAGTAAAAACTTTCATATAATTCAATTCAGGTATTTTTTAAACTGAGAAAGGCTTTTAGTTGAAATGTTTTACCTCATATTCTGTATTAACTTCACCTAACTTACATACTGACAGATCATGTTTTTATATCTTCTCAAGCACTATCTCATAAAAAAAATATTACTTCATTCTTTAACCCAGTGGTTCTCAACCTTCATAATGCCCCAACCCTTCAATACAGTTCCTAATGTTGTGGCGACCCCCAACCACAAATTGTTTTCGTGGTTTCTTCATAACTATTGATTATATGCATTTTCCAATGGTCTTAGGCGATCCCTGCAAAAGGGTCGTTCGACCCTCAAAGGGGTCACGACCCACAGGTTGAGGACCGCTGCTTTAACCCTTTGTAGATATCCTGACAAAGCTGAGAACTGATTCAAAGTTAAACTTTAGAGGGCACCCCTCTAAGAACTTACTGTAAAGCTTTTTTCTCCAGGTCCAGTTCTGTGTTCTGGGCTTCAAGCAGCATTAGTTTATCTTTAAGCCTTTCAGCCACCAAGGCTGTTTTTTTCTTCAACTTGACAAAAGAAAGACATCAAGAGTACATTAGCCATATAGAATATCTTTGGGTTTTTTTTCATCAGTTTAAAATTTAATTTTTAACAAAAAAATGGTGAACATTTCACATTTAAATTTGAGCAAATTTACCAAAAATAACACTCAACAAATTTGAAGGAAAAAATTTAATTCTTAAAAATAAATTTTAATAAACAGTCTTTAAGAATGTACTCAGTGCTTTATCTATGATGGTCTGTCATTTTTTAAGTTAGAAAACTAGTTTTAATGAATTATATTTATGTAAGAATTAATTGTACAAGATGCAATTGATAATGTCCATTAATTACGTCAACAATTTTTGACCCCTCCCCACCTTGTCAACAACTGTCAAACTTTCGATGACCCCCTATTTAATTATGTCAACATTTTATAACACCCCACCCCCCAAAAAAAATGAATTATAATATAAATAAATTTACAAATACATTTGACTTTGTGCTGATCTATTTAAATGACACATACAATTGTTAGGAAATCATTTTATTACATGTTTAGCTTGTTACTCAACAAGTTAACAAGTTTTTACACTTAAATTTTATAATGCAGAATCTATTAAACGGTTTTTAAGGAATAAATATCATTGTTTGTGGAAGTATAACTATGATTATTGTCAGTATAGCTGACAATTATAGAATAGTTTCTAGCTGCTATTATCTTCCCATGGAGTAGCCAGGTGTTGCTGTATCGTAACAATGGACATCAGGGACATCATTTGGGTAGGGCAGGGAGGCGTTTGCCGCCCCCGCCCCCCCCCTCTNCCCCCCCCCCCGATTTTGCTGGTTTTATTTAAATTGCTATGTATTGTGGCGCCTCCAGCAATAAACAACTTAACAAGCCAACCAAATTTGTTTCCCCCCCCCCTCCCCACTTTTCCCTGGAAAAACACCTGAAATGACGCCCCTGATGGGCATAGTCTATAGTAGCTGTTTATCATTTTCATCTTGTGGAACTGATATACCTGACAAGTCGACATGATCCTTATCTAACCATTCAGCACTTAAAATAGAAGTATTGTCGGTGTGAGTAATAATTGCCATAAGCTCTCTCTATTGGACACCGATGATTTGGTGATTTTTTTTAATTTAGGGAGCGGATTAAGAGAAAAATGTCAGAAAAGAGTTTGTTAAAATAATGTAGTCAGACAATTTTTAAGATTAAAATTTTAATAGAGAAAACACGATTGTTGATGTCAACTTATCTACCCCCCACCCCCCTAAAAAATTTCAAACATTTCCACACCCCCCCCAAACCCTTTATTTTGTTGACATAATTAATGGACGACCCCTAAGGGCTACTTTTTAAAGACTTTCTCCTAGACATTTATGACTATTTACACTCATTAAATTGTTTAAAATAATGTAGGAACCAGTCAATTTCTAAGGTTAACATTTTAGTAGAAAAAACATATTATTGACATCAACTAATCTAAACCTCCCCCTCCCCCTTGTCGTAACCTTTCCAAACCCCCTCCCCTTCCCCCCTATTTTGTTGACGTAATTAATTGACACCCCCTAAGGCTCTATCTACCATCCTGGTGATGCATTGAACATATAATCCGAGACTGAATTATCGGAGGGTGAATCACCATTTATAAAATCTACTGGGATTGTAAAGAAACTGTATTTGAACCTCGTAAAACATTTGGACGTACATATTTCTCTATGTGTGGCTGATGTCTGGAGGTACTTACCTCTTTATTTATGGCTGATGTCTGGCAGTACAGTACTTTTTTTATTAATGCTAAAGTCTGGAGGTACTTTACCTTTTTATTATTCCCAATGTCTGGCGGTACTTTACCTTTTTATTATTGCTAATATCTGGCGGTACTTTACCTTTTTATTATTGCTAATATCTGGCGGTACTTTACCTTTTTATTATTGCTAATATCTGGCGGTACTTTACCTTTTTATTATTGCTAATATCTGGCGGTACTTTACCTTTTTATTATTGCTAATATCTGGCGGTACTTCACCTTTTTATTTTGTGGCTGATGTCTGGCAGCACTGTACTTTTTATTTATGGCTGATGCACAGCTGAACTTTACCTTTATGGTTGTACTTTACCTTTTTATGTATGGCTGATGCCCGGCTGTACTTGCTCTGGGCCTGATCAAGTTTCTCCTCCAATTCACGAATTCTCATCTCTAACTGAGCTCTGTCCTCAGCCATGGATGACCGCTGCTGGAGCAGGATGACCTAAATAAGAGAAATAAAAAGCTTGCCATGTTCAATTATCAATGTGTATTATGATAAGAAATACACGATTAGTTTGCAGAGAAATGCCAAAATAAGAAGCTGAATAAAAAGCAATTACATAAAACAAAACTTATTAAAATCTTTAATGCTTTAGAAACACACGGAAAGAAAGTAATAATTATTCATTGCATGTCTTTTCTCCCCATAACATTTGTCTTGACCTCATGATTATTTTGTAATCTATCCAGCTGTGATTGGGTCATTTTCAACTCTTCCCTGAGCAGCTCTGCGTTGTTCTTCAACCTCATGTTGGAGTCTGTCAGTTCATTCTCAGCTGAGTTAAAAGTGCTCAATTCTGTCTCTAATTTGTGAACGCGAGATTTCAATGTGGAATTTTCAGATCGTTCTCTTTCCAGCATATCCTGTAGACTTTCCATGTGACTAAGACGAGTCCTGTAAGTATTCAATATTTTTAAAAAATAAATTATCAATCAATAAATATTGGCTCTGAGAAACAAGAAAACACAGTGTTGGAACCATTACCTGTGGACATTTCATTGTCTGTCACAAGAGCGTATGTCTCCAATATGTTGGTGATTTAAAACTAAGCTAAGCAGCTAGATTATTAACTAATTTATACAGAAAATTGTTTGAGTCATATTTTATACTTGGCAAGCTCATCAACTTTGTATTTTATACTGGGGCAAACTCATCAACTTTGTATTTTATACTGGGGCAAACTCATCAACTTTGTGTTTTATACTGGGGCAAACTCATCAACTTTGTATTTTATACTGGGGCAAACTCATCAACTTTGTATTTTATACTGGGGCAAACTCATCAACTTTGTATTTTATACTGGGGCAAACTCATCAACTTTGTATTTTATACTGGGGCAAACTCATCAACTTTGTGTTTTATACTGGGGCAAACTCATCAACTTTGTATTTTATACAGAAGTCCAGAATCATGCACACTGTAATAAATAAATAGTGGAAAAGGGTATGTTTAGGCTTGAAAAGACCAGACAATTCAACAGACATTTCCACTAGACGCCTTCTTCAGCAGACAGTACAAAACAAGAAACAACAGATCAGTTAAATTAAAAATAGAAATTTTTTTTTTTCAAAAAACTCAATAATCTCAATGTAGCTGGATGTTCAGAACAGGACACGAACAGGCTATATAATAAACGGTTAAGAAAGTGAAAAATATAACCAAAGATAAACAATAAAACTTGGCAGTAATTTCAAAGATATTAAAAGTGCTGTAATCTAAGTAGTTTTAGATAGACTGCTAACACACTTGACACTGATGAGTTCTCTCTCAGCCTGATCTTTGGCAGCATTGGCCTGACTGACTCGCTCATTGCACTTTTCCTGGTCAACATGTCGCCGAGCATCGTCATCAATACGCCTTCTCTCCAACTCTTGAAGCCTGGTTTCTAGATCAAATCTGGAAAGTTAATGTGGTATGGAATGTTAATCAATAGTTGACAGCCACCTCAAAGTCAATTGCTGAGAAATAAGTTCATTTTATAAACACCATGTCACAACTAGATACCTGATGACTTTTTCAACAAATAAAGCAGTATCGCAACTTTATCTATTTATTGACATTCCTTGATCCAGACCTTGGACTAGTTATACACTAAACATTGTAGGGCATACAAGTGACCTTGGACTAGTTATACACTAAACATTGTAGGGCATACAAGTGACCTTGGACTAGTTATACACTAAACATTGTAGGGCATACAAGTGACCTTGGACTAGTTATACACTAAACATTGTAGGGCATACAAGTGACCTTGGACTAGTTATACACTAAACATTGTAGGGCATACAAGTGACCTTGGACTAGTTATACACTAAACATTGTAGGGCATACAAGTGACCTTGGACTAGTTATACACTAAACATTGTAGGGCATACAAGTGACCTTGGACTAGTTATACACTAAATATTGTAGGGCATACAAGTGACCTTGGACTAGTTATACACTAAACATTGTAGGGCATACAAGTGACCTTGGACTAGTTATACACTAAATATTGTAGGGCATACAAGTGACCTTGGACTAGTTATACACTAAACATTGTAGGGCATACAAGTTTAAGGGACTTTGGTGCATGTGCCTGAGATTAGTAGGTATTTGTTTGTATTAAGACTGGACCTTAAGATGAACTCATTGTGCCTGAGATTAGTAGGTATTTGATTGTATTAAGACTGGACCTTAAGATGAACTCATTGAAGGTATGCATGGGATCAATAGGGAGAATTATTGTTTTTAAAAAATTTAAAATGAAATGTATTTAAAATATGTATATAAATTTGCCTAGATATGTATGAAACAAATTAATGCATATGCTTTCATTTGGTCCATGTGAGATGTTAAAGTGACTGACTTTTCATTCTCAACTTTGGCCATCTTTGAGAATTCTTCCTCCCTTGCACATTGAACTCTCTGCACTGCCTCCCTCTCTTTCTCTTCCAACATGTGCTGAAGTTGTTGCACTTTACTCTCTGCTATGTCCACTTGATGTCTCAGATCTGCCAGTAAAGAGAAGACAATTTTGTAAAACTTATCCAAAGCCTAACATTTATCACTAACAAATTACATAGAACAAAATTACGTAGCTTTAATTGAACACTATAAAAATTGTAGTTACACTCTACATTTTATTTAGTTGAAAATAATAAGATTAATTCTTGCCATCCTATTCATTGCAAATCCATTATCTATAACAGTCTACCTACTCCATTCTATAATTCAAAACAACTTAGCATTATTCAACTTTTGGCTTAAGTCTTGGATAAATCATGTCAGTTGTCTTTATGAAAGACGCAGCGATAGTAAAAAGATTTTATTCCATGAGATATATGACCACCTTCCACTTCATTTCTCAGTCTGTCTCTTTCTTTCTCCAACTCTCCCCTTTGTTTCAACATCTCCATCTTCAAATCAGAGAGGTTGACCTTTGACCTGTGAATGACCTCCTCTGTGTGACCCTTGAGTATGGTGTTTTTTTTCTCCAATTCATGTATTTCCCCTCTCAATTTGTTGTGCTCTGTGGAAGATGCCATAACTTCCCTTTGCAAATTTTCCAGCTGTCTTTTCAGAGATTCTCGCTCAGCCTGTGGTAGAAAAGTACATCATGTCGTTTTGTAAAGCAGTTAAATCACGTCTTTGGAATATCAGATGCCCTGAGGGATACAGCTAAAAAAAACTATTTTATTTATAGATAGCAGGACTATTTCAACAAATATAGCTGTAAGTTTAAGTAAAGATGAAATATACTGGCATTAAAAAATGGAATGTTAACTTATTCCTGACAGCAGTGCCAAGTCCGTACTTAATTTATATTCCTGAACAAAGGTAAGTAGCTCTGTTTTGCTACTGATTAACATTTGTAAAATATTTTTTTAGCTGCTAAATGTTAATTAATATGAATTAAGGTTAAATGCATCCAGAAATGAATTAGGTTTAATAAAAATGTAACATAACAGTGAAAAAATAATGAGGAATGAGAAAAAATTAATTTTGGCACCTTGGATGTTACAGACGCACCGAACTAAAGCACAATTAGATTTAAAACGCAACAAAATAAAAACATCTGTTTTTAAAAAAACTGAAATCATGCAGAATGAGGCCATCACTGTCTTGAGGGACGCCAAATTTTGTTGCTATTTTTAAATAAAAATGAGAGAGGAGTGTTGCTCATGGAGCAGAAGTTTTGTAGGGTGGAGCATGGGGGGCTAATGCTTTTTGACAACAAATCCCCTGAGCATGTAAACACATAATGACATTTTTGCATAGAATAGCTATTCACAAACACAAATTTGACCATAATTTATATATTTTAATGATAAAGTAGGCTATATGACTGAAAAATCGAGTGAGCAAGTAAGTAAATTTTATAAGGTTAGAAATGTTAATAGTATTTTGACAAAATGTTAGCAAAATCCAGGGGGGGAGAATTTGCTCCGCCCCTACAGACACCAGGGATGTCGCTATGCACCGGAATGCATTTTTATGCATCTATCGGAACCCCTAAAGGATGCATTTAGTCACAACTGCCTGGAATGAAATTATTAACTTTCAATTAAACACATGATTTTAGAAAAAACATATTTACAAAAGTTTTATTTATTAACAAAATTTGGAATGATTAGGCCATGGAAACTTATTCATTACTTTATACGCTTATTACATTTTTTTACATCATTATTTCCACATTGCACGTTTTGCATTTTAGCCCAATTTTTTCTGATACAGGAATTAAATGCATATATTATATGTACAGTATTTCTAATCAAAATAGAATAATAACTACTAGCCAGACAATTTAAATAAATAATTAATTTGTTACTTAGGTGAAGGCCATTAGTGATTCAATTAGTGATTCAATAAGTTTTAGACAGTTTTAATTGGGACGGAAATCACATATTTAAAACTTTTCAAATTCTTGTACACAAGAGCAGGATTTTGTCGACTTAATTCTTGCTGTTTAATATGTCTGGTGCCCCATGGAAATAACACCTAATATTGTACCTAAAGATCTCTCACCTCTATTGTTCTAATAGTGGCCTGTTGATCCGAAATCTGCTTGGCTTGTGTATGGTTGACATTATCGGAGTCTAGGCTTAGCTTCTCCTTCTGAGCTCTGACCTCCTCAAGCTCAACTAGCAACTCTTTAACCTGAACAAATTAGCAGCTTGATAAAAGATATCATCCTTAAAAAAAATTCACCAACAACTATGAGCAGATCTAGAACTTGGTTATAATATTATAAAGTGCATGTACAAGCTCGGGGATGCTAGGGTGGGCTAGGGGACTGAAATGTTAATATAGACTCAATAAACTACATTACTCAGTACAGTTAAGATCAACATGCGGGAAAGAAACAAACATTTTTAAAAAGTAAAATTAAAAAATGCAAGCTATTATTTTCAATTATAAAATACTGAATAATTTTAAGTTGAAAGGATCTATAATTTCATAGGCTTTCTGTGAAAAACAACTGATTATTATTTAAACATTGTTTATTAGCTCATCATTTAACCTCAAATACATCTACAGATTTTGTCATCTTTGCTAAATTTAAAAATTAAACAAACAAAAAAAAGTGTTGACAAATGGGACATAAAATTTATACCTGTAGATACAACTGAGCATTCTCCCGTTGTAAAACCCTGACTTTCTGAGTATCTTGATCAGTCTCAGCTTGAACTTTGGTAATAGTGGTATCACGATCCTGACGCACATTAGTGAGCTACAGAAATCATTAAAATTAAAGTCATCATTTTTATATTACACATTCTACACATTTCTTGGACAGAGAATGAAAAAGGTAAGCATTAAATAGAAACTTGAGTTTGACAAAATTTTGAAAGAAATATCTAATACATTGATTTTTAAATTTAAAGATTGCTTCCATCTAAAAGAAATGAAAAGAAGGTTTACACAACACAAATGAGTCAAATCAGTCAATACTTCCAGGCAATGCTTAACTCAAAACTCAACAATAGAAACACTAACAGAGTGCAACTTTTTTTCATTTAAATAAAATCAATTTTATAATTGTCACCATTATAATTAAGGATAGCTTTAACCTAATGAAGGATAGCTTCAGAACCTATCTTTCTTTTTCCAGGAAACTGAGCCCTTTTTGGCAATGACGGTTTTGGCATACGAAAGGAATCATTCAATTTTACTCATAATTTAAGATCCCATGTAACTTTGTTTCAATTTAAAAATAACTTAGACATATATGGAAACTACATCTCTGAAGTATGCAGCTTCAGAATATGCCATGCCATTCTATGTCATCAAAGTTCAAGGCCATATGGTCTATGAAATTACATTATTGAACTAGAATATATTTTGTTAACCCCCAAAACTTTTTAAATGCATTAATTTGTGGACAAAACATATTTTAACAGTCCAGACATTTTTCCTTGAATCATGTCTAGTTTAACTGCTTCATGAAGGCCTATTTCAAAGCACTTCTAATCAATGCTCAGATCTGGCTTTGCTAATGCATTGTTACTAGTGTCACAACAAGATTTATAATAACTTGAACAAATTAAAAGAACTTTCATACATAAATTATTATTAAAACTACACTATTTAGCTTTCACTTTCATTTACCTAATAACAGCAATCAATTATCAAAACTGAGAGATTGTTTGAAATTTAAACTACCTGTTCATGTATTCTCATTACTGCTAGTACTAAGTCAAAGTCAAAAGACCTGTCTCTGTACTGTGCTTCTTATCATAGCATTGCCTCACTTTGAAAAGTGGGATATGGAGGCATTAAAAAAAAAAACTAATTGAAAGAAGAAAATGAATCCAAGTTTAAAATAATAATTTCAAAAACATATTTCCTAGCACATTTTTTTTATTGACAAAAATCAAATCAGGCACAACCGATTTCAAAACTGAAAATATACCCCTATAACATAACTCTTTACCTCTATATTATGTTGCTTTATTAAGTCCTGCATTTGTTGTTGATGCTCTGCATGATCATGTTCAAATTCAGCTTTCAAGAAAGATAATTCATAACGTATTTTGCTCAGAGCAGATCTGTACTCTTCCACCTCCCCTTCTTGCTTTTTGGCCTTTTCTCTGTACAGCTGCTCCAGCTCATCAACAATCTGAGCTTTTATTAACTCCAATCTCTGAGGTGTGATCATCTAAAGAATTAAATAAAAATCATGCAAGATAAGTCACATAGAAATATTTGTGGTAAAAATTTAAAGAGTAAGAACAATTAGGGAAAATTGATTATAGCTTTATCATAATTAAAACTGAAAAAAAATATTTATCTTTAAGACTTTTTTTTTAAAATTAATTAAGATATGACGACTTTATTAAACAAGTCTATAACTAATAACACCTTTGTTCATGACAAACATGATACCTTTGTTTTCATTTCCTCAACTTCTGCAATTTTCTCAGCCAAGTCATGACTACACGCTTCATACATAGCCAAATATTTATCCTTCACAACACGAGACTCCTCGATAGTTGATTTATTTTCAGCCTCCAGCTCAATTAGCTTGTCCTGAAGTCTAGACAAAGTTTAGTGAGCATTAAAAAATAATCAGATGATTATTTTGTAAGTTTTATTATAAAGTACAAAGTTTAAAAAATTAAAAAAATAAAAGACATTATAAAAAAGCCACTAATTCTTTTGGATGGTTAAACAGCTGTTTTTGAAAAGGTTAAACATAACCATATTAAAAAGAGAATGATAATAGCATAAAAAATATTTTTGTGGTATGTAAAACAACTAAAAAGATTACAAGGCTAACCTTGTGTGCTCTAGTTTTAGTTGCTGATAATTTATCTTATGTTTTTCAGCCCTGGCTTTCTCATCAGTGAGCAATTTTTGTAGTTCTGTTTCTAAGGTGAGCCTCGGTAACTGGCTGCCAAGACTTGCACCAAGAGCACCACCAACTGCCATGACACCAGAGGTTTGATAGCTTGTACTGGACATTCTGTGATTTTTCTCAGTCAATTCCTACAAATTTGGGATGAGCAATTTTGTTAGATTATGTGAATGCAGATCTGCCTACCTTCGAACTCCTAAAATCATAAAAGATTGTCTCAAAATCATACAATACATTATCTTAATAATAAATTAATAAACATACAGTTAATATAATGTATACAATAACTATTAGAATCGCATGTCCAGTTAAGCTGGCAGCAAAAAAAGCTACCTTCCAAAAGTAGATGATAGTGTGATCTGCTGTCCTTTTGTTTTGCAGACGCGTATATGCAAAAGATATCAATTAACATTTTGGTGAACATGCAGTTCACATTATCACAGTCTGGTATCACACTGGTAAAAATAAATTTACTGGTGAAATTAAACGGGATTCAAACTCAAAGTCAGTTCAGCATAAAATAAATTTATTGAATTAAGAATCAATCAACAAATGAGGACATCATTTACAAAACCTAAAAAGTAACTTGAGAATTATTTTTAGCAAAAAGCTTTTTTTTTTTTTTTAATATAAGAATCAATATACATTAAGCCTATTTCCCGTTAACATATTATAAAGCTGCAGATGGGTGAAAGGAAGCAGAGTGTTAGAACCAAATGGGGCTATTGAAAATCCTACAGCCGTTTTATGAGTTCTAAACATAGATCTCATAGGCCCTCTCAGTATGTCAAAATCTAATGTTGCTTTGCGTAACAGTTGAAAATGAATTATCGTTTTGAAAAAAATTATAGCTGGTTTTCAGTTTTTGCACTTGCCCAGGTTCAGCTGAACGAAATATTTATGTCACAAAGTTATGCAATACAGCATTAAAGCAAGCAAAAGTGAGGATTGACTAAAACTTACACTAGAGCAACTAAGCTAATATTAATTTTGCTGTGTCAAATGAGTTTGAGAAAACACAAAACAATCATATGACCATCATTACGAAAACGGGGCAGTGTTATTTTTATAGACTTGAATATTTGGACACCCTCAAAGCACACCCGTACACAAAATCTTCTAAATCAAAACCACCACCTTCAGGGCAAACACAATGTAATAATAGATGGTCCCCAACCAATCTATTCACGGGTAGTTGCAGAGAGAATCTAAAACTAACAACCGTAAATGTATTTTTTAAATTGTTTTAATCTGAAAAACTACCAAAATTTATATATGTTCAACCCTGTCGATTTAAATTGCAGTTCTGACAGGTCTAAGCATTCAATAGTAAGAGATATCTCAAAATCATAAATTTTACACCAAAATTGTAAATAGGTCTGGAAAGTATTGTATTGTACTTTGAGGGAGAAACAAAACTGCGGGATAAAATATGACACCCAGGCTTTGGGAAGAAGAGTCTTTTTATCAAAACCTCTTATTCTACTTGACAAGGCAGGGAGGGTTTCTTTTAGGCATCTCTCCACTGATAGATGTCCTGCCCCCAATCCAAATTGAAGACAAAGATATAAAAATTATTTAAATTTAAAAAAGTGATAAATCATTAAATCACAAATTATATAAAAATGTTTAAGTTTCAGAAAATCTTACTATGTAAACATCAAAAATGTTTGTGGATTTTTGTTTGTTGGTTGTTAGATCCATGAAAGTAAAAGTGCCTCAGTTTAAGTCTAACTTCTAATTCTAAGCATTTTAGTTTTATTTCTTTTTTACAAAACTTACAATTTTTAAGATAAGATAAGATAAGATTCTTTTATTGATCCAAATAAATTGAAATGTTTTTTGATTGCATTATACATTTTCAGCACAAAAATAAAACAATTTGAACACAAGACATGTATAATAAATTATTTCAAACAGCCATTCAGTGAGTTCTCTTAGCAAAATTGGGGACTTATTTGTTCTCATTCAGATGTGTGACTTCAGAGGAAGCACGCCAGTAAATTCGTACAGATTGGGGAACAAAAGAATTTTTATATCGGTCAGTCCTCGCCCTGATGGAAAGAATTCATCCCGAACGGCCCGATCCTAAGTATCTAGGATGAAGAGGGTGGGATCTATCATCCAAAATGTGTTTAGTTTTTGCAAAAAATCTTTCTTCAAATAGTTCAAGTGAAGGATGTTTAGTTTGTGTTATGTTTCTAGCTTTCTTGATTAGTCGGTTTATGCTGTGTTTAATATCAGACGTTGAATTCCCACACCAGCAGGTAATACTGAAATTAAGCAGGCTTCCAATAGTTGCACTGTAGAATAAATTAACGACTTGCTTCTTTACGCCAAAATTGTACAGTTTTTTTGAGGTAGAACTCTAAATTTTTTAGCTAAATAACTAGTCAAAACATGCAAGCTAAAGACCTGAATGCTGACTTTGATTTCATTATTCATAATATAATATGATATAAATAATGTAATATAAAGTTAACTCTAGAGTCTGGAGCTTTTAAACTATCTCTGGACAGCTGTATTATGTGTAAATAATACAGTTACTGTTACAGTACCTACTTTAATTTAGCCAATAGACTTTTTAGCTTAATTTTTTAGTTTTAAGCTTAAACTTAAGCCCCTTACTCAACTTCCCAAAAAATCTTAACCCTAATTTTAAACTTTATTAACTTTTAATTGTCAATAGCAATAGTAATAAATAGTGTTAAACAATTGAGTCATTGACAAGTACAAACTTGTTCGTTTTCTATACTATTTTCTATGCATGTCTATACATTATACATAAATACTAAACTAAATACATTTAATATCTGCTCATGACATATCAAATACAATTTTGTTTTGAAATTATTTGCATTTCTGGTATAGCCCTTACATTAAACTGTGATATGGTCAGGCCCGCCATTCTCCTTAGAAATTGAAGGCTTATTGAAGGCTATATTTTACGTTATTTTCCATTTTGTAAAATTTGATCAGTTTAAGGTTTTTGGAAGTCAGATACCGGATGTTTACAAACGAGTTTAAATACCCCGAATCAATGTAATTTTAAAAAAAATATATATATATATATATATATATATATATATATATTTAAAAAACAAATAACAAAATGCAAAACACATATCGATAGAAGTTAAATTATTAAATGCTTTTAATTAATTTAAAAATCAGAGAATGAAAAAGTGTATTTTTGGAAGTCAGATACCGGATGTTTACAAACGAGTTTAAATACCCCGAATAAATGTAATTTTAAAAAAAATATATATATATATATATATATATATATATATATTTAAAAAACAAATAACAAAATGCAAAACACATATCGATAGAAGTTAAATTATTAAATGCTTTGAATTAATTTGAAAATCAGCGAATGAAAAAGTGTTTGTAATTCAACGAAATATCGTGAAAATGTATTTATGTAAGTTAAATTGGTACAAAAGAAAAGGTAATCTAACTAAAGACAGTAATGACTATATACCGATACACTTACTTTAAAATTAAACGAGGACGAAAAATCACTTCATTTTTTACTGATTTATTCTTTTAAACATATCGAGTAATATTGAAATAAATTAGATCTATATCCATTAAATTAAAATGACACTCTACGTTCAACTCATTGTCATTACAAAAAGTGAAAATGCGGGTGACTTTAAAAAAGTACATCCTTTTTATTATAAATAAATGTTATCTAACTTTAAGGACAAGGAGATATTAATTTTAAGTCATTTAAATTTAAGTTGGAAAAAAAAAACATATGTGCTGAGTTATTGGAATCGAACCAACGAACTAACATTATTAGCAAAATATATTGGCATCTTACTAATCTGAGACGCCACTTGCGTCATGACGATGTCTGTTAGGGGTTAGGTTATGAGCTTATTACTTAGGCTGTTGTTTTTTATATCAAACAATGAACAATAATATTGTTTTTCTTAAATTGTATTTGGAAAACAAAACAATTAACCTACCCAATAACCTTTCCCCCCCCCCCCCTAGCCTTTAGATCAGCAAATCTGCATTTGGAACCTCATCAGTGCACTATTATGTTCAAACATCCTCTTTTCTTCTTCTTTTACTTTTATTTATTTTTTTTAACAAAAAATGAACAAAAATATTTTTTTTTTTAAATTTTATTTGGAAAACAAAAAAATTAACCTACCCAAAAACCTTTCCCCCCCCCCCCCCTAGCCTTTAGATCAGCAAATCTGCATTTGGAACCTCATCAGTGCACTATTATGTTCAAACAGCCTCTTTTCTTCTTCTTTTACTTTTATTTCTAAAAATGGGCTCTGCATCTAATTCTATACCTATTTTTTTTTTAAGGTGACTTTTAGGGCATTTCAAAATCCGTTTGCACCATAATCAATTAAATAATCAGTAACACTATCATCAGTAACACTATCATTAGTGAAACTGCAGTAGATAGTTCCACAGAGCCGTTCTTCATAATTTTCCTGACAACATTTACCCTGCCTTAGATATCAGACATTTATCATTGACTAAAAAACATAATCTACCATTTGTGATGCAAGGGTTTCTGCTATCTGCTAAATGTCGCACTGAAAAATCAGACGCAGACATTTCTGAAAGTTCATAAAGAGCTTCTTGAATTCCCGTAATTTTACATTTAATGGTTTTGACACATTCAGAAAATCTCAACTAATTGTAAAATTTTGATTTATGTATACATGGTAAATAAATGACTTAATTATTGCAGAGAGAGATAATTAAATTACTTGCCACATTTCCAAGTGGAAATATTTTACACAAATCACAACTGTAATCAATTTACTTTAATTTTATGTATAATCTATTTATAAAACTAAACTTCTAAGATCGAGGGATTGCAAAGAGTTTATTTGCTTTAGGGCTTTGAATATGTACTGTTCTGCATAAATTAAAATTTGAATTCCACACTCCGGTGTGCGTCGAATTCGTAGTTGTTACCACCTCAACGACGGGTCTACAAATTTTTAGCAGCTTCTTGAGCCATGTGTTCAGCCATGGAAGATTATATGGATTATTTGCTGTAGCTGATGGGACATTAAAATTTTGATCTATGCTGTTGGATAAGGCATTTTTGAAGATCGACTATAGTGTATCTATATCCTCTCCCTAATTGTAATTTTTTAGGATGGCCTGTTCAGCGGCGGCGAGATCTAGCTTGATCTTGTCCCAGTTAGCATTACCTAACTTGTAAGATTCCCTGGGTTTCTGGCGCGTTATTTGAGCTTTGGAGTAGAAGTAAACCCCCACTGCGCCATGGTTAGATATGGCCGTAACACACGTGGATTGTTTAACAAGGGTGGGGTTGGACGTGAAGATTAGATCTAGGATTCTGTTTTGGCGTGTCGTTGTCTTCTCACTTGTGTTAGAAGTGAGGATGAGGTTAAGTTGACCAGTGATTGCTGAATGGTATTGTCTTTGCCGTTGGAGTGGGCAGTATGCTTGGTCCAGTCTATATCGGGACAGTTGAAGTCACCGGTGACGATGATGTCGCGTGGGTGCTTGCCGTTGGCTGTGAGAATGTTGATGGATTTTTGGAGTTCGTCGAGGTCGCACTGAGTTCTTTTGGGCATATAAAAGGCACCGATGTAGAGGTCTTTCTTGTTTTGTTTTTTTAAATTTAACCTTTGCACATACTACTTTGCAGGCTGTGACCAGGTGCGGTTGTTCCACTGATGTGAGGGATCTGTGAATCATGATGAAGACGCCGCCACCTTTTGTTGTGCGGTCATGACGATACACATTGTAATCCACCGGAAAGACCTCTGAGGACTTTTTTTTGGTCCAGGGTTGGTTCTTTCCCAGGTTTTATGCCACTGAGCCATGACTCTGTTTCACATATTATGTCGGGCTTGGTGTATTGGATGATGCCTGCGAGCTCTTGTCTCTTTGATTAGATGCTTTGGCAGTTGATATAAATTTAGTAAGCGGAGGTTTGCATTTTTGGGGTGGTCAGGGATAGAAAGGGAGATTGCAGGATGTCGTTTATGTTCTTGGGAGCTTGTGGGATGCCTTTGGGTGTGGTAGAGAAGTTGACTGGGATGGTGAGATTTTGGAGTACTAGTTCTATGCGGTGAGAATGGGTAAGGCATTCCTATAGATTCAGTGTTTGAATTGGGTGATGAGAGAGGGGAGAACGAGTTAGAGCAGTTCAGTTGGTAGCTGTGGAATGTGAAGCTGTCATTGTTGATGCTGTTGCAGCGTGGACAAGACCACGCAAAAGAGGGTTGATTCGTTTCGCCCTAGTTCACGGATAGATCGTCGGCACATAGCAAGTGGAACCTGATTCCACACGTGTCGCACACTATATACGCACTTGCCGTTCCAATTGACTGGCTCATGGCACAGTCCACAGGGGTTTATGTGCACATCCCCACACAAGATGACGATCAGGAAGGTGCTAGAGGGGTTGTGGGTGGGTCTTTCTCATACTATGTAAAGCTGGCGTTTGGAGAGTTTCATCCATATCTCAATGGAGCAGGGATTTAGTGTCCATTGCTTGGAGAGGGTGGTTTTATCCTTTACTGGTGCAGTTGGCGACCAGGTTTGCGTTGGTGGAGGTAGGAGCCTGTCTATGAACAGGTACATCATGTGTAGGAGTAGTAGGCCGCGGGTACTCCATGGGGAGAACGTGGGGGGGAGGCATGATAGGGTGTATAGATCAGATGGGAGGGATATGGTGGTATATTGGAGCCGGCAACAAATTACTAGGTTTAGTGATATCCTATGTTGGCAAAAGACCACCCTGTATAACTGTGCCTGCTGATGATGGCTTGTTTTTATTTGTGACTCTGGCGGCAATGCTCCATGAGCTCTAACACATCGACGGCTAAAATATTCAAATGCTATCATCCAAACAATTTGCAATAGCAGAAACATAACTAGAGTGTAAAGGTTCTCTGCAGTATTACATTACAAACATAACTAGAGTGTAAAGGTTCTCTGCAGTATTACATTACAAACATAACTAGAGTGTAAAGGTTCTCTGCAGTATTACATTACAATCTGTCTCAAAATGAAGAAAATGATCGGAGAGTTACACTATTTTTGAAATGTCATTTTTCTTAATTATGGGGAAATTTTCTATTCAAATAAAGTAAACCCAATAAAATTTAAGCATACAATAAGTACAATAATACAACACTTACATCAACCAGTGTGAGGTCATTATGGCTATATTTTTCAAGCTCAAATTTGGTGGCATTGTCAGTGGTAAACACTAGATTTTAACTTTAATATTTTACTGAAACCCTGTGAGAATAAGGAAAATCTGTTTTTTATAAATGTTCTTGCCCTTATTTACCAGACAGACCAATGTTCAACATCACAGGTTTGGACAAATTTACTTCATTAAAAGAAGAGCTCTTAGCATCCATAGACAAATGAATATGCCATCACCAGATAACATTTATAAATGTATAATAACTTTAGAAAGAACGAAATTTTCACCACTGCAAAAAAATAAGTCTGAAAACAAAGTTACTTGTATGCAACAATTATAAATAAGGTCTTGGAAAGAGTTGTTTTCTAATCCTGGTAGAGTTATCTTTATGACTGACAACAGCAGCACCTCAACTGTCCACCATCAGACACAAACAAGCCAAGCAACAATGGGTTTTCTTAAGAAATTTAAGCACAACAAGTTTCTCATTTATTTTCAATGCTTTAATTTCTTTGTTATGGTATCTTGTAACAATCTTATATTAGCATAGTTATATCGCATTGATCTTGATCAGAATATGGCAAGTAGTACTTGAACAATTAAAGTACACTTATTATACGAATTTAAATCTTTTATATCAAAACTAAATACCCAGTAATTGTTTACTTCTTTTACAAATTTGTTTGATGTCACTTTATAAAATAAATATTTAGGCACAGCCATAAAGAAAATGTAAAAAAACATATTTTTTACTAAAAGTCAAAACAGATAAGAAAAATAACCCAAGTTACATAAAAAGATGGAATCACCAGTTAATCTCTGTGTAATATCTCAATGTAAATTTTTGAATGGTCTGAACTGATGTTCTTCAAGATTTTAAGGAAATAAATAAAATATTTTAAAATTACTAAAAGTATGATGTATAAAACTCATTTGAGTAAAATTGATGGTCTATAACCTTATCAAAACTTTCAATGTTAATTTAAAGAACAAGATCATAATGTAATGGGACCATGTGACAACGCCAAGTTAAGAAATTATTGTTTAAATATACATAGTGCATATTTTTTTAAAAACTTTAACAAGTGACTTTCTGAAATACTTGGTACTAGTAATTAGTTAACTGTGTAATTTTTGTTGACTGAACATTCTCAAAGTAACAGTGTGAAAACAACAACAATTGGAGGTTATCTGAGTAAAATTATTGCATCATTTCAATGTCTTTCCTTGCACATGATAGAACACAAAAATTAAATCTTACCAGTAAAAATGTGCCATATCCTTATGTAAGTTAAGTTACATATGACTACAATAAAAAAGCAGAAACATATTGATGTGTTCAGGTAAGGCACTTAAGCATTGCATTTTGAAATTCCAAGACAAGGAATGAATTACATCCTAACAAGATTGATATTTCTAAAGTACACATGGGGATTAAATGCAAAACATTTATCTGATTGGAAGATGACGATTTGTTAAAAATATGCATTATTATTGCTATTATTTGAAGTACCGGTAAGTGTAATGCATTGTTAGGATAGTTGCTGAGTATCATTAAAGATTACAGTTAAATTCCTGCATAGATTTATAATGCATCAATATAAGTATGATACCTAATTTAGAATTGATCATGTAAATAAGGGTAATTTTAATTCTCTAAAAGGTCAGATCCTGCTCAAATAAAAGTTTAAAAGTTAAATGTTTTTGAATCAAAGATCATTTTCTAAATGTGTAATAATTCTTTTTATATGGAAATTCATTCAGAAACAGGGGATAAAATGTAGACCAAGTGAGTTTTTAAAATCCAAAGCTGATATTGGCATTTTTAATTAATGTTTTTCAAACCTCAAGTTTAAATTACAGAAATATTCAATTAGACTATTACGGGTAAATAACATTTTCATAATCATCAGTAACCTAAGTTTTTTGTTATTTGAAAAAAAAAAAAGATAATTTTTTTTACATTATATTGCTGCTCTGATAAAATTAAATATTAAAAATCAAATTTCCTAAATAAAAATTAATTAACACTAGATATTATTTAGGGCCATGTTTTAAAAATATCTTATGTTAAAGTTATAAGGAATATGTAGATGGATTATTATTTTTAAATATTGCTTTCATTATAAATATTTATAGAATTATTTAAAAAATATTGTTTAAATTGTTAAAAATTAGAAATTGCTTTTTATTTAATTAATAAAAACAAACAAGAAAAAGAGTTATTGCTAAATAAATTTGTTATTTAAAGCAGACAGGCTCATGTCATAAGTGGTAACTTAACTCACTATTTTAATTTAAAAGCTCATTTATTGTAGTGCCTATAACAGATAAGGAGCCTACACCATATATCAATCAAATATTTTGTACTGTCCATTAGCATTCATGGTTAACATTTATATTCAACAGAGTCAATGAATGCAGACCTGTTTACTCTTACGATTTTGGCATACAATGTACGATTTTGAGGTGTATAGATTGTATATACTGTATGTTTATTTTTTTATTATGAATATAACATATTAAATGACTTTGTGATGATATTGTAAGATTTTAAGAGTTTGAGGGTAAACAGGTCTGAGAATGTATAAGTAGCCCATTACAAGTAAACCATTAATATTAGTTTAAATCAGTTGCAGCTCAATTAATGTTTCACCAGTTATCACTTTTTTCTTTTACATTTATCAATTTTAACGAGAGCAATTTTTTAAAACTCTTGTGTTTCTTTATAACCTATATTTATTTATTCACCTCATGCTTCATTGGATAAGAGTACCACTTTTTACACTTTCATTAATATTTTTCAGGAAAAAATGATGGGGAAAAAAATAATAACAAGTTTGGAAGCCTATGTATTTAGTTACACCTCCGATTGTTCTTTAAATTTACATATATATATTTTATAAAATTCAAATGTAAGGCTTCAAAGAGGCAAATGACCTCAAGAAGCTGAAATGAAAACAAGATGTTTAAACAATTGGCATGGAGAGGCAGATGATGGCAATACATTTGGCACATGACAAGTCATTGAGGTTGAAATATTTAACGTCATAAACAATTAGGAATGTTTCTAGGAATTATGTCAGCCCAATCCGAGGTGTCAGAATATTTTTCAGAGTTAACTTTATATATTAACGGTGCAAAGAGAACGATAACATTCTCAAAAAGAAGTGCTGCAATTTGTGTTTAAAACTTTAACCACAGTAAAGCACATGTATAATAAGGGAACGAGGTTATTTTTAAAAAAAAGATGTAAGTAAACAAAACCCAAACAATGGATCCGACTCATAGACTTTGCTGTAGGAAAAAGGATGTCAGTTAGCAGCACCAAGTTTCCGCACAAAAAGATACATAAAGCTACTTGGAACTCACCAGATGGAATCACCCGCAACCAAATCGATCATGTTTTAATAGATCAGAGACATGATCAGATATATTAGATGTGAGAAGCCTTCGAGGAGCGGATGCAGACTCGGACCATCTACTTGTTAGGGTGAAATATAAACAGAGAATAAGCTTAATTCACAATGGTCGTAATCAAAGAGAGAAACGAGACGATTACCAAAGGCTGCCCAAAGACCCATGAACTGCAAAAGCTTAACAGAATGAAGTAGAAGCACAATTAGAAGCATCGCAGGAGGAAATAAAGGGGGAAAACAACATAAATGAACAGGGGGATAGGCTAAAAAAAATGCCATTAAAAGATCAGCGGAAAAAGTAGTGGGATTCCGGCAGGCCAACAATCAAGAGAGGGAAATATAAGAAGAATGTACATAAAAGATGAAAAGAATGGATACCAAGCCAGTCCGCAAATGTGTGAGAGCCAAAATGGAGAATTAATCACAGAAAATAGTAAAGTACTGGAGAGGTGGGCTGAATATTTTGAGGACATACTGAATGCAGACAATAGACAAGAAGAAGATTATCAACTCCCACAGGGAGGACCAGACCCTTTTATACAATACCCAACCCTAGAAGAAACTAAAGAGGTAATTAATTATATGAAAAATCACAAAGCCCCCGGACAAGACCTCATCACAGCAGAACTGATTAAATATGCAGGAAAAGAACTACACGCTCAGATACATAAACTTATAACTAAAATTTGGCAAGAAGAGAAAGTCCCAACAAAATGGGAAACAGCATTAATAACCCCAATACGCAAGAAAGGCTCCAAACTTCAGTGCACAAACTACAGAGGAATCTCCCTATTAAATGTTACCTACAAAATACTGACCAAGCTTATTGCCAAAAGACTACAACTTTACCCTGAAGAAATTTTAGGTGATTACCAATGTGGATTCAGGCCTAACGACTGATCAGATTTTCACCATCAGATGCCTATTAGAGAAATGCTATGAATATAATATACCAGTACATCAACTCTATGTGGACTATAAAATGGCCTATGACTGCATCAAAAGAAAATATCTATACGAGACTCTGCAGGAGTTTGGAATACCCAACAAACTGACAAGACTAATACATGTAACACTAAACAACTCAAAAGCAAAATCAAGATTCAAGGAGAATATTCAAGGGAATTTCATATTAGACGAGGTCTAAAACAGGGAGACTCACCGTCTTGTATGCTCTTTAACCTAACATTAGAGAGAGTTATGAGAAACATACACAATGACACTCGAGGAACGATAACAGGATACTTTCTGAGGGAAACTCAAGACCCACAACCAACGGGGACACTCTACAACCAATCACTTCAGCATCTTCCATATGCTGATGACATAGCACTAGGGAAAAGTATTAAAGACATACCAAAATCTTTTATTGAATAAGAAGACGCATCACTACAAGCAGGGCTGGAAGTTAACAACTAAAAAACAAAATACATGACCATGATAAGAGAAGAACAAACAGATGAAGCAATTAAAATTAAAAACCAGATTTTTGAAAAAGTAAATCAATTCAAATACCTAAGATCTTTTTTAAATGAAAGAAACGAATTACTAACAGAAATAAATGAAAGAATATCAGCCGCAAACAGGGCATACTTCAGTAGTCAGAAAATACTCAAAAGTAAAAACATTACAAGAGAAACAAAGAAAACTATTTATACAACTGTAATCAGACCAGTTGAACATATGCAAGTGAAACTTGGACCCTAACAAAAACGGTAGAAAACCTATTAAACACATGGGAGAGGAAAGTTCTCAGGAAAATATATGGACCAACAAAGGATGAAGATGGATGGAGAATACGAACCAACCATAAATTGTACAGTCTATATCAGGATCCCACGATAGTAGCAGAAATAAAAAGAGGCAGGCTATGCTGGGCAGGACACTTAGAGAGAATGCCAAATGACAGAGGAACGAAGAGGGTGCATCACCAATACTCTAGAGGAAAAAGGCTCAAAGGCAGATGTAGGCTTAGATGGATGGATGATGTGGAAAAAGATCTACAACAGCTGAAAGTCCAAGCATGGAAAAGAAAGGCATTAGTTAGGTCTGAGTGGAAGGAAGTGGTGAGGCAGGCCAAAGCCCAACATGGGCTGTAGCGCCACAGGGATGGATTAAACACAACCCAAAGAAACCATTCGGCTTAGATGAAATTGAGGGTCCCAGGGAAACCAAGAGAAGACAGCTGATATTCTTAAATCTGAAATAATGCAAGGGGACAGCATTAATTAAGGAGGTAGAAAATGTACCTGGTACACATTAAAATATAGAGGCAATCAAGGTTATTAATTGGATTAAATAACTCCACACCTGCCCAACAGAATGAAAGGTACAAATGTCATCAAGATTTTAAAACTTGAGTATGTCATGTAAATACAGACTGGATGTGTCAAACAATTAGAGATGAAAATGTTGGAATTCAGAGAAAAAAGAGCATTGAGTGTTACCACCACTAGCATCTGGGGGTTCTAAGAAGATTGAAAATAATGATACATTTGACTTCATGCTAACTCAACAACTGATTTGAAAAAGTTATTTTATCTTGAATAGCTATTTCATACTAGCAGAGTAAAAAAAACAACATATCGCCAAGTCATGGCATTAAACATTGATTACCTCCAACGGATGAACACCAAACTAATACTGGCCAACTGGTTATGACATTAAACATTGATTACCTCCAACGGATGAACACCAAACTAATACTGGCCAACTGGTTACGACAGTTTCAAAAGTAACAACACTAAAACAAACATTATCACCATAGAATGGATAAACAAAATCTGCATAAAAATTTGGTCCTGACCTCCCTCAAACTAAAAGATAGCCTTTCTTAATGTTATTCATGCTGTCAAAGATTTACTTGCATAAAGTTCATGTATAATAAACAATTATAATGAACTGGTGGTGAGAACTTGAAACCTATGCACATGCCTGCATAAAATGTAATATCATGTATTTTATTAAACTTAGTTAGGCAGGTCAATTGTAAGATCCATTACAAATATTATATCACCATTGCTTTTTAGAAGACAGCATGAACAAAATAACAAGCTGCAGAAATGGTTTTAGAACATTTCTTCTGTTTCATGACATTGACAAGTGTAAACACAGTAAGGCCTCGATTGAATGTTAAATAAAGCCATTTCCACACAGCTCATTCATTTAAGATTTAGTGTTTGCATCGGAAAAATAAAATATTGTTAGTAGGTAAAATTTATTGCAGTTAAGAGGATAATAAACATTGGAAGTTATGTGAAGACATATATTCAACAATACAAGGTTTGAAGGAAGTGAGCAAGTTTTTTAACCCTGTTTCATATGTGCAGGAAGTGCATATGTTTAGTACCATAAGGTTAGTTTATGCAATTTTTTTTTTTTTAAAATTAAAAATTTATTTCCTCCAAGACCCAAATGAATTGCACAAAAAAAAAATGTTTGTATTAACTTGAATCTAAAATTAACTAGCTGGAATCTCCTCTTAAACCAACAGCTACCTCCAACTGGGCCAAGTAACGACTTAATATAGGGAGATTGTAGCGTCGTTCTTGGTCTATTGTATCACACTGTTAGAGTAAAAACAACAAATAATATCTTTATTTAGTAGACTGTTTCCTTTGTGAGACTAGTAACTTTAATCATAGTTTAAATTAACAAAATTAGTTCAGTACTTCCTTTATATTAACCCATTCAATTACACCCTAACCCTAGCCAAAGGGGAATAACTCCACACTGACCACAGAGGGGTTTAGAAAAAATTTAAAACAAATCTATTTATCAGTATATTTATATGATACGAATTGATTTGCATTCATAATTGGTTGCTTTATGTGTTGAACAACATTATTTCCAAAAGCTTTTGTTGTGTAAATTATTAAAAGTCAATTTTCAACAAAGTACTTGACTACTAATGATCATAACAATATAATTAAAAAATTTGCTTTTAAAATAATTAATACTCCCCACCCAATCAATAAAAATATTTTTTTTAAAACTGGAGAAATCTCTCTTAGTCTAGTTTTTCACGAAGTTTTCATTTAAATGGCCAGATTTTCACTTTCTATATATAGCAACATATAAACAGAGAGTTAAGTGGCCTGATTTGGCCGTTACGGTTTTGAATCGGTTACATCATTTCTTATAAAAGAGCTATAAAATCACTCATTATTGGACGAATTAATGTACTTAAAAGCCAAAGAAATTAATGCTAAAAGTGACCAATACCAGTGGAAGTTCAAGAGCGTTTACAATATCAGCAACTATTAGAAATCCCAATAATGACGTAGACTATCAACAAACCACTTACATTAGAAAAGTTAGTTCTAGCATCTGTTATCACTGGTTCATTGTAATTCGTGCTTTTAGGACCTTCCAGTTCTTTCCTGGCCTGTTTTAAAAGTAATGATTGAGATCTGGCTTGACCCTTGTGTGTGCAACCTTCCTCTTCAACCCACGGCTTTTTGTGAAATTTCATATCCAGAGGAAATAGGTGACCCTCTGTTGTAAAAATATACCTGGAAAACTCTTTGTTTACTGGGTTATCAGTATCAAACAACTGTGGAGGGATAAAATAGATTTCTCATCAATAAAACTTTAATTTTTTTAAATAGTTCAATATCTTTATGTCTCCTGAATGTCAACTATGAATTACAGTGTTCTAGCTCACTTTGCCTGGCGTAACTTTCTTAAAATTTACCGGGGAGATAAATCAGGTCACAAAACTACATATACTTATTTACTTTGAAACAAATGTTTTCATGGGTTGGCTTGCGGCAAAGTGTTTAGATATGAAAGATAGCTAGTTATTAAGTATTTAAAAACAGTTACAGAACCAAGTATAAGTATTTACGAATAAATTTAATTACCAAGTATAAGTAATTTATAAATTTAATTACCAAGTATAAGTATTTACAAGTTTCACTGAGAAAGAAACTCTCCATTCTATCCTCCAGTTCTTTTGTATGGACATCATGTATAGTGCAATAACCACACCTAAACAAACATAACAGGACAAGAGCTTTAGTTTTTAACACAAAAGTCAACAAAAAAAAGAAAGAAAAAAAAAAAAAGTCCCCAATAAGTGTTCCCATTAAATGTAATGAACATTGGAGGCGACAACACCAGACACATTTGTGTCTATTGCCTCATGCCCTCCAACCCCCAGTGCATGATTCCCTCACAAAGTAGCACTGGCAATCAGTGAATTATCGTCATCAACACCAGGCACAGAAACATTGCAAATCCCCTCTACATGCATAGGAGCCAGAATGATCAATACATTGATCGTGGGCCCTTAATATATAGAAGAAGAAGAAGATAGCTCAAGTTATGAATTACATGTAGTAACTACATGGAGTAAACAGTGAATGGGATCCCTACCTTTCTTTAGTGTGAGCATTAATACTCTCTAGAATATCTCGCCCAACATGGAGATAAAAAGGATTTTTGGTGGCTCTGTACAAAAAATAAGTAGATTCTATAAGCTCTGGTCGCAGTGGGTAAAATCTAACATCTGGGGCTCTAAGCTGCCAATTGTATCGTTCAGGAAGTGCATTGTAACGTCTCCATATTGCATAGTAAAGGGCATGTGAACAAATGGCTTCTTCCATATCACCATTCAAAACCTGTTCAGAAATATAAGAGATTTTAATATGCTTTCAATAACTTTATATTGAAGTAATCAAACCATACTCAAAGTTGGTTCTTTCATAAAAACAGTTGTTTCTTTAGATTCAAAATGGGTTAATACTTAAAACATAATTATATTATTATTTTTATCATGAACTAGGTTAGGATCACAATTTGTCAGTCGTAATTGATGCATGGACTTTGTTCATAGAAAAAACAATCCCACAGAGAGAAAAAGTGTTTAGTAACTCAAAACTGATTTTCATGCAGTGACCCAGATCTGCCTCTAAATAGTTTGGCACCCTTGTGGTAACCAACTATATGTGATACAGTTAATGAAAACTTGACTAAAAGAAATGTATTTTGAGGAAGGCTGAATGACTAGTACATGGCATTTCCCTCACTTGGACAGCTGACCATGCAGCTTGAAGGGCATCAATCCAAGTGTTGACAGTTTCACCAGTTTTCATATTCACATTGACATATAAAGGTACATTGCCAGCTCCATAGTTACACTTCGGTCGCCTGAGATTATAAAAAGTGTGTTATCTAAAAAGGTTGAAATATATTAAATAAGACAATGTTTGCTTTACTTAATGATCATATATATCATTACATATATAGAATACCTATTTAAAATTCCAAATTGATAATGTCTTTTAAATGAGACATCCTAAATAAATAATATAAACTTTGGATTTGCCACTTACCCTCTTCGTAAATGAAATTTTATTGTTTCATAAGATTCATTGAACATTTCCAAATCTTTTTTTTCTCCAAACATAATAAAAGCCTGAAAAAAAAAAAAAATTTCCACATAATGATGCTTTTTGCTTTAAAAAATAAAACAAAACAAATGAAGATGTTTGGAGTACTTTCTGTAAAGTATAAATATTTATCATAGAAATAAAGATTGTTAAAATGTGTCATACCTTGAGTAAATATTCAAAAAAAGAATCAATGCCAGCACCAAGTCCACTCATTGGTCCAACCCATTCACCTGTTTGAATGTTGATGACATTGCCTTTGAAACAAAAAAAACAAAACAATTACGGTATTCTAAAATTCTGCTATTTATCATTACCGGTACCAGAAGTTGGCTTATGTCATAACTACAATTTTTTTTAAATGACCATTATAAGCAAAAGTCACAAAATATGTGAGACATGTTTCAGTAGAAACAGATCTTTTCAGTGGAATTTAAAAAAAATTAATTGAACATACCCAATAAGCCTGTAACATTAGATCTCAAACTCCATAAACTAGCCACAGCACGCCGAGATACTGCATCATAAACTGGGTCATTTAACAGCCGAGATAAGACACCAAATTCTAAGACAAGTGTTCCAGCCCCGGATGTACATGTTTCATTAATGCAGTTGAGTGGAACGCCCTTACTCAGAGAAACCTATATCAAAAAGAAATTACTATGTTTTAGCTGTCTAAATATTAATATTTATTGTGGGACCAGTTTGTAAGACCACATACAATATTAAGCAATCGCTCTGAAGTATTAAAACAACTAGATGATACAAAAGTCACTAGAGGGATTGGGTTATGTCAATGAACTGATTTGTGGAAGTTATAATACCTTAGTATAATGACAAACATAATTTTTACTTTCATGAAGATAAAGTGAGAAAAGAGATTTGTAATCTCAAGCCTTTTTTTAATATAAATGTTAAAATGTAGTTATAGATTTACTCTGTCATTGCTCATATATATGAAAACTAAACGAGATTACAGTATGATTAAAGATGAGTTAATTGTAATTTAAGTTTGTAACTGACATCAGGTCAATTTCAAAAATAGAAGGGATGTTTTAAAAATCTTGAAAGGATGGGGATATTTTTTTTTTTTAAAAGCAAGTGTGAAAAATTAAATAATTAAAATGTTTGACACTATGTTTGAAATAAAAAAAATAATAATTAATTTCAATAAGTCAATCACAAAAATTACTTTTATTTTGAAAATAAATTGTATGTAAAATTGGGTCTAGATCTGTGTAAGGGATTAATTTATATTAACTTGTTTTCTTTTTTAAATTGCACAAAGCACATACTTCTGAGTTTTATATATAGATATAAAATAACTACTTTAAAAAGTTGTAGACTTTGGTTTTAAATTTATTCTTTGAAAAGAATATAAAAAATATTCCAACATTTAAATAAGTGTACCCTTGGATATGGGATTCCTGTTGCAGTATTGCTGAAAGCAGGTAGCAGACGTGAAGCAAGGTCGTGGGCCAGCTGCAGAAGTTCATTTTCATAGCCTGGTATGGACATGTCACCAAGTGGTTGCCGAGGATCAATAATAATTAGGTGGGCTGAGAGCAATGCGCCTATTACTCTGAAATATGAAAAAAAATATTCTACCTTTATTTGAAGAAAGTAAACTCTGGATTTAAATTTATTTAATTTTGTTTAAAATTAACACACTATTTTTATCAGAATTTAAGAAATATCATCATTTTTACAATTGGAAAAAATCCTATACTACCTGATAGTGGCCTCAAAGACTTGCACTGTGTTATTGTTGTTGAAAGAGACATACTCAATAACAAGCTTTACAGCTTTCTTAAACTCAGAGCTGTTACCCATCACCTACATATAAGAATTACAAAAGTCATAGTAATGCAAAATTTATCTGTAAAAGAAAACAAAGAAATTAATCTCAAGCACAGTATTTAATATAATGTTTTCTAATCTAAACCTAATGGTGAAGATTTGAACATTTCAAAGAAATCCACGGTACAAGACAATTAATAGGTAATCATCCATGTTAAATGATACAGCAGGTGTCTTTGGTCTTTCATGATTATGCAAAGTTGCTAGGTTTAAATGCTGAATTATGTCAAGAATGTATAAAAAGCACAAAGTCTGGTTAATATAAAGAAAGAGCTGAGGTCACATACCGCCAGTGTGTCAAGAGATTCAACCAGTGTCAGAGCATAATCTCCAAGGACATCATTGATGTTGATATTATCTCTAGAAAGAAGGATTGCATATTTTAAACACATTTCTTTTCATGTTAGTATCTATAAAGATCTTATTTTTAAATGAAAAAAATATTTACAGGAAGTAAAAAGTCTTTTTTAAAAATCTGCTTAAGGTACTGGTGACAAAAGAATTTTCCATTTTAAAAAAAATGAGGCAAAATGGGGGAGGCCTCAACTTTTGCGTCAAGTATGATGATTAGAGGGGGTTGTCAAGGTCATGGAATCATGAGTGAATGTTTTATTATTATATAGGGCAACTGAGCTACTGTAGCTAAAGAGAATAAAAGTATGTCTCAAACTCAAAGATGTATGCACGCATTGGTTGAAAGATGTTAGGCAATGCATAATAATTAGGTCAAGTGAGCTGTTTAAATTACATTCTGGGAAAGTCCATGTCCTAAGGATGTTTGGGTCCAATGGTTGAAAGCTGTGTGGGTGTTTTAAAATGAGTGGGTAAATATATAATGTGACGTCATGAGAGATGAAGAGGGACCAATAAGAGAGATGGCAAGAACTTGAGGTTACTAGACCTATTGTGTGTTTGAACTGAGAGAAAATCCTTTTAACAGGAATTAATCTGCTGGGTAAACTATCATTATTCATATATAGTCAAGCATTGTGAAATTATGTGCAAATGTAAATAAACTCTTCAAGCTTGTATCTTGGTGTTTTTACTTGATATTCGTCAACCCAACCGCCAACCATGCTGCATCTATCACTCAAACACTTCAATAACAACCAGACATTTAATGGCTTGACATACTCAGATACTGCTAACCACAAATATTTGGCAGCGTCAAACACCAACCAGTAATACTTTTCAGGAGTTTTCTGTATTTTTCTTGCTGCTGCTGGTGAAGAGACTGACTATATTGTCTTAGTGCAGTTTACTTCAGCTTTCACTTTTCACAGCATGCACTGATCTTTCTCATTTAGACATACATACCAGTTTGGCACATTCACATACTGACAAAGTAAGGTTGACTATATAGATAGCCTTCTCTACCTGTCAGCTGCCTTGTAAATAATTTCCAATTATAATTAGAAAGTGTATGGTAGGGATGCGGATGGGCCAAAAGGTAAGCTTACCTTATAATTGTTTTTAAGGGTTGAAACCCGACATATGAGAGTAGACACTGTAGGTATCCCTAGTGGTTTAGTGTACGGGGGGAGGGGGGGGGATCAGATTAATTAAGTAAAAGTTTATTAAGGGACCATTCATTCATAAGTAGCATTATCTAGGAGGGGTCATTAGACATTTTGAATTTTGAGGATGTTTCACATGTGACAAGGATATCTATCTTTGAGCAACAATTTGAAATGTAGCAGGGTCATAAGAAAAATCAGCCAAAATAGTGTGACATCATTATTAATTGTCCCATCAGTGGCTAAAGGCTAAACCTAATAATAATTTAAAAAACTGGATTCAAGACTTACATTAGACTTAACTTTGTCTTAGTATTATAAATTACAGTTTTGTCCTTAGATTTGAGACTCACGGATTATCATAGTCAGGGCCACGACCTCGACAATGAATAGGATCAAGCTCATCTTCAGGGAATGCATATTTCAAGTAGTTGTCATATCCGAACTGAAACATCTTTTTAGACGCATCGACCATTTGTAGTCGTTCAGCGTTACTGAACTGTGAATATTTATTGTGAATCGGATCCCACTCATGTTGAAAACTGTATAGCCAACATATCTGAGGAAATAATACTAGAATAAGTGAAAAAACTACTAAATAATTTTCAATTAATGTCATGGCATTAGTGCTGACACACTGGCAACCCTTTTATTATCACTAGTCCCCACTCCCTTCCTTTTAGCTACCAACTACTAAACATTCAGCTCTTGTCACATGGTCCCACCTACAACCGAAAGTTAAGTTTAATTTGACGATATTTCTTAAACATTATACTTTTTTGCATTGAGATCTTTTTCGTTTTGTTTTTTTTTAATCTAAAAGAAAATAAATAATTATTTTTTTTTTTAAATTTGTTCAAGTTTGTTTTTAAAAATAGAATTGATTCCCACATTTTGATGTAGTAGAATGTGTCCTTAAAAAGATTTGATATCCCTCCCCTTAAAGACAGACGAGAGGGACTCCGCCTGACATTCTTATATCAAGTGGTCATGGGACTGGTGCCGGCCATCCCAGCAGGCACTTACCTACCCCACAGAAACCGGGTAGACTGATCAGAGCAAAACGCTCACTGAACACGGTCTTCACCACTGACATTCCAATAAACAATTACACCAGAAACAATAGCAAATGCTTCAAAGTGCCTCAGTGCAACACAGTGCAGTATCAACAATCTTTCTTCCCACGCACAATAATAGCTTGGAACAACCTGAACGATGCCACTGTGAACTCGACATCAGTCGAAAGCTTTAAGGCTGCCCTGGCATCAGCTAGGAGCTTTAGAATAGCAACATCATACCCCCAACCGTTGCAAAGATGCCAGTACATGGATGCAACAACGAAACATTACTAGAACCAGAACCATGAAGTTCACCAAGAAGGTAATAAGGGGAGAGACTGCAATCAGGTTAGCAAAAAAAAAAGAAAAAAAGGAAATGAGTAAAACGAAATATGGGAAAACCTGAAAAAGAAAGGCAACAAAACAGCCAACGTGTTGGTTGGAAGCCTTCGTCAGCATTTTCATTCACATGTTAAGCCTTTGCTCCGCCCTCCATATCAGGACAAATCACAGTTGACTTACTTCTACTCTTTTCTTTCCCTTTTTGCCTGTATTTAATCTCTCACCTAATTATTTTCGGTCACAATTCTTTTGCTGCCCTCTCGGATACTACTTTTCAGCTAAGTGCTATTTTCATTTAATTCTGTTTTTTCTGTTGTTTGTTCGCTGACGAAGGCTTCATGCAGAAACGTTCGTTGTTTTTTTGCATTCCTTTAATCAGGTTTTCTCATACTTTGTTTTACTCATTTCCATTTTTTTAAGCTCACCAAGAGTTTTTTAATATCTTATGTTGTTTGATAAGTCTTAAAATACAAATGTAAGCTAAGTTATATAGTATTTTTTTCATTCATAGACTAGTCTGAATCGAGTGGGTCCAATATAACTAATTCATTACTATAATTTCAATAACTTTCATCCGTGGATATAGACTAACTTCCATAGTTTTTAAAGAAATATTTACAATAGATTTTATTTGGGAAATGAAACCAACTAAGTTAACTAAGTTTCAATTGAAACAAACCATTCATTATGGATGGTTTGTTTCATAAAGCGTTTATTTTTTATACTATTGTACTATCCAGCCTTGTGTTTTTGAAAGAAAAGCTAATAATGTCTATTGAGTATTTGACTTATAAACCATAAAAACTTAATTGATCATTTAATGTCATAAAAATATTTAAAAATTTTATAAATGTTGATCTCCTGTTCAAATAGTCCCGTTAGTTTAAAATGTGACTATATGTGAAATCTCATTGAAAAAAAACATATTTAAAAAAATAGCTGCATAAATGGTAACTTGTGGGGAAAAAAAGATTATAAAAAGTATTTGATAATATGAAGACCAAATTTGTTAATTGTGCAAAATCAAATAGCTTTAGTGCTTATTTAAAAAAAATATGGATTGCCGTTTCCCATCACATAAAACTTGAAATTCAAAAATGAATAAGAAATTGGAAAGAAGAAATAATTTTGTTAAAATACCGGTTTTATTTTTTTTTATTTAAAAGGTGAGTATAACAAATTCCACATAAAAAATTATATTAAAAGTGAACAGAGACATAATAAAAATATAAAAAAAATATTATTAACACAACAGTTATCCATAATAATAAACAAGGAATACCTATTTATGATGATTATAATTGCCTTGTCTTCTTTTTTTTGTTGGCTACCTATAAATAAGAATACATATTGTTTAACTGTTATGAAATAATGCCCATTCAGGATCTTGCTTCGATTAGCTCCCATTTAAATAAAAATTTAGAAACATAAGTGTTCTAAATAGCAATACCAGAACTTAGGCTAAAAAGAAAAATCAAAAAAGGGAAGGACATGATTAGTAAATGAAAGTTAAGTATTAAATTGTATAATTTTGACATCAAATTTTAAAGAAATTATTTTCAATGGAGGGGATATGGTCAAAACTTGTATTCAGATGTTTCTTTGGTATGCAAAAATTGTTTTTAAAAGAAACTTCAAATTATTCGGGTTAGTTTATATACTTCAGGCCATAATAATTATGGTAGAGAATAGAACTGGTCTAAAAGATGAAAAAGTATATGGCAGAATTTCGATTGTGTATTAAAAAAGGAGATTTAACAAAACAAATGTGAACTTTACATGGCAAAAATAAAATAAAACGTTACTAATTGGTGGATGACATACACTAAAAAGTACAATACACTCTTAATAGTCTTTGAAGGCTCAACATTTTAAAAGATTATCTGTTGAAGATGTAAATTTCATCCTATATATGTGAAAGAAAAGCAGAGAAAGAACTTTGAAGTTAAGTTAGATTTCTAGATACACCTATAAACCAGTGCTTCTCATTTTTGTGTGCCGAGGTAGATCATCAGCCTCCCTTTTCCCAAATCCAAGGACCATAACACAGTAATACTTCAAATATTATATCGATTGGTTGCTTATATTGGTAGACCTGTTCTCTAGACTCTTGACTTGCAATGCTCTAGGCTTCCTCATGCAAAAGATATGGTGTCTTGGTTAGAGCTATTACACTAATAAAGTTTCAATTTCTGATTTTTAAACAGAAAGAAGTTTAAAACATGATTTTTGTAAAATGACAAGTATTTAAAATTGGAAGTAGAGTACTGGTACTTGACAAAATCTAGCTTTGGTAATATAATAAAAACTTCTTAAGAATATTTCTTCTAAAATGTAATGTCACACACCCAAAGACTGGACTAATCTGACCGCAAATTTAATAAATAAAAAAAAATACAAAAATCAAGTTGTGTATTTACATAAGTAATCACCTATCCCATAAATTTTTAATGCAGGTTAAATTAAAGAAATATGGGCTGTTGAGTAATGATGTTTGTGAAGGGGAAAAGGCACAACTATATGAAACAAGATCACGGGTTGACAAAAAAATGCAATATGTATTTGTGAGTTATTTATTACTAATATTTAAACATTAAAATACCCAATAGTACAGTTGTTCACAAACTTATATTTAAGAGGGGTAAAAGAGAAATAGTACAATAGCTTTCTCATAATTTTTCTAGAAAAGTCACACTTCAGGCAAGCCTAACAATTTACCTACAACCATGCCATCACAATCTTGTAGCCAGCAGAAATTTGAGGTGCTGTAACTGTATGCCCAACTAAGAGCCCAACATTTTTTTGGGAGCAGAAACTGTATAGCAAAGAATCAAGTAATGTTGTTATAGTAGATTACTAAATTTCAAATATAAATATGCAATTAATGAGATTCTATGCAAAGGTGAAATAAATACGACATATAATTGGAAGTGACAGTTTTTATTTGTTGTTTTTTCATATGTCCAAGTGTGAAAGAGAGCCTGGTTTTCAAAGTGAGCACTTAATTTTAACAAATAAATAGTTAAATAAGCAAGAAAACCTCAAAATCTATATAGCCAACATCAAGACTTTAAGACTTTGGATATGAAAACAGTTATAAATTAAAACTGCAGCTATTTACATAAAATTAAATATTGTTGTGTGAGATAAGATGACATGTGAATGGTTATGTTAAAGATGATTGCTGCCTGACTGCATTCATATGGAAATGCATTTGATTTTTATTAATGTTGCACCAATTACAGGTGCAATTTCTGTTAGAGATGACATACAAATGCATTCATTTTTATGTGTAATTTATGAATTTTTAAACTTTACCAGATTGTATGTAATCAACAAAAATAAGAGAAATATGGGAAAAAGATGCATTTGTTGAATGTTTTTCAAAGAACAATTCCATACTCCAGCATGCACATGAAAATGTTTTATAATATTCAAATGCTTTGACCTCTCAAATTTCTTAAATGTTTATTTACAATATTTGTGTAAAAAAATAATGCCCTAATTATAAAATATTCTAATGATGGACACGCTGGATTCGTTTATAATTTTTACACTATAATGCCTGTTTTTTTCATTAAAAAAATATTTGGAAGCAGGGCATTACATGAAAGCCACATATCCTGACATTAAAAAAAAAGAAAAGAAGGAAAACACTATTCTTAAATAAAATAAGATGTCTGGATTGACCTGCAAATGCAATATTTCAGGAAGGGATGTTTTTGCTAAACTTCGAATGACATAAATACTTTAGAATCTACTGAAATACATTATATTTTATTTATTGCAACCAAATAGGTTCTTAGAGAAAAAGATCACAGGTCATCAAATGGAACTGTCCTAGCAATGTTTAGGGCATCTTTCAGCATGAAATCACGGAGAGCCCATAAAGCACTGGTGATGCTTCCATGACAACCGGCTGCTTGAGCTAACCACTGTCCAGGTAGACTGGCCTCATTTATGGCAGGTGTATTCTCTTGTGTTGCTGACAATGTTCTGTCCCAGTTCGATATGGTGTGAGATTCGGAGGTGAGGCCTTCGATGTATCTGGAAGATACAATAAAACTAAATAATCACCCTAATGGAAAAATAATATCACATGTTTATTTTAAAATTGAAATGAGACAAATTAACTGAATTTGTATCAGGTACTATCTATTTTGAAACTCCAAGTTTAATAATAATTAATTTCAAACCTGATGTAAGTTTCAGAATGCATCAGCTTCTGCGTTCTGGGTGGGACGGAAACAAACATTGGCGAGGGAGGGCACTGTTGTGGACCATTAGGTTGACCTGGTCAATGTGAATTATAAATTTGGTTGCAGCCATGAATACATTAAATAAATGGTTCAGATATTCCACTGCCATAAAACTAATATTTACATGTTTCATTATCGGTAGCCAAATGGCACAAAATAACTACTTGACTTATTATTCAACACAGAGATAAACTATTGATCAGAGAAGAATAACTGCTTGTGCTAAGATCAGATGTTGTGACATAAACACTTGGTTTTTATATTTTTGTTATGAAACTTGTGTTAAAGAAGCAGAAGCTCTCAGCAAAGGTTTATTATTGCCAATCTATTTTTTTAATAAAAAAATAAAAAACATTATTTTAATGTTAAGCAAGCATATAATGTTGAAGCTGATATTTTTGGATATAATTTGCAAAAGATCACCTTTACATTTTGTCAGTGTATTTTTTTTTTAATGCTGTAAAATAATTTCTGAATGAGGCATTGCAAAAATAATCTTTGCATTAGGCATTGTAAAATAATCAAACATTATTATAACAAAATGAAATGGGCCGACACCCAATACATTATTTTAAATCATCCTACATAATTTGAAATAAGCTTATTCTCTCAAGTCCCAGGAGCATGTCTTTAATTTTTAAGCAAAGTTGACTATCATTAAAGCATACTTTGTGTGTATGAAATGCAATAGTTTTGTTGCTGTAACTAAATTTGAGTTAAAAAGCTTTTAGTATGCTTAAAGCAGGCATAGAAATGATGCAGTCTAACAGGCCCTCTTCATTTTTCAATAAAACCTATGGGTTCTCTGATGATCCCAGCTTACTTCCTGGTCTTGATAAAAATTACATTTTCTCTCTAACCATTTAATTCCAGGAAAGTACTAATTTTGCGCTAAAACTCATTTTAACATTTTAAGTCAGTTTATATCAAAGGGAAGTTGTACATTTACAGATTATAAATTTTACCTTGAAATTATTTACTCATAATTACCAGAAACACTGTTTGGTGATACATGTTAAATATCAGACTAAAGAGTCAAGTTTACAAATAAAAAGAATATATTGTAAATATTTTCTATTTTTAACAATGTGAATAACCTAAATAAAGTGAAAGAGATCTGTATTGTTATACTGTGTTATATCTGGAGACAGAGCTTTTTACCATTGAATTAGTAGAAATGGTTTAAATACATTGTTAAAGCTTGCTTTAATGTCAACATAAGAAATCAATAGAACTTATGTGGGAAAAATTAGGAATGATGGCTGAACATTTCCTTTTAACGAGATTGTCATGTAAACCAGAATTGTTTTACTTCTGAACTAAAGTTTGTTACTTTGTGAATAGATGACTATGCATAGACTAGGTAACATGTAAAAGCGTAAACTTTCCATAAACTGGGCAGTCTAATATCTTGGAAACATTTCTATAAAGAGTTTTTGTATCAACCTTGACAATGCTTATATGTATTTTATACTAGACCTTACCTGCCATCTGTGGTGATGGAAGGAAAATATATTGAGAAATGTAATTGGAAAAGCTATTTAATTACACATAGAATCATTTGTGACGTATAACAATGATTTGATAAATGCAAATGATTATTATTTTAAAAAATAAGTAAAAAGGTAGCTTCATATGATTATGGTCCAATTTGAAGATTAATATTGAAGATGCTTCTCACTGTGAGAAATCAACTGACAAACATTGAAAAGGATAAGTAATTTAACCTTTTTTTTATAACAAATAAATTCTAAGCTGCAAATTTGAAAACTTTTAATAATTTTGTTGTTAATGTTGCAAGATATTGATAGTTTAAAAATATGATTTGTTTTGGGATGTTTATAAGCTAAAAATCTTTTTATATTTATTATGTCCCCATGTTATTATTTTTTTTAAAGTTATTAAAGGCGTAAAATGTAAAAATCTTGAAATAATTAACAGAAAGGAAGTAGTACTAATGATGTCACATCTTTTTAAAAAAATGACTAGAGGCAAGTTTCTCTGGCAATACGAGAAGCAGAACGAGTAAAGCATCTATTCTAGAGTTGCATACAAGAGACAATACCTTCATGCTGATTAAATGCGGATACATTTGAGCAAGATATTTGGGGTGTATCTCCCAGAGTTTGGGAGAAGCATGGATTATATAAAGGTTTATATAAAGTGCTGCTGGTATTATAGGAGAATTGCTGACCCATTAAGTAAGGGCTATGGCCATTAATCAGTGGTAAAGGAGAGGGGTATCCTTGTGGTGAGTACAGCATTCCATTGGCCATACCAGACTGAGCCAGTGGACTTCCATTGTAGGGGCCTGAAATGTTAATGTTGCATGCTGTACTTTTTTAAAATGCATTTTCAAATTACACTTACGCCAGAAACATAACTTTATAGATGGAGAGAAAGAAATTCACTTAATTAATAAGTACATTTCATGAATATTTCCACCGGCTAATTTGATAATACTTCCCCAGAAAAACAATATATATTAAAAATTTCATGTTTTCTTATTTAATTCAATATTTTAAATTGGGTGTATTCTTTTCCAAAACAAAGGTTGTTATTTTTTTAATATGTAGCTTAAAAAACTTTTTGCTAAAGGAATTTTAGAGAAATTGTTTTTAAATTTTAATGTCACTCGAGTTAAAGGTATGACTAGACAGGATTCTTTTAAAGCTACTTATTCTGACACTAGGGATAGGTCTAAATTTATTTTAACTTTTCATCCCCACAACCTTAAAGCTCGTTTTCTGGTTCTGAAAAACCGCTCAATTCTTATGGCAGACCCTGTCACCAATGACATTTTCAGAAAACCTCCTATTTTCACTTTCCGGAGGGACAGGAGCCTTAGGGACATGCTAGTTAAAAGCCACCTCCCTGCTATTAAAGCACATAATGGCACCAAAAGTTGCAACCGTAGCCGTTGTAACACATGTCCCTATGTGATTGAAGTTAATAAGATTACTTTCCCTCCGGAAATATTCAAATAAAAGATGGCTTTACCTGGACAAGTCACAACATGATTTACACCATCCTTTGTAAAAAGTGCGGTAAATTATACGTAGGAAAGACAGGTAGTCGCCTTGGAGATCGGTTTAGAGAACACCTCTATAACATAAATAAACAAGCTCTCTCTCCAGTCTCCAAACATTTCAATAGTACTAACCATGATGGAATTTTATACTGTATACTAGTAACACACCGGATAGGATCTATATGGAGAATAAATGAATAAGATTTGGTACGTTGACTCCCTACGGAATAAACCAAATCCACAATTTTACGTAGCTGCCTTGTCTTTTTCCTGTTTGGTTTTTTACATTTTACTTCAAATCCCTTCCTTTCCATTCTTCTTTACTTTGTTTCTGTCTGGATTTTTGCACCCACTCCTATTTTTTCTCTTTTTTTTTTAGGTAGGATATATGTATATATATTTATTATGTAAATTTAATTTATGCTAATTAAAATTTTTTGTCTTTATACTGATGAAGGCATGTGCCGAAACGTTTACTTGTGTATTATATGAAATTATTATTAAAGCTTAACATATATTGTTATATTGACACAAATTGTTCGTGTCTAATTAATTAAAATTTTAATGGCTCTTTAGTTTATCATCAATTATTAAAGGTGATCTTTTCATTCATGAAATCAACTCAACACAAAAGATCTTTTCTATATCAACTTATGCTAAAAATGACAGTACCCTTTTCAGTTCATAAACATCAGTCGGACAAAAATATTCTTGAACAATAAATACTTTCTGGAGACAATATAAATTTTATCAGATCCCAAAGGACCACAAGGAAATTGCAGTTTGTCAAGTGCAAAAATATATAAGAGTCTACAGAGCTTTTTGATGTCTTTGTATAAAAAAATACACTTAATTGAGCAGCACACAAATATTGCATGAAAATGTTAACATTTACAGAGCCCAGTGAACCTTTGTATACAACATCAAGACAACAATATCAGGGGATTAAGATCATGCAAACCAGGCCGGGTTCAGAGACTTCTTAGAAATGAGAGAGTATAGCAGCATTACACTAATAAAGCTAGGTTGGGTTAGGTAACAGTAATTTCAATTAATGTTGATAACTCTAAATGAATCAAAATGGTATTAACATAAAGAATTGTTGTAAGCTACCTAAAGTTTTACTTTTTCAACGATGGATTGAATTTGAAAACACAAAATAAGCCATGGCTTTAAAATAATATGGTTTATTCTAATTTGACGTATCAGGAGTAAACTGTAGTCTTATATTTTCAAAGTTTGCAACATTGAGAACTGTACATAATGCATTTAATCTCACCTGCTGGGGTCATGGGACCAAGGGCAAAGCTCGGGAACCCTGGCTGGTTAGCCTGATGTTGAGGGTGAACAGGGGTGGCTGGGGCAGCTACAAAACAGGGAAAAGTAGGGGGAAGAAAAAAACAAAGTGACAAAACAAAAATTAAAATAGAAAACAAAAAACAGATGAATAATATAAAAAAAGACCAAAAACAAGTCATGCAAGAAAGCAACATTAAGAGCTGGGGAAGTCAATAAAATTCAAAGTAATCAGCTTGAGTTATCTATCCTTCTTAAAATTTTCTTCAAAACTCTCAAGAGAGATATAATTTTTCATTGAGGAGGAGAAAAAAAAAAAGCAATTCTAACACTGTCATTTGAGAGAAAGCAATATGATGTAATAATTTTCACATCCCTTTGTAGAAAGCAATGTTCTTGAAAGTGATTCTATGATTTTAATTTTACAGTTTGGTAAAAATAATTTCATATGGAAATATTTAAAGAATAAATAATAGAAATGATTGCACAACAGAATTTATAGATTTTGAAAATTAAGGAAAGCTTTAAAAAAAATATCCGGTCTCTCCCCTTAATTAAAAGCATTACAAAAGCAAGTGCAATGCTTTTCATACACATTTAAAACACTGATGCTGTTAGTCTCACCTCCAAAATCTGACCAGGGGCTCTGAGATCGCACAGGGTCAACTACTGCTTTGTCTGCTTCCACGTGCTTAGCATTCATATCCTCTGCTATCTTACGGGCTTTCTCTTCAAACACATCTTTTTCAGCTTTAGACAACGCTCTCCACTGTTTAAACAAATGTTAATTTGATCAAAACTCATATATTTTAATTTTTTTTTTAAAGACAATGGTTGCTTAAGATCAGCACAATCATGGCAAATCCTTTCTCTGAAAGTAAAGATAATTCATTTGTTTCCCAAACTGTCAGAATTTACCAGCGTGTTTCCTTACCTGATAGAAAATTTAATCGTTCTTTTTAATTAAATATTATTATTGTAGAAATGTATGACACAGGGTGGCTGTTTATTGTGTTTCAAAAATTACAGTAGATACTCTTTCTAAAGCCTGTTTGTTCTTAAGCTGACACACCTAGTTTTGGATGGGAAAGCCTGACAAGTGTCTATTCACCCCTTCGACAGCTTCGCTCCTCCGCAGACGTGTATATTCTTTCTGTCCCCAAGACTCGCACAAGAACATACGATGAACGATCGTTCTGTTTCTGGGCACCCAAACAATGGAATTTTCTTCCATTAAACATCCATAAACTCGATGGCCATTCGGATGTCATTTGTAGTTGTTTACTTTATATGTTTGTAAACTTACTTCTTCAGTTTACCTAAAGTAAACAACCACAAATGACATCCGAATGGCCATCGAGTCTAAAGGGACACGGGTCCGAAAAGCCGCTACTTGGACAGACCCATACGTAATAGAGGCGACAGTCATTCAACACTCCACTATAAAGAGGTGTAGCATCTTGCTTGAAGCATAAGTGAGAAGTGCCTCTTTAGTGTCTTAATTGTACTTTGCATATGTTCTTTGAATAATTATAATGATATGACAGCACTCCATATTTCATAGCTTTTCTTTTGGGGTAGTTCCCAATCATATTTCATGCATATCTCATAGTGTATGTGTTATATATCTTCTATTATGTTACATAGTGTATTTAGATAGTAAAATAGCTTTCATCACTTTAAATTAGGTTGAGGATTTATTTTGTTTATTGTATTTTCATTGTGTTTCCTTGGGCACATCAAAACAAGGTGGTGTCAGAGGCTTTGAAGAAATTAGACAAAGTGTCACTTGGCATAAGGGAGCTTGTGACAGTGCCAACAAAGCCTGAATGCTTTAGTAGTCCTTAAAAAAAAATCAATAGATTTTATTTATAAAAATTTGATCCAATTTGAAGTTAAGGGCTGCTGTCTTTATCTTGTAACTTCTCTACCATGGGCTTCCTTAGGATAAGCTTTGTGCCCGAAGTCATCCCATGACTAAATTATACTGCTTGCTGTTTAAACCATAAATGCTTTTTAATTGAACACAGTAAAAAAAAATGTTTGTAATAACTTTCAAATCTCCAGACCTTGGTGCCTACAATCTTGCTAATGTCTCCAAATGAGCAACTAGGGTTATCTTGTGAAATCTGCTTTCGAATCTCACCAGCAAACACTATGTAGCCACTTGGTTGCCTGCGTGGGTTTAATGGTTTCTGAAAAATTCAAGCTCATATTTAAATAGTGTTTGTAATTGACCAAATGGAATCCCAAAAGCCGCTTAAAGCATATCAGAGAACTTATCCACTAACCAGAAGCCATTCAGTACTAGGCGATGAGCACTGCTGAAATTTTATTTTTTAACACTGGACACTGTTCAATTGAATTTTTTTTTGTATTTATCAGAATGAAAAGTTTTCTTTGAATTACAAAACTAGCTATAATGTCCATGTGCAAAAAAAAAAATATATATATATTAAGCCTTTCATTGTTTTAAAATGAAGTAAAACAGTGTGGTGATAATTTGCAAAGACTTAACAATTGATAAAACAGATTAAACTTTATTGCAAGAGATTACTTTTGATGAGCATTTTCAAATGAAAAGAGGAAATAAACTGTTAATTTCATTTTTTAGGATTAAATATGAATAACCTGATTGTCTTAAAAACATTTACTTTAAATCTATTTAGTATACATTCTGGCTGAGCTGTATATTGTACTGTTTAATATTGGTTACAATAACTTACTTCTCTTGCTCTTTTTCATTTTTTTTACAAATATCGTCTTAAACTTAAAATAGTTGTTAAAAATGCTATTGGTGTGTTTGGATTATAAAGAGATATCTCCGAGACTGACCTTCTTGTGGGACTTGGTTGGAGCTGGACTGGGCACATCCATACTGACAGACATTCCATCATTGCTGGCCTCAGGCTCCACTCCAAGTGAGTCCTCATTATCAAGGAACAAAGTCTCCTCAGCACTTTGCTTCATTAACAGGGGGGACGGTTCCTGGCAAAATTAATTTGGTTGAATTTCATATTTTAGAATAAATTTTACCTATTGACAGCAGATATTTCAAACTGAACTATTTTGACATTCTTGTGAACAGTATTATTATTTATTACCACTAATACATTAATAGCAAACAATACAATACTTTGTATGAAAGTACAATAATGACAAACCAATAGCTTTATACAATTTTCATAACTATTGCAGAATTTTCATCACCTTTTAAGCTGATTTTTTTCTTAGTATATATTTTTTGTATCTATCTTCTATTTAATTTACCTTTCCCAAAGCTATTGGCTTTCTAAAAAAGTAAATTTCATCATCAACCACCTTAGGAGACAAAGTGTATTTCTGCAAAAGAAAAATATCACATAATTTAAATTATTTGAAAATTTGTACAACATGAATGTAGCAACGAACTATGTGAAATTTATATACTTCTTCTTCTTATAATTGTATATAAGTAAAAAAGTATATCTAATCAATGCATCTGTTTTTGCTATATTTTCAAACACTAAAGCCTTTTACTCTTGAACTAAGTACATGAAGTAAGGTTATTTTGATAATTATATGGATTTTAACATCATGACTACATTGCAGAAAGTTTTGTGCTGAGAGATAGCTTAAATGTTGTAAGCTATAGAATCAAAAATTCACAATACACTCACCTTAAGCAGTTTTTGTCTTTTAATGGATTTATCTGCTTCTTGATATTTTGATTCATTTATGTAAACATCATGCTCAGAAATTTCAGTTGGGCGGCCTGTAAAACATGTTATTTTAACAAAGCATGGTAAACTAGGATGAAAAAAGCAGTGAGCATAAGATAGAAAATGTGTGCATTGCAATAGTTCACTAAAATAACAAGAACTAAGAGAAATAGTTTCCCAATTTTAAAAGATGATATTTAAGGTAAGATATACTAACATGAGCAATAATCTTTCATGTGAAGAACACAACATTTTCCCACAATATTTTTGATAAGTGCACAATCCTCAAGTGACGACTGGAACACTTCTTTTTTATAAAATAAACGTGTTGGAGCATGATCCACTTCCGACGGACGTAGAAAACAGGCATAGTGAAAGAAAGCTTCACCTCTGCAGAGATATATTGAAATGTCAGTAAACACATGATTATGGTTGAATTGCTTGACTTTGTCAGTTTATTTTTTAAAATATAAAGGTGTTTAAACAATGATGTAAATATTTTTTTAAAATTTAACTAAGTAGAAATAAATGAATAAATTTACACAAATTAGTGAACTGCCTTACAAATTGTCAGTCCATATTTTATCGATTCTAGCAATTACAGGCTGACCACCAGGATTGTTGATGTATACCCCGTCACCTAGAGAAAGATCGTACGCATTTATTTGAACATTTAAACTAACTTTTATTATGTAGCTACATAAATACGCACAGTGTGAAAAAAACTATGAAGTCAGCTTTTGCTTTGACTGCAGTTCATTTACAAGACTACTCTGTCTTTCTTTATCAATGCTCAATTTATGAAACTTTTATCACTTAAATTTGTACAAATACAAGTGTACAGTTATCAATACTGCTAAAAAATTTCATTATAAACAATATTTTCATACAAACTTCTTAGTTTGAAATGAAAGGATAATCTTTTTATAATAAGGAGCTTCCTTTTTTCAAAAATTTCTTTTAAGTGAATACACGCAGTTGATATTATCACTATATAGTTAAATGCAACATAATTAAACCCCTTACATTCTATAATTCAAAGTGATATGATGGAAAGCAGGCATAATCATTTTTTAAATTTAATATCACAGATTTATTTTAGTAGTTTTAATTTTACTGGTAAGACAGCAACAAATTTTGCATACAGTCAAATTTTCTTCTGACTTTGATGGTTGAGGTCTTTATTCAGGGTGAAATAATCCCTAGACACTGCAATCTTTCAAAATAGTTGACTTACCTAGCTTAAAGCATCCCATATCACAAACATACTGATCGTAGTATATGTTGCCGTCATCATTTTCACATTCCGATGGCACTAACTGATAAAGGAAAAGTATATTTAACTAAGCCATCGTATTGATAAGAAATTTTGTACGAAAAATATCTTAGTAATTGTATTTACAGATGTTTCAAAATTGAAATATGTCAAGTTTCCTTTCGGGACTTATTTTTCAGATAACCTAACACTCCCACATAAAGATGTGTTTAAGATTTTAGTTCATAGTACGCAATATACATTTTCTTACCATTTACACATATGGTGCTTTATTGTAGTGTATTATGTAAAGTAATTATCAATATAATGTTGGAGTCTATGAAAAGATGTAGTTTCCAAAAATAGTTGAATGGCACTTATATACATATATATAAATTAATAAGTTTGCAGATCGCATTATCCCAGTCTAGTCACTGTATATACAGTAACTATCTAGATTTGACCAGGATTGCGCAAGAGGGATTCGACTTGTTTTCCGGAGTTTGTACGCTAATGCTCCATGCAATGGGTCTAATTAAAAAAATATTTAAACCAGAATTTTTGGAACACTGGTGTTTGGAAAAATAGATGATCTACTGTATATTAGGAAATATTTCTATCTGAAGAAGTTCTTATATAAAAATTCAATTTAAAATACCTCTCGTTTCTTGTCCAGTGTGGTGTCACTTTCATCCAATGGACTTTCATTATTCATTTTATCAGCAAACACGGAAGCCACTCGAACTGGTGTCAGTGGGATGTCACGAGCAACAAACTGTAGATTCTTGCTTTGAGGAATCTGCCAATTCTGAGCAATATCAAGAATAGAAATTGAATAATTAATAAATAATACCCTTGTAATAACCCATTTGGAAAAATTTATAAAATATTTTATATATTAATAAATTACCGAAAGTAAAAATATAAAAAAATTGCTGAAATCCACAGAAAATACAGCCTTAACATATTAAAACACAAAAAAGTTAATAGTTTACCTTTATTTTTTTGAAGCACCGATGTCGAACACTGTACCTTGACTCACAAACATAAACATCTCTATCTGGAATGGTCTAAAGAAAACCATAAAATTAACTCATTATTTGAGAAAATCTATCTCACAATTAAAAAAAAAAAAATTCTTTTTGATAAAACTTTTGGTGCAGATCATGTTATAACAAATATTTACCTCAGGTCTACTTTTGAAATAGTCTTTCACAAACATGACACAGCAACGGCCTACAATTTCAGACAGTGGTGTTCCATGACTTGTATCACTTTTGAATACTTCCTGTTAATTGACAGGGCAGTAATATGCATTACATAAAAAATGAAAATATGTAATTTCAATACAAGTTCTGATTCCATTACAAGTTGTCATGCTATTTCAAGAATCTATAAAAAAAGATTATAAACAGGATTAAATTTGAACTTAGCATTGTGTATTTTAAAAGTTTGTTCTTAAATATTGAAAAAACATGTAAATATTAAAAAGAAATACTTACGGTAATAATATATTAAATAAGAAATGTAATAAATATAATAGACATGGAAAGGTGTTGTGCTTAACATTATTTGTATAATGAGAAGTAAAAAAAACAATAATAATAATGATATGACCAAAATATGAAATCAATGTATAGAACAAGGCACTAACCTTCTCTAAGAATTTCCTTGTCGCCAAGTGATATGTTTCCTCAGGACGATAAAACCAATTTCCTTTTATAACTTTTACCCCATTGTTGTCAGTTCCAAAACTTTCAATGACCATGATATGAGGCTCAGGGGTATCTCTGCATGAAGGAAAAGTTTGAGAAATTATTTTAGTAATTACATTTTTTTTTTAAATTAAAAAAAAAAATTCTGTTTTTTTTTAAATATTTAACCTACGAACTGTGGTCAACCAAAAAAATCGTCCGACTTTTACATTCTCTACTGAAGCGGCTGAAAAAATCGGCCGATAAAAAAACACGGTCAGATAGCAACTTCCAATCCAATATTTAACCGGAATTATAGCCACTTCCTTTTATTAATAATTAAATCATCTTCCGGTTCAAGCAGCTTCGATATAACTTGAAAATAAATACTTTTTAATCGGAGTTTTATATCGCTGTTTTTTTTAAAAGCTAAAATGGTTGACGCTATGGCTGGGCCTTCAGTGCAAGCACTAATAGAAATATGTTTGAAAGCTTTTTAGGAGAGGTTTTAAGTGATACTGGTGATGATTTTAACATTCCCCATGACGATATCAGTTGAGATTATTCTTCTCGTGAATTTTATACTCGTCTTAGTGATACTAAAGTAGGCCTACTGAGGCTACTGTTAGACTTCGAGCCCGGCCCGGAGGTTGGGCAAGGTCTGACTGAATTTTAGTCACAGAAGCTACAGATTATAGTTCAGAACTAATAAATTTTATAGTTTAACAACCCAAATATTAAATGTTTAATATTCAATAATAATTATTTTGCCTGAGATTTTGTATTTTGTACTTGGTTTTAGCAGTGGTTCCAGTTTCTTATATAAATGATCTAAAATAACTAAATTTGCTTTCAGAGGTTTAAATGCAATCAAAACCTCAGCAAACTATACATTTTCTTCAAGATAAATTGGCTACAACATTTAGATTTGTGTTTTAAGTGTATCTATAAAAATTAATGATGTTATGAGCACTTGCAAGCAAGACATTTTGTCGATTTTATTCTTCTTGAGAACTTCAAGGTCAAGGACACTGAGCAAAATTTTTTTACGGGTCGGGCAATATGGCCAACTTTATCCACATCCATTTACCTTTCTAAAAATATATACTTATAGGGGTCTTGAATCAATATTTCTATGTCATTTAATGCAATTTCAAATGGCACTCAAAACGGTCTAAAAAGCTCCACACCACAGAATGATACATGGCACAGTTTGTGGGTTAAAGAAACATATTTTAAATCTTTAATTTGATGCTTATTAACAACAAGAACATTTTTTTTTTACCTTGAGTCTATGTAGACAAAGTCTCCCTTGCAATAAAGTTGGTTTTTATACTCATATTCTTCATCTGTATTCACATTTTCTGATTCCAATATCTGAAGAGAATATTTCAAGAAAAAGACATTAAATGTTTATAAAATTTATTATTAAGAACTGTCTACATCGTGTACAAGTTTATGAAAGACATGAAGATTCTACAAACACAATATGTTCATTAAAAAGAAGAATAAAGCAGGTCCAATGTTTAAAAAAATTCAGTATGCCAATATTTTATGAATCATAAAAATTAACATTTTTAATAAAAAAATATTATCTACCTTTTCCTCTTCCATTTTCTCTTCTAAACTTTTCTTTTTTTCCCCCTCTTCTTGCTTCTCTTGATCTTGTTTCTCTTGTTCTTGCTTCTCTTTTTGTTCTTTTTCCAAGGCCAGTGTTAGGTGGCGTTCAGTGTAACTTAGAGCAGGAGTCAACACCATTTCCCCATTCTTACAAAGCTCATCACGGGTCTTGATAAAGAAAGTCTGCATTTCTACAGCATCCTCATACAGCTTGGAACAAAATTTAATATTAGAATTTAGTTATTCAATTATATTTTAGTTTAAAAAATCATTTTGAAGATAATTAAATGTATATTGAATATAAATTTGAATGTCCTTAGAGAAAAAGCAAGCACAATACACTGATGGGGATATGAAAATGAAGTCTACATTGCATGGTCAGTGTGGCTGTCTTTATATGTAGGGTGTGTATCTAGACTAGTCCATTCAATAAATTTAAATAAATACAGAAGGTTGAGTACTATATGTTTAGCTTTAAATTATCTGCGTGCAAAATTGTTGGTTACTTTAACAACACCCCGGATCAAAGTTATAATGAATCAGTCGACCTGTCTAAGAGTCATCAAATCCATTGCTCTTCTTATAAGGTCATGAATAGTAATAATGGATATGAAAATAACCTCGACTGTAGTAGGACACACCTGTCAATGTTCAGTGTCACATTTGTTGAAACAACTGTTTTAATAGGATGATAATTGAAATATGATAATTGTTAAAATTTACTTGTGAATCTGTGCGGCTACATTTCCTTGCCCGTTCAAACACTTTGAACATGTCTTCTTGGAATCTGTCAACTCTCCTGTAGCGACCCTGAGAAATAACAAATTAAGTTGTTATGAAAGATCTTAGAATTATCCTAGTGTCATAAAATATATAAGATTAATAATATTTACCTTAAAAATCTATTATGAAGGCTTACTTACCTTATCAAGGTTTCTTTTGATCTGATCAAAGGTCATAGGACGCCTGCAAAATTAAAACAACATTTGTCTCAAATCACTGCTGTTTGACTAAACCAAAAAGCTAAATGTACTTCTATTTTTTTTATTGCTAGTTGACATTAAAACAAAGCAAAAAAAATGTATATATTTTAGATTCTTACTCAGTGATCTCTCCATTTAATTGTAAGCCCTTGTCTTTTTCAGTAAGCTCAGCAAATGAATCTGTGTAACAACGTCCTTCATCGTCCTAGTCAAACATGATATAATTTAGTTTTGTGTAGACAAACACAAGTTACTTGAGTCTCATTCAAAGCAAGTACGTGCATTGTGTTAAATTCTAGAAAAATATCACTATAAAATTATTTACTTGGTTCAAAAAAATGTTTTATAAACAATTAAAATAAAACATAAAAATAATTGTCAAACAACTAACCTCATGGCTGACTGTGGAAATGAAAAGATTCTTCATCAACTCTTGAGTGAGGGCCTTCACATCTGGTACGTTGTTCATACAGTCTGACATAAGCTCCAGCTTTTTCTGGAAGCAAACACGCTGCAGTGCAAGAGCATCCTAAGATCAACATTTTAAATGCTTTTTTATATAAGTTTAGGAAAACCTTAAACTTTTTAAGCTTGCCATAAAAGACAAAATGAGACCAATGTAAAATCAGGTGATGTCAGCATATAGAAAAACATCCACTCGGTTATTTGTAAAAATAAGTAATCAAAACTATTGTTTTATTTCTTTTTAAATCATCTGGTAAAGAACATTTTTTTTTCTATTAGATTCTACATATTATGAGGCAGGAAATGAATTGAACTTGACAACAAAACCAAAATGGGAAGACACAATTATATTATAAAATAAACTAATTAAACACAGGAAAACACAATTTTAAAAAAAACACCTAAATATTGTATTGTACAAAAAAGAATTTGTGAACAAATTAATTTTTCATTTAATTACTTAAAAAAAATAAAAAATTTGCCAGTGATACAGGCTGATGGGGAAAAAAATTTAGCTTTTAAAAAAAACAACTGATTAGTGAGTTGAAAACGATTAAGAAATAAAACTCCAGATGATTCTCAGACTAAAATTGAACTATATAAGGACAGTCACACATACAGAGAAAGAAAAGAATTCAAAGAAAACTTGCTTGCCTTATAAATAATAGAATCTGGCTCATTGTACTTGCAGGCATTGTCAAACATTTGCACAAAATCTGCCACCATATCTTCTACAGATTCATACTGGGAGGCCATCATTTTCTGCTGTATTCTCAACATGTCAATAGGACGCTTGATGACCTCATAGTAATCAGGGTAATCCTAACACAATAATGAAGGAAATGATGAAAATGGGAAGAAAGAGGGAATGATAATATAGCCTAGATAAGGCCTGCACAACATACGGCCTGGGGGCGGGTTGCGGCCCACCAGCATCCACTTTGTGGCCCACGTAGTAATGAAATATTCTTTATTGTTATCATTTTTTTAATAGCTTTCCCCCTTGTCCTATTTTCTCTTGGCCCGCACAAGTTTTTCATGTAAAGTATTACGGCCCGCCTTAAATTTTAAGTTGTGCAGATAAGCAGGCTAAGCCTCTAATTGATAATTAATCTTTAAAAAAATTGCTGTTTATTATCATAATAAATAAATTTTCCAAAATAAAATTTGATCAGAACCAGATTCTTCAAAATACTTAAATCTTACATTTTTATTTGGCAGTTTGATAAAGGGAGATGACAATGCTCGTCCAGATCTGTCTTGGTAGTCTCTGACACTCTCATATAACTCTTGAAGTTTCTCAGACAAAGGATTACATTCTGAAAGTTTCGACCTGAGATGAAAAGAAGTAAGACAGTTAAGAACTGTAATTTAAAAACACAATATAGATGCAAAAATTAATAAATATAAATATTAAGCTTCCTGGGTATTAGTTTTCTGGAGCTTAACAACACCTGTAAGTTGGACGTACCTTTCAGAAAAATTCTGAAAACTGCCTGCAAAATTTCCAATTTATAACAAAAATTGAATTTCTTTAAAAATATTTTCAAATTAAACCTAAAACCTGAAGTGTTATGATGACATCTTGCTGGTGTTCAGCTCAAATGAAAGAGATTCAATAGCTGTATTCAGAAATGTTATTTGATCTAGAAGTTTTTTTTTGGTTACATTATTTTCATTAATAGAGTACAACGCTATTTTTATCACAGTCCAAGTCAGCCATTGTCTTCTTTACTTAAAGATTTCAGAATCCTCCAGGTGATTTGCTGTGCGGACCAGCTTACTCCGTTCAGTTATTTGCCTTTGTTTCTTTAACCTGTTTCTTCCAGAATTGATGCAGTCACAACAGAGCATCACCTGTACAGTTAACTAATTTAAAATGGTTTCTTTCTTACCTTCGACCACTACCAGTTTTCGCAGACATAATCTTCCATTTTGCTCTAAGAGCTCTGTCCAAAGTGTTGGCATCTTGATATACCTGTGAGCCCTCTTCATTGTAGTGTCTAGCATTGTTGAACATAAGCTCAAAGTCTGACAGCAAAGCTTGTTCATTAGGATACTGGAAAAGTGAAAATATTTTATTTAAAATACAGGTGTAAGAGATAAACAGTTGCTCAACACAAGTGAATTCTCAATACATAAGTTCCTATCTTATAACCACTTACATTTATGCATAACATGGTTGAGATGCAAGCACTCAGTACTATTTTTCTTCCTAGATTACGTTATAATTTTGGTCTAGTTAATGGCTTTGATGTGAATGATAAGCAATTTCCATTCCATACATTTACACCAGGGGTCTCAAACTCAAATCATCAGGGGGCCGCAGGAGGTAGAGTCTGATTGAGATTGGGCCGCATTAAGTATTCCACACAAAAAAAAAAATGATTACAAATTCAATAAAGTACAACTGTTACAATATGCTCAACTTTTATTAATAACAAATAAAAACATTAAGAGTTCTCAAGAACTAGGCTTCACTTTCTTCCTCCTCCTCATTGTTGCCAGAGACCTGGCAGCGCATCTTCTTACAAAGCTGAGCAAATTTGGCTTGAGTGAGGAAGCAACTGAGACCCTCAGTATAGCTTGAAGATGCTCATCAGTAAGCTTAGACCTGAATATTGACTTATTAAAGTTCATAGTGAAAAAGAGCTCTTCACACAGACTCCCAAAAAGTCACATGATCCGCTTGAACAACTTGGAAATCTCAGTGAAGTAGGGAGGCCAATGCTCTCATAAACTGTCCATGCTTGTTTGTTTTTACATTCACCTCCCTGAACTTAGAATTGCACTGAAGATTAATCAGCTCCATTGAAGTGCAAAAATCGAGAGGGGGTGGGGCATCTTCCACATTAAAGGAGAAAGGGTCAACAAAAAAACTGTCCTGTAACTTTGCAATGGCATCTGTATACTTACTACTTGTTCGTCCGTCAAAATCAACTAGGACCATTGAGTCATCTGGTTGGGGGGAGGGTGGGTTACAATGAGCTCGTAGGTTGCTTGCTAGACCGTTCCGTGCTCGGAATAATCTCTGGAACCGCGGGCAGGGGATAGTTGCTGCAGTCAGTGATGTAACGTTGCTCTTTCAGCTTGCGTGTCTCAGCTCAGTTATCCTACTGGCTTCATGAGATTTAGCCCCCTTCTTGACAGCTGCTTTCCACCCGGCTCTGTCCTGGGCTGTCTGCACCCATTGAGTAGGGTTGATTCTGAAGGCCTTTAGTGCCGCTTTCAGTGAAACGCTTTTTTGGACCTCATTGAGAGCGCTTGCCTATCGTGAGTTCTCCGAAGAATATCTGTTTTGGGAGCCAGTGGTCTTCCATACCGGCTACGTGTCCTATCCAACGGAGCTCAGACTGCATCAGGGTGGTGAAGATATTAGGTAGGCTCGCTCAAGCGAGGACCTCTGTGTCAGGAAATTTGTCTTGCCACTTGATGCTGAGGGGTTTCCTGAGGCAGGTTGTGTGAAAATGGTTTAGTTTCTTGGCATGACGCTGGTAGACTGTCCACAATTCACATCCATAGAGCAATGTCGAGAGGCCTGCTGCATAATAGACCTTGATCTTTGTTTCTCCTCTCCTGTCCCAAACAGTGCTGGGTAGCCTGCCACACATGGTACTAGCTTTTGCGAGTCTGGAATATATTTCATCATCCGTGACGATAGGTCTGGAGAGGGTGCTGTACAAGTAAGTAAATTTATCCACCCCGCTGTCCACTGATGATGATGTTGGGTTCAATGTAGGGCTTACTGGGAGCTGGCTGATACATCCCCTCAGCTTTCTTTGTGTTTATTGTGAGGCCAAATTTATTGAAGGCCTCAGAGAATATATCAACGCTGTGTTGCATGACGGCTTCTGAGGCAGAGTTGAGGGCACAATCGTCCGCAAACAGAAGCTCGTTGATGGTGTTATGTTTGACTTGGTTTTAGCTTGAAGCCTCCTAAATACTTACTACTAAGTTACTACTGAATGGTGCGCCCGAGTCCATGAGTACTTTGCCAGGTGGGAAATGGCAGAGGTTTCTCTAAGAACCATAACACAAGTTTTGGGCAGAATGCCCGGACATTGTCATATGTAACACTGACAAGCTACCCCTGATCTTGTAACTTCTTGTTGAGTACTTTCAACTCCTATGTAATGCCAACAAGAAAAGCCAAGTCCATGAGCCATTTGAGATCAATTAGTAAAGGAACAACCACCCCATGTTTCTCCATGAAGGCTTTAAATGTTAAAATGTGCTCAAACAGTAGGCAGGCACAGGCCATATTTATGAATTATTGATACAAAGGAAGAAGCTATTGTAAGAAGAATGAATTATGATTTTTTTTTATCGTAGAAAACTAACCCTACTTTTAAAGTAACTACGCTGACAGGCTCTGAGTTTCCCTCACTCGTAAACACTAGCTGCAATTTAAATAGGGATTCTTTAATATTCTGTTCGATTGATACGATTTACCCAATTATGGTTGTGCATTACCCACTAACTGACTTTTTAAACTTTTCTCAAAACCGCGCTAAGGTCATGTTTGTCTCATAAAATGCTATAAAATACAAGCTTTTAGACCGACTTTAAGCGGTTCTTACCATTATAATCAACATACAAATCGATACAAACATAATGAAAATCAGAATTAGACTAGTCGGTGAAATTCGACAGAAACCTTCGCGGAGGGTCACATTATAGATATGAGAATGGGGAAAACGTGTGGGCCCCATTAACACAAAACTTTGTTGTCATGTAGCAGGGGGGAAAAAAGCGCTTTGCGGGATGTGAGTTTGAGACCCCTGATTTACACATAATTCTTGACAAACTACACTCCATTTAACACAATATGTATGATAACTCTTCATGATCAGAGAATAATGAATTAAATTTTATTTATTACAAATCCTTATGATAGAACACATTCACCTTTTCTGTTTTGAGCTTAGCTTCAATCATTGTCATGTCAATAGGCTCCATAATAACTTGATAATAGTCAGGATAGTCTTTGCGAGATGGAAGAACCATGAAAATTGGTCGCAAAAGACGACCATTTACATCCTGCAATTGATTAAAACAGAATAAGTTATCAATGGAAGACAACCAGACAATAATCTTGACAATAAACTAGACCATAACTCAAACTTTAAACTGCATAAAAAAACGACCAAAAGTTCTTACATTGTAATCATACACAGTGGAAAAGAGCATCTTCAACCTCTTTTTAATACTTTCGTCACCGCCAATACCACCTCCCCTTTTTGCCGATTTCTTCTTGTCACTTTCTGGTGTATTAGCTAAAGCTAAACTGGACTTTCGACCTCTCCCACGACTAGCTGGAGTAGTTGCTTCTTCTAACACCAGATCATCATCATCTTTCTTTAAAACATAAAAAAAAAGAAAAAGAATACAATGAAACAACCCCTGGCAACACTAGAAAATAAAGGATTACAAAGTATAAAACTGTTGTAATTTATTACAGTATAGCACCAATCAAAAACAAATGTACACGTTTTACAATTCTATTCTGACATGCTTCCTCCATAAAGGTAACACAGTTAGAACTGGAATGATTGGACATTGAAATTATACCATATTAATAGGTTAGTAAAAATACCAGTTCGATTTGGATGATAAAAAGACTTAAAATAATATATATTTGATTTTTTAATTGATTCAATTTAACTAATTTCATATTATCAAAACAGTTAAAATGGTTCATTTAAATTTTGATTAGGCAAATCTCTTACATAAAGAAACATTTTTAGATAGTAATTTTAAAAAAAAAAAGCTTTCATCATTTTTAGATTAACTACACAGTGAGGAGGCGAGTTAAATGCACCAAAGTGCAGTTAGAGGTTACCTCATAGCAATTATTTAATTTTTTTATAAATGAAATTTGCTCAATATACTTTTCACAATATTTGCAAATTAAAAAAAAAATCTATAATATGAAGAATTATATCTGTTAAGTCTTAAAGTTAGAGTAAGACTTCATAGGTAAAATTTAACCCCAACATGAAGATCTTTGTCTTTTTTATGCTTCTTTTTTTCAAAGCAAATCAATTATCAATTAAAATATAAAGCTATTTTCATAAAGTCTTTTAGAATAGGGGTGTTAGAGATACAATGATCAAAGTCACTGTCATTTTAAAAGTAGGTTACCATGGTAAGCCACAATAACTAAATTCACAATGAAAATAAATGCATTGTTAAAAATGTTAGAACTAAATCCAACCCAATCCAAACAACTAATGAATGTAAGTAATTCTAGCAGATATCTGGCTTAAAAAACAACGTTCAAACATGTGAGACTTTCAAATACCATCCTCTTTTTGGTTGCTTAACTTTTTGCACAAAGGGAAGAATAAAATCGTGGTTTTATAGTAACCTAAATAAAACTGATCGGCAAATCAGGAGACAAAATTGAGTTGGTCAAAGCTTATGGTTTTGATTAACCGAATAGTTATAATGAAATGCATTAGTATCCATTTACATTTATATGGTGCAGAAGACAGAAAGCTGAGTTTGAGAGTGTTTATTTCAGGCTTTTTTGTTGTTGTTATTTCAGCATTAAACACTTATAAAGTATCAACTTCACTCTCATAACATTAGAGAAGGAGTGTTCCTTTATTTTCACAAGAGTAAGTAAAAAGGTAATTTTAGTTCAAAATGTTACAGATCAAATACAAATAAATACACAAATACATTAAAAAAAATTTTTTTTTAAATATTGGAAATATATAGAAAGTTTAGGATAGATACCTGAAATAGCATCCTTGCATAAATGGTTAGGTCATTTTTAGTAGGAAATACAACCAACAGTTACAAAAGACAAGATTTGATTTTAAAAGGCCATGAGGTTACTGTAAATGTAATAACTATTTCTTTTCGAACAGAGATACATCAATTTAAACAATTGTTCCGAAAATCATATTTCAAAGACTGCTAACTAAAACATTTCTTTGCAAGAAAGCTAACACAATAGGTAACTACTGTACACATATTGTATGTGAATGTCATTAACTTTAACTGAACTTTGAACTTTAGTTGATCAATATCTTATACATTTCACTGAAGGTAATATTGTTTTTGTTTTGTTTTAACAAAACTTATAGTCACAATTCTTTGGCACTGATACATTTCCATCTTCACAATTTCTTAAATTATCCACTAATGTACATAAGACGGGAGATATCAATTATGTAGGTTGTTTGACTTGATCATATCCAGTTATTGGAAGGAATTTGAGACAAGGCTTAAAACACACACAGACACACATCTAGGATTACTTCCAAGTAGGAGATACATTTAAATTTTCTTTTTTATTTTAAAAACAAAGCAAAAGCAATGTGGAATTTTCATAGTTTGCAGAAGCAAAGGAAAAAAAATTTGCTTGTGTCCCCCTTTCCCAGTGCTCTTTTAGATCAAAAAGAATAAAATTTATGGTAGTTTGAGTTCTAACTTTAAAAGTGCACACATTAAATTTTTAAAAAAATTTAAAAATCCCCAAACAGCTGGATTGTTGTTCAAATCAATGACCAAAGTTTGTGTCAAGTATTCATTTTGATGGTGTCAGTGATGTCTAGTAAAGACATGCTTGCAGTACAATGAAGCAACCAACAAAATAAGCATCCATCTATTGCACAGAGTAATGTAGAAAAATGGGAAAAATAATAAGGGGAAGGTAACTCACCCCTGCCATACTCTCCTCAGCTTCATGGTCATCATCTTCATCATTACCCACATTCTCCAACTCTTCAATTAATTCTTCCTGGGATACCAAGAAGACAGACACACTCCATTTAACATAGGTGTGAGATTTAATTTAGACTTTTTAACAATTTGAACACATTTGGTCAGCATTTCACACTGCACTATTTCTACTAATCAATTTACAAGCAAGAACAATCATTCAAATTGATATGAAGATTTAATTAGAGTGCTGTGAGTGCATGGTATAAGGGTATATTTTATACAACATTAATATACATTTTAAAAAAAATATTTTAATTTACACTGATGCTGATTTAAAGAATAACTTCAAGATAAATTGAGTCTTATCTTGTAGAATCTAAAAGTTTGATCAGTGCGAATTACAAAATTTGCATGCATCATTGTATCACAGTGTCCCTTATTGTATTTAATGCCAAAACTAATTGTAGTAACTAATTGTTCCTTGATCAGAAAAGTATCTATTCACAGATATCACACTAAAATGTACCAAATAAAAGTAGCAGATCAATGTGTTATGCAAACTGAACTGCACAAATCTCATTTGAAACTAAACACGAAGAGCAAGCAATGCGATAAAGTTTCCCTACTTAGCATTCAAAGAGGCACATTGAACAAAAGTTGATCAATTCAATGAAGAAAAAAAAATTAATTGGGATACTATATTAAATGCCCTTTGTGGCACATGGTTATTTAGCTCCCAGTAAGCAGCTGAGATGATGTCTCAAAAAGTTTCAAAAATACTATATAACTGCAAATTCAGAAAAGGAATATATACGAAAAGTCAATGATTGTTTGTCTTTACAGTATTTAAACTCTTTATGTGAACACAATGCTTGGAAGGAAATGTTCCAATAAAAACATCCTATCTTGATGTTACTGTATTTTTTGTTAGCTGCAGATTTACTTTCTTGACCTCATATCACAATAAAAATAAAATTTTGATAGTTGATAATAGTTTGGGGAGATGATGTTTTTTTAAAAATGGAAAGGTATGTGTGTGTATTTAGAAGGAATGAAAATTCTTAAGTTTTCTTAATAAAACAAAACCAGCAACTTGGATCAAACTTACAACATAAACAAAGCTTTCCAACTATATGTACTTTCAAAATCATTTTTACTGCTTAAAGCCATGGAAGGCTGTACAACTTTAGAGTTCTTCAATTTAAAGAGGAAGGATATTAACTCCGAAAAAGTATGTATTTATTTGCAAAATTGGCTTGCCATTGCTGTTAAATACTATTAAAGTTGAAATTAGAAAATATTGGGCTAATAATCACAATGATGAAAACCACTGCAGGCAAATAAGCATATATGTTATAAAAAAACCAACCACCTTAGATAATACAAGAGACAAAGAATAACCAAGGGAGATAATATGCAAGGTAATGAGCAAAGAGAAGATCTACTTGCAGCACTAGAGTAATATTGAAATGGTTAAAGAACTCTGTGCTTCACTAATATAGAATATCTTGATAGCATTTCAAATTATTTTGAAGCACTTTTATGAGAAGAAGAACCATTTCACTGATACTTGTCAGGTCTTAATAATTGTACAAATAAATGAAATTTGCAAATAAAACAAACTAAAATTAAATAAATAAGTCACAGTGTGGAAAATTTTTATCTTATTTCAAAGAAAGTGAAATGTTTTCTATGTTTTAAGAATTCAAACCTTAAATATGAAAAGCTAACCATTATTAAAGAGAAAATGTAATGGATGTTATTTGATATGACATTTGGCAAGGGAATAGAACTTCTTTATGACAACTGAGGAATTGTACATTATTTATAGTTGTTTCCTTTCTTAAAAATGAACTTCTTATCTCCTTATGTTTACACCATCAAACAGACTAAAAATGAGTAAATATATTTTTTGAAGTGATGCCAACAAAATTTCAAATTTAATCTTTTGAATAACGTGCACAAAACAAGTAAGGATAACATCCTCTCATTATTTTTCATTAAATTTACCGTAAGTTCTGGTTCCAACTCACGGCACTTCTCGAGCATCACTTTTTTTAGTTCAACCGCATACTGTAACAAATGAAAAAAATAAGTATATAACAATGATATCTAATAATATAAGGTACTAAATTGCTGTGGATTTCTTTTTTGAGCATCAACTAGAAAAAAATATTTACCAACAGTCATGTATTTTAACAGTATACAAAAAATTAAAGCTTTCTGCACCATTTAGTGATAATGCTGCAAACTGTTTAACTGTAATATTTAAATGCCTAAAACAATAAGCCTTAAAGGAAAAGATCAAACCTTATGAATCTGTGATTCGTCTTGGTTGTATTTCTTTGCATTCTCAAACATTAAATTAAAATCATGGGCCAAGTCAACCAGAGTATCATACATGTTCATCTGGAAAGCAAAACATACAAATAAAGTGACATGGTTTGGTGCATTTTTATTTTAAATTTTTTTTTATACAGCAAATTTACTTCTGACTTGTTCAAATGTTAATTTTGTGGCTTAGGAGACTAATTGTCAAAAGTACAGGATAGAAAAATATACAGCAAATTCAATGTTGCCCAAACTTTAAGTACCTCAATTTTATAGCGTATCTTTTGAAGTGACATTGGTCTTTTAATTTCTTTATAGTAATCTGGATAGAATCTGAAAATATAACAATTGAAATAACAAAACAGAAAATGCAATCCCTATTTTTCAAATGTCTTCGTATTTTGTAACATTTTTACAGAAATATGTTTTTTACAGCACACATGAAGTGTGGAATACTTAAAACCCAGCATTTGTAAGAACTCTCTTGTAAATGGAAGAATAAATATATAGTATATAGGGATATCCATTTTTTCTGCGAATCATTGGTTAAAATAGCAGGTTGTCTTAAAAATGGAATAAATCTGTATAATTATTGAATAAAGCAGACTTTTTATAAGTTCCAGAACAAAGAGTTCACTAACTTTTTACTAGGAAGTTTAATGAATGGGTCAGACAAAGTATCTCCATTTGCACCAGTAAGATTTTTCACATGATTGTAGAGAATCCATTGTGGGTCATCTTCAACTAAATCATTTCCTGCTGCCTCAGCCTCTGAATCCATCTCAAACTGGCTAGATGAGGCTGTCTCATCCTCTTCCTCAGATGGATACTTCAGGGCAGCACAAACGGCAGACATCTTTTGGATAATGCATCTGTCTTTAGTCCTGCTAGCAGAAAAAAAATGAGACAAGCAGGGAATTAGAACCAAAAAAAAAACCCCCACTATAAAATTCAGTTATTTAATAACTGCAGTTTGTATAAAGTATTTTTATTTTTTTTTATTTTTTGCTGGTATCCGTCTGTCACAATGTGACGATGGTGTGGGCTTCGGAGGACAAAATCCACAAGGTCTGGGATTATTCTTCAAAGATTATAAGCTGATTCCCAACAGCAAATTGCCTCTCTCCACGCCGCTGGATAACCCAAGGGAACATCATTTGGATGATACAGCTCGGCACCAGTGGCGTCGCAGGAGTTGTCGGAATGTTTCATTGTACCAATGTTATCCGCCTTTCGGGACTCCATCTTCGGGTTTGATTTCAGAGTTTCCTTCTCTAAGACGAGTTGCCGTCCAAGGTTAACGAGTCCCATCCACCCGGGGTGCTGTTCTTTGGCTGGAATTGAACTCCAGGCCACCAACTTGAGATTTGCTCTGTTTAGACCACTCAGCCACCCAGCACCCAAAATAAAATTAAAAATATAACCCATCACTTAGAAAATAGTAAGCATATTTTAAAATAAAAAAAGTTTATAATGGAGCCTATTCTATTATAATTGTTTAATTGGTTAACTACCATGAGCCGCTGGGAGCGGCTCGGCGTTTCTTTTGTTATGGCCAAGAGCCGCTGGTAGCGCCAATGTTTGTATCGTAGTAAATCGAGTCAAATATTTATATTATTCCGTTCCCGTTTTGCTTCGAGATTTTAATTTACCGACAGGATGTTTATATTTGAACCGCATGCTATCGGCAGAATGTTCTAAAAAAACAAGCTGTCAATTAATTTTGATTTAATTTCCAAGCTAGTTACAAAATTGAGCTACTTGTTTACCATGGCAACAAGTGACAGGGCTACTAAAGGCATATAAGTGATTGGAAGTGTAAATATTATTCAATTCTGTGTTCTTTAGTGCATTTTTTTTATTTTTGGATATACTATGTGGAAACACCAAATAAAAGGTTTTAAATGATTTGGAAATTAAAAATTTACATAAGCATACATAAGTTGGCATATTTATATATTTTTTTATTGTTTTTCTGTTGTAAATACTAATTTAACAATTAATAAATTCCTAAAAAAAACTTAGCTTTACAAATATTTTATGTTTATCTTATAAACAATTCAATTACCAACAAAATGGTTTATTGATCATTAGAATATCTTTATAATTAAGAAAACTGCAGCTGAATTTGTACATACACCTAAAATGAGAAAATGTGACCTAGATTTAATTCGGCCACAGCAGGTTTTTTCAATCTGGTAGTTAATCAGTTAAGAAACTTCAAAATTTTTATTTTAAAAATGCAAAATACACACTAATATTGAGCCACTAAACCTTAGGAGAGAGGCAGCGGTTATCAAGATGGTTGAAAGGTATAGAAGGCTAGAAAGGCAACATTCAGGAAGTAAACAAAAATCAATACTACATTAGACCACTGAAAGTGAAGAGAAATACAAACTTCAAATAGCCAGAGAAGACATGCTAATTATATCTAAAGTCCTATCCCCCAAACCAATATTTATAAAAAGATTATTTCAAAACAGTCCTAATAGAAAAGAAATTTACCAACCGATTTCTTACAATGATTAACAAAATCAAGATTGCTGCATCCTATCAAGAGGATAAATTCTAAATGTACACAGATGGATCAGCTTTCACAAGAGCCCTACATTCAGGCTATGATGTACAAATAAAGTTCCCAGACCGATCATGTGATGAAATCTGCAACCCCTGTGGGGCAATATGAAGTAATTTTGAAGCAGAAGTAAAATGCTATTGAAGCAGCGTTACACCAACTATCTGCAATATTCAGTTTATTTCAGCAAACAAAAAAATGTTGTTAACTTCTGCAACTGCAAAACAATACTTCAGGCAGCCGAGCATCATGATCTCACAACAGTAAAATAACTACTTCTGAAAATAAACACCTCAGTCGTAACTTATGCAAATAGGCTAACCTTACAATGGATACTAGAACACCACAATATACCAGGAAATGAAAAAGCAGAACAACTGGCAGAACAGGGAAAATCCAATGAACAGCCAAACATACCTACATCACTCAACACTCAAAAGCAGATTATCAGAGTGGCTAAATGGATGGTCTACTGGCTCATCAGGAAGATGTGTTTTTGCACAAATGCCCGGTCTTGACCCTAAAAATCCAATAAATTTCCTCCAAAGACAACAGGTGATGTAATCTTTTACATGAGCACAGGACACAAACTTTATTCCCACCTTAACCACATAAAACAGATGATGTGCCCCCTCTGCAGACCTCCAAATTTGACAGTAACACATCACCTCTTCCAAGGCCCAGCACTTCAGGACTTATGCCTAAACTATCTACCAAAAGCACCAGACTACATCAACACCCAAAGTACAATACAAACAAAGAACAGCTGCAGAAAGTGGATAAATTCTTCACCATGGCTACAAGATGAAGGGCACATGACCAAATGGCCACTGGATCTGAATGATGATGATGATGATAAAAAAATAAATAGTAACAACAGACTAACAGAAATGAATTAAACAATCTGTTATTATGACACTAGTGAGATAGAACATATTAAGCTATTTACCTCAGTCTTTCACTAATCTTGACCTGTCCAGATTTTTTATACTCAAGTTCTCGCTTTCGCTCAGTAATAACTCTCTTCAGTGTCACAGCATCCTAAAAAATGTTGTAGTTGCAACAATCAAAGCAACTATTAATAATTTTAAAACATTTATTATTTAGTTCAAACGTCCTATCAAGAGAATGAATCAGACATTATGATTAAATAAAATTTTCCTTTATATGTTATAATTTATGTCAAATTAGTTTCATTTTAAGTAATATTACAATTACCCTGTATATAAGAGACTTGGGCTCATTGAAAGTTTTAGCGTTTTTGACCATGAGCAGGAGATCTTTCTCCAGGGCATCCAGACTTGTATATTTTAGTTCCTGAATCTTTGTAGCAATCTTCTTCAGGTCAATAGGCTGCTTAATCACTTCATAATACTGAGGATATTTCTAGACAAAAAAATGCACAATAACATGTTTAAAAGCTGCATAATTTATATGAACCTTGGAGAGCATGCAACCATCAATCCCACTATTCTGCTTAATTTTGATTGTACTTTTCCCCTCCCTCATATAGAATGAAGCGCATATAGAATAGCATTGTTTAACTCTCAAAAGAAGAGAGATTGAAAAATCTGTCATATCTGACCGTTGAAAAAAACCTCACATTATATATATATATAAATTTGATATTAAAATGCGAAACTAACGATTTACTACTTTGGAAATGTTAATTTTCTATTTGGCTTTACATAAAAATCATTTATAATTTTAATTCTTAAAGAAATCATATATCAAAGTGTCGATTCATTAAATTGTTTTTGCTGTATTATACACATTTTGCACACAAGCCTAGTTCGCTATTGCTACATACTAAATCATTGTTATGGAATCTGATATGATCTTAAGCTTGAAATGGACAATAATTCTTCTTCAGAAATTTCTGATGAATAAAGCACTTTAAAAGAGTCTGATACAGAGAATACTGAAAATTATATCATCATATAGGCCTACAAGTAAGGTTTGTTTAAATTTTTCATTCTCATTAGTCATAATAGTCCTGTGCCCTATTATGATCATTAGTTTTATTCAAGTTCCAGATTGCATAATTTATTTGCTTTAATTTAAAATAAGATTTATTTTTTAAATTATTGTGTTTCAGTTAGCCCAATTTCAAAGATAACAATGCCTTATAAAATGGTATTTTTGTTGTTCCTTAGTTTATCAATGAAAAGTTACAAGTAATTTAGGCAGACTATTTTTCTATCCTTTTATTAACTTGTACATGTTTTATTTGAGCTAAACTAATAAATATTTTTAAAAATATTTTGAAAGAATCTATGATGGGCAGATGGCCATATGATTATGATGACAATGACGGGTGTGGGGGGGGGGGGGGCGGGGGGGGGGGGGGGGGGGGGGGGCGGGGGGTTTCAAGTGGATATATGCAATTTAAACAGGAGTGTACCAAAGCATACAGCTTCCTGATGTTAAAACAAAAGAGGATACAAAAGGGGATGTTTAAACCCAATAGACTTTTTCAAGCCTTATTTTATTACAGGTTTGGTTGCAAATATTTATTTTTAAGCAAATATTCTCAGGACAATGGGCAGAAGATACTTTAAAAAATATAACATCTCTAAAGATGAGTTTTATCTTCTAAGTGGTCTTCTAATGAATGTAGGACTTATTCAAGCTGCTCGTGTTTCATACTGTGGTCCAGGAAATCCTTATATAATGTACTATAAGCAAGGCCTTTATGACCAAAGACAGATTCAAGGCCATATTGAGTTTCCTGAAAGCTTCAGATACTGGTACTGAAAATAAAGGAGACAAGCAGTGTGCATTTGGGACACCATATGTATTTCAATGCAAAAGACTATATCAGCATTGATCAACTGATGAACGGTTAGGGAACACAGAACATCATTGACAGACCTGCCAACCTGCCAAGAAAAAAATCTGTAGAGGGGTTGCACGCAGGGGGGGAAGTGGGGCCGCTGCCCCCCAGGGGAGGCGCCCGGGGGGGGGGGTTGGTTTAAAATCTATATACTAATGCACACATCTTTTTTAGTATGGTAAGTAAAGAAATATAAAGTTACCTCCATTGTCTTTGAAGGGTCCATAGAACACCACAGAACATGAGTTAAACATTACTAGAAATGTTTATATACAGATATATACAGTACAGAACAAAAGATCCATTTAATTTATATATGTACACACACACAGGCTGCTAAGACTCTTATTCTTAGTAAGAGTTAAGTATTCCAGCATATCCCTAGCCCTAGTGGCCTTTTTCCACTTGTCCAACAGCTCTTTGGACAACTGACGGTTAGCATTGCAGTTGATTTTTGTTACAAGCAAGTTAGAAAAAGTATAAATTTTAATGCTTGCCCTTGTTTCATTGTAATTTTTCTTTACAATCTTCTAGCATTCTGTACTGTGATTCTCGAAACATTTCTTTGACTCTGGCATTAATTAAACCCATCGGAGTTGGCTAGGGCTAGAGAAATATTGGTAAACAAAAAAAAAAAGTCGTAATTATTTTTTAGCCTTGTAAAAAGGATGAATCGCGGATCAATTGATGATTGAAGAATGATTTGGAGATCGCGGTTCGCTTCGATAAAAACAAATCAGTATCTACACATCAGGCGACCGGACAAACAGTGCGGGAGATATTCATCCGGCGGGCATGCCATGCTTAATAAAAAACATTGTCACTTTTTAACCAATTGTTCATTATTTATACCAGCAATGGTTCTAATATTTCTTTTTTTATAATTGAACATATTTCTTTTTCGGGTAAATGCCCAGATTATCTTGAATTTATTGAAATGAAGTATCGTAAACTCTAATCGACAATTAGCGGTCACATGACAAGGCTGACGGACAAATATCTCGCGCAATTCTGTTTCGGTGGTCATGTGACTTGGTCGAATAAACACTAGCCAGACGAATATCTCGAGAACTTATTCACTTATTCGTCCAGTCGCTGGACATGGAGACACTTCGTAAAGATAAATGAAACACTTCCTGTCGTACCAGATTTTTTTTTTTTTTTTTTTTGTCGCTTACGGATTTTTATGACGGGTGAAAAATGATAAAGTTCGAAAAATCTGAATTTTAAGGGATTTGTTGGAAGGTCGGAATGAGGGGTAAAAAATCTGTATAATTCCGACAAAATCGGAAGGGTTGGCAGGTCTGCATTGATGTTCCAGTTGCTGTAAAGCCTGACCTTTTCACATCATGCACTACAACCTGACACTAAACAGAATAAGTATAAATTGTGTTACCAAAACCAGAGTAAAGATGCCAGAGCATATGACAGGTTTGTGACACATATTTGTTTTAATAAAGAAATACACTGTTTCCAAGAGTTTTGTCGTCAAGCATGGTCTTATCAAGGACTAAATCATCTGAATGGCATCTCTGTGAATTTATCAAAAGTGAGTGTTCAAAACTAAAGCAGTTTTAACCCTGAATCTAAATGAACTAATTATTTGTTCATTTCCAATAGATGAAGTAAAATATACAACTCACTGATCTCTGAGGTAAAAGTTGAAAAGCCTGGCTAATATCTCTATCACCATCTTTAGTTGTGACAATAGCAGCAAACAATTGTTCAAGGTCATCAGCTAACTCTTCGGACATACTTAGGGACCTTTCTCTAGATTTACTGGTGTTGGCGTTATTTCTGGCATCTTCTTCTTCATCTTCCTCATCGTCATCATCTTCATCATTATCACTCTATAAAGGAGACAACAAAACAAGACTTATCTATTAGTATATACTGTGAAATAAATAATGATAAAATAATTGTTGGTTTTAATATTATGCCAAACAATTTTTTTAACAGTAACATATTAATGAGCTAATAAACTGCTAAATTTATATCACTGAAGTTTGGCCTTCTTATTTATTATGTTGTAATTTAAACAAAAATTATGATTAAAATGGCATTTTTTTCAAACGACTAAGCTCAAAATCATTATTTGGGTGACAAGGTTAACCAAAACTAACTATTGTAAAACAAACCTCATTGCTTTCTTCAGGACAAATTTCAGGTACATCCTTAGCGACAGATACTTTTCGCGCAAGCTTCTCACTCTTGTCACCTACACCAAATACAGCTTCAACTAAATCTGCTCTAGTCTCTTCATATAGCTCCAGCAAATCACAAGCATCTTTATATTCTTGAGATGTTTTCTTTATAAGGATATACAGATGTACAAATCTTTAAAAATTAACCTAACTAGGGTTACACCCATTAATTGGCTTATGGATATCAGAAAATGCTACTCAGATTGTTACCTGTTCAGTACATCTAGAACATTTAAATATAATCTTGGATGTTTTTAATAGGATTTTTACAAAAATTTGTACCACCACAGATATGTGTAATTTTGTGGACTTTGATCTCTTGTTATTTTTTCCTATGATGACATCAGTGTTTATACAATTTCATCATTGCATAAACATCATAAGTTACTGTACTGAGGAAAATTCAAAATCTTAATAATTACTTAATCTTAATGTTTGTTTTTATGAAGTGTCCTTAGCCTTTGATATTTGCAATACATTCATTAATTGCTCATGTCTGGCTCAATCTCATGTTAATTTAACATCCACAACTTACAAGTGTCAGTTTTTTTGCATAATGATGATTAGATGATAATGTCTCATGTGCCAGGGTCAAGAGTCTGGGAATTATTGGGACTCTTCCTGATTCTTATCTCCCCCACCCAAATAAATTATAATAAATTATTGACATTTAATCACCTTTACAGAAACAATAGCTTATATTAATAAATATGATTAATTATATGAAATAATATAATAAATATAAAACACTCAATTTGAAAGCACAACAAAATAACATATCAAGTATGGCTGTATTTCCCAATGTTGCAAGGCCTATTGCTTCAATTCTACTGCTGACAATTAAATTATTAATAGTAACATAATGACTAATAGCCAATCAAAGAGAGACCAAAAATGTTCATTTTTTTAAAAATCCATCCAAAAGACAGCCAAGTTTATTTTTGAAATTTATTAAAGTATAATATATGTGGCAGAATAAACATCACAATAGGCATATTAATCAAAATAGTTTAAAAAAAAAATTGTTATACCTTATAATAAGCCTTTGCATTATTAAACATAAGCATGACATCTGCAGTAAGTTGGTCCACATAGTCATAACTATCAGTCTTCACTTTTTGCTGAATTTTCAAAAGGTCAATAGGAGTGCTAACTACATCATAATAATCAGCAGCAGTTCTTCGCTTGGGCACCCTTATAAAAGCTTCACACAAAAGTCTTCCATCTTCAGATTTGTGGCTACGAATTCTGTCATATAGCTCATGGATGATTTCATGCTAGAGTTTTTTTTAATTTTAGGACAAAATAAAAGAATATTATGTCAGAAGATCTTTAAAAATCTAATACTAGCATTTATAATAATTTTAAAATAGTGCATAAATAAGAACTGGAACTCACATATTTAAAAATATATATTCAGATAAAGAAAAAAAATTCTTATGAAAATAATTAGTGCCAAACTATTGCTCTGGTGGGTTGTATGACAATAAATGTACAGACTATTAGCATACAACAACATCAAATATATTCAAATATTATTCTTTGATATGATGGGCTTGCTGATGTTCGGACTATTTAAAAAAAATCAATAAAAAAATAAGGTGAGACAGCAAGTTTATCTCTAAAAGACTTCTGTTATATTTGTATCATAACATATTTGAATATTTTCTACATTAGAATCAGGATGTTTTAAATGGAACACAACTTAAAATAGCTGGGTTTTAAAATAATGCCATCCAATTTTTTGTGACTTACTGGATCATAATTAAGAATTTTCCTTTTCCTTCTGACCTGAGATGGTCCAGGAGAATCATCTCTTTCATCCTTAGTATCAGTTCTTTGACGTTTTCTAGGCATTCTGTAAAGTTTGAAAAATATTTTTATTTTGCAGTTAAAACTTAATTATAGATTCAGTGTTCACTAACTTAACTTAATTGGTAGTTCACTTTAATACTTTAAGTGTCGTAAACAGAATAATGGGGGAATTGGGGGGATTATTATTATTGTTTTATATTGTTAATTTGGGGGTTTTGCCAAGAGGTGTCTCAACCTAAGTGCAGTGACGTCATTTTTGGGAATCCCAACACTGGTCTTAGGGTGATAGGACCAACACTACCTGAACGATGATAATGATAACTTTCCCGTTCTTCACTGAGCGTTGTATGTGTCAAAACCATAAACTATTGATACAGTTAATATGAAATAAGTTAAAATGAAATTTTCCATTTGGTTTTTTATTAAAATTCAACTTACAAAGTTTCAAAAGAAATGAAGAGAAACTCATCCTTGCTGATAACCCAAGATTAACACCAGAAAAAAGACACACCATGGTTAAAAGTGTTGTTTTCTGATTGGTTGAAAATGAAATACATGTTTTCCACTCATTTATATAATTATAATGTCGCAATTTAATGGGACATTTCAACATAATTTTTCTGGAGAGGGTAGAACCATCCCCTAATTTCAATACAAAAATAAGAAATAAAATAATTTCATGGGAAGGGAAACCAGAACTTAAAAATGAGAAGAAAAAAACACGTATCAAATACAGAGCTAAATTTTGAAATATTTATACTTAAAAAAACGGAACATAGGCTGGCAGTTGACCTGGAGAACCTCCATTCCTATATAGACTACTGTGGTGGAAGACATCACCGGCATTGCATTTTAGCCGTTAATTTTAAAGGATCCAACAGGTTTTTTTTTTCTTTTTCATTTTTATTTTTTTTGCTAAATTTGACGTTTTATTTTCGGCCCCCGCTCCCCACTCTTTCACTTTCAAGACAAAAATTTAAAAAATGATAAAAAAACTTTCCAAATAAATACAGAGCTGAATTTCAAAATGTTTTGAAAAAAAAAACAATTATGATTATGGCCGGCAATTGACTTGAGGACCCTCCATGACCTATGTCTATATACATGGGCGCCCGCAGAAAACTTTCTAGGGGGGGGGCAAAAAAAATAGATTAAATTTTTAGTAATGTTTTAATATAGTTTTAATTTACTGTAGCGTATTTGTATGGTGAACAAACGGACAGGACATCAGCTTAGTTACTTTCTCTTTATTTTCTCTTTACTTTAATAAATTTTGTGTCTATTTTTGTCTAAAAAATTTTATCCCATCAATTGGGGGGGGGGGGGGGGGAAGGGCCCCCCCCCCCATGTCTATATACTGTGGAAGACATTGCCAGCCCTGCAGCCAAAAATGCCATGTGATTTAGTTTATGATTATGGCTAATCCTAGTTACGATTGCCACGACTTATTTTCCAGGAAGTGACTTCCCATTGTTTATTTTTACTAAATTATTTTAGGGATCGATTTAGGGTTCAGGTTAGGCATAGGGATCGATTTAGGGTTTCAGGTTAGGCATAGGGATCGATTTAGGGTTCAGGTTAGGCATAGGGATAGATGAATTCACATGACGTGTTAACCAAGATGGCGGGCATTGAGAAAATAGTGGCACTCGTAGTCAATATTTACTGCCTACTTAAAGTTAATTACTAGACTAGGCTAAGGCTAGAGATAAGTAAATCATAATTTATAATTCATAATCATGGCTGAGTAGGTTAGTAATCCTATCATTATCAGGTCTTAGTAATGACAATGAATATTAAAATCATAACATAAACAGTGATCTGAGTTATTAACCCTCTGGAGACGTAAGGGCCGATCTATCAGCCCAATGTTGACTAGCGAGAAAGACGTTAAGTCCGAACTATCAGCCCGATAAATCGAGCCTCACGATTGGATGGCTTGGCGTTGTACCAGCGAATCAAAATTATTCTTACGTATTCCTGCACATCCCGGCATTGTAATGGCGGCGTTCGTTGAAGGTGAACTCAATTTATTTGTGTGCAGGAATTTTTTTTGTGTGTGTAGGTACATCGTGAAATTCGAACATGTCTGACAGTGACTCTGATCAAACTGTGCTTAGTGATTTTGATATTCTAGCAGTGAATTTGACAGTGAAACTGATAAAAACAACCAGGAAATTAATGAAGACTTTAAAATTGAGGGAAATGCTAATGTTGTGAACTTTTGGTCTAGTATTACTAGTATTAGGGGTCCTCAAATGGACAGAGATGACCCCTCTGAATTTTTAGACAACATAAGTCCTATAAATAAGGCATAAGCACCACATTTTAGTACTTTATGTATGCTATTTTTTTACACTAAATATCACTCAAATGTTTATGAGAGAGACCAATAGATATGCAAACAACTTTCTCAGTAACATCCAGCCTAAGAGAAGGTCCCTAGGTCATAAATGGGGGCCTGTTATAGTGTGTCTGTAACAACTGAAAAATAGGGAGGGGGGTTGAAAAAGAGTAGAACAATGTGCCAGATGTATATGAAGGGCCTCCATGGGCCTTGTCTCCCAAAAACATAAGTGTTAGGACTTATTCAGGCTTCATCCATCAAAAAATTCACACTCACATAATTGATACAATACAAGTAAGTCATGTTTAGTCTAGGTGTAACAAAAAATTACACACATAAACTAAGCAAATTAAGGTAGCTCATTTGCATACATTTTGATATTTCAGTTTGATTCATAGAGATTGTATTAGTCCATTCAATTTCCTACATGAATATATAATAATAATTAATAATATATATAATATAGTATAGTTTTTATATATATTATATATTAATTATTAAGGGAATAGTGTCTTTCTTATAAATTTTTTTTTGCAATGCGAGTGCCGAGCTTGTTAAAAGACCTCCGTATTTTTGGCACATACACCCCGAAAAGGCTACGTCTCCAGAGGGTTAATAACAGTACACCAAGTACAGTACTGACAACAAATTAACACAAACAGTACAGTTCAGTACTAACTGACACTAACTTAGTCATAGTGACATAGTCATAGTCACTAACTAACAGAACTTGAATTACCTTTGAAATAAATGATGAATATATCCTTTTAAGTTAACAAAGTTTTAAAATTAATATTGAATTTTTTTTTAAATTATGTTACTTAGCGACGATACATTCAGTATTCAGAGAAAAATTTAGACAGCATGAATAATAGAATATTAGAGAAAGCGTCATCTGAGAAAGACGGTGAAATCCGCCATCTTAATGTTATTTCATATAGACAGAGCTAGGAAAAAAGTTAGTTGTGCATTTGATAAATACTAATGATGTTATGAAATGCTTTAGCTGTAACTGAAAATTACAATTTTTAAAATTCATTCTCTTTCCAAACTATAATTTTAATTAAATTGCGAAAATAAAAAAAATTATATTGATTAATTTTCAATAAAATAAACATCCGTTAATTTTTTAACTTTCGTTTTCAGTCTAAAGTTGCCACCAGCCCTATCCTGCTCAGCTTTCGAATTATTCCGGCTTATTATCGTCTTGGTAGTTGTGAGCATCGTTTTTTGACGCATGGGTAATCTATCAAATTCAACGTCGGTTATCAAATAAATATTTTTGTTTCGGTTTGAAGTGCTACTCAAACGGCTATTGGCTCTACTCTAGTAAAGTTGCTTGCTAAAGTTTTAAGTACTAGACTTAACTAGACTCTACTTACATACTCTTAGTAGTACTTATTAAGCCTAGGGTTGCCATATCCATCCAGCTGGTAACTCCTGGGGATGGGGTTGTAAAAATGTATTTAATATAATTACTTTTTATTTAGAATAACGGTGAAGTCCTGACATATTCAATTGTCAATAGTATAATAGTATTGGGACGGATGGCACCTCTCACCTCTGCCTCTACTTTATCCACTTTGATTTTAGTCTTACTAAACTTACTTGTCATACATAGTATAGCCATCATATGATATTATAATGATTTATGAAAGATAGTCATAGTCATAGTCAATGATAGTCAGTAGCTTATTTTTCATTTTAAAAAGGCACTATGTCTCCGGCGGCCAAGTCACATGACCGCCGTAACAAAGTGGCGAGAGATATCTTGTCGGTCAGCCTTGTCACGTGACTGCGAATAATTCAAAACTATTGTTAATTTTAAATTCTATTTCTCTACCAAGTAATGTAATGAGTATCTTGAATGCAAATAATAGAGAAAAAAAACTTAAGTGAAAGTGGCTTGTAAACATTTTTGTTTAGTTTGTTATTTGAGTTTGTGTACCAGTAATCCATAAAATAAATTAGGGGCCAGTGTGGAGTAGGCGTAGGCAACCAATAAAAGTTAAAGTAAAAGATTTCATTTTAAATTATTTCAATTGCTACAAAATATTTAAAAACTTCTCATGAAACTACTGTTGCTGAGGAACATGATAATATAAATATATACAAAATATTTTAATTAAAATGGGAAGAAAAAAAACGACCCTATCCCCGGTATAGATCCTCAAACCTTCCTATCGTCTAGCAACCTCTCTACCACAAGACCAGACAAGATGTACTACACCGTACTTCGTTTGGAATTATAAAAACTACTAGCCGTCCGGCCATGTCCGGCGGTCACGTGACAAGCCGCCGGACGTATATCTTGCGCAATCAGAAATAAAAAAAAACAGAAAAAATATTACAGTTGTATGGTTTAATTTCTCTGGCTTGGTTAAATGTTTTCTATTATTTAAAGAAATTTTTTTTATGTTTTGTCTACTCAATTTTAATCTAGCACAAAGTACTTAATATGAATTTTATGTGATAATTTGTTGAATGTTTTCCTTTGACATTAAAAAAAGGGAAGCGTTATTCACACAGCTCTGTGAATAACGTTTAGCGTTATCGGCAGACCGAAATATGTGAATAACGGCGAGCGTTATCCACACAGCTCTGTGAATAATGTTTAGCGTTATCGGCAGACCGAAATCTGCGAATAATCATATAATGCATTAGATCTAGACTGGTGAAAAATTATTGTTGGATGTAGGCTATTAATATTGGGGTTGAAATGGCTAGAAAGACTTTGCAATTGTATGCTAGTAATTAGTTTTTGTAGTGTTGCGTTTGTTTTAAATGTGGTAAATTATAGATTTGTATTTTGTTGACATTGTACCGCGCTTCGAGCCTTTGGGGATGAAGCGTGTTTTTGAAATGAACTTCATTATTATTATTATTATTAATATTAATATTACTATTAGTATACTGAACCGTCATGAGTTATTATCGAATTTTTTTCACTATCAATTATAAAAAAAGGGCAAATTTATTACTAATATTAGTATGGTAATATCTGTATACCGGTAGTATAATAGTAATAGCCTATTACTATACTAAATATTATGCAGTATAA